ACGTTGGCGTATCACTGAACTCCTACTCTGCTTCTTCAACTTTAATTTTCTCACGTTATACAGAACTGGGATCCGATTCCATTATTTTCAGTAACGCCCACCGTACCATGAACGGTTTTGCACTCTTCAAAGTCAAGATAAACTTCAATTTCTCCTTTTCCTCCTCGGAGGAGACTTAAAGAAACGAGTCATCACTCGTTTTCGTGTCCTTTTTTCAACGATCGTCATCCCTGTTCTACTTCATCCTTTTCCAAACTGTATCCCCTGCTATCCATCTCCAAGTAACATACACCAATAATTGACATCACCAATCCACACATATGAAGCGACCATGAGGCGTCCCTTAGGGTCAGCATTCCACCTCCATCCCAGGACCAGAAACTGAGATGCCATCGTCTGCGTCCTGTCACTCAAAGACCAACTTTTTAAGAGATTGGTGGGCTCTTTTAACCTTGCACCGTCCACATAAGCTAAGGAACAGTGCGTGGAACGTATCTAGCAAAGCAAGGGTGAGCCGGTTCAGTACAAAGATGAACTGTACTGAATTAAAGTAGTGGTAGGTACGAGGATCGAACCCACGACATCGTTGTTCGTTGCATTGGGCCCAAAGTCCATGATGACACTTGAGCTACCGACTCGCCAGACAACTAACTTATTCATCAACCTGAAGTACCACGACCGTGTATACTTTAGAGTTGCTTCAACAGTTTTCCATCTCTATTCTACCATCTAATCCTCACAATCACGCTCAAATCTACTAAATCGACAACAACCCAACCAATACCAATCTTTCAATGGACACAAGTCAAAAAACCAAAAACTGAAGAAGCTTGTCCTCACCAACGGTTGCAACAGGTCACGAACTCTTACACATCATGCCTGTCAAATGGCCTCACCTAGGCTGAAGAGAAAGTCCTAAAACAGTTCCAGAGAGCTTATTCGCCCACAAAAACATCACGAAATAAGAAGACACTTAAAGAATGAACACCATTCGTGAATTTTCCGTATTAAGATGAGGCCCAAACGTGCTAACAGAATCCCACTCTAGAAGATATGCCCCTCGAGACTCGAACTAGGAGACTTGACTCCCTCAAAGAATATTGGTTTTGCCTATATAAAGTTCAGCGTTTTTAAAAGGGTTTATCTTAGTGAAGTCAGATATTTTACAAGCATACACTCCTATTTTATCCTGATGAAACAATGGTCAATATTTGTATGAAATACACTCAACAACCTGTACCGTGCAGCAAAGTCTCTCGATGTTGTCAACGTTCGTAGTGATAAAGGATTTCTTTTTAATTCCGAGTTTAATGACGAAATGCCAATGCCCATTGAGGCCTTGATGCTTTGATATTTTTAAATTATGGATTGAAAAAATTGTATAGTTAAACGTATACATTAATTAAAAATAGGTATTTACTTTCGTCTACAGTTCAAACTGTTGTAACTTGAGTTACGGCCGTTTCGGCATTATAATGCCATAGTCAGACATGTTCATATATGTGTCGTGTTCAATATATGTATACATTAAATCATTGACCACTAAACTTGACGACGGTAAAAAAAGGAAGTACATATTAAAGGAAAGCACATATTAAATTTTTATTTAACTTTAAAATCTTTTCTTCAATTGCAAATTGGCTCAAAAAATATAATTTTTAACAACTCGAGTCTACGAACTGAGGTCTATGTAGACTCTTTTCCATTACCTATTAACATTAGTATTATTCTAGCCGGAGCAAGCATATTTCAACTAGTATTTAAGTTGATTTTATACTATTAATAAATTTATAAATTTAATTTTACTTGAGTTATTTTACGTTAACAATGTACTGTATAATGCTTCAAGACTAAATACATTCCTACTTGATTTTTTGAAAAATTGTAAATGTTGTATATATTGTGGAAATAAAACTGATTTGATTAGATTTGATTTGATTTGAACAGATTTGCCCAATTTCAAAATTAATTGATAGCTTGCCAAGCTGTACGTAATCAGCATATATATATGTTTAATATATATATATATGTTATATGTTTTTTTATATGTTATATGTTATTTTAAATACGTCATAAATTTCCTACCTAAATAACGTTCAACGGCCAATGAGACTTAGTTTGGGAATCATTGATCAATGAATTTTAAATAAATCCTACAATTTGTATGCTCTACGAATTACAAATTATTCCTTTAGTGCAAAAATCCGCATTCAGTGAGTCGGTGGCTCAGTCGGTAGCGTCGCGGACTTCGGGCCCAAGGCAGCGATGTCGTGGGTTCGGATCCTGGTCACTGCCGATAATATTTTATCAGTACAGTTCACCTTTGTACTGTACCGGCTCACTCCTTGCTTTGCTGTAAACGATCCACGCACGGGCGCTTAGTCTATGTGGATGGGCAATGCAAGGTTAAAAGAGGCTGCCAACCTCTTAAAAAAAAAAAAAAAAAATACTTTAGTTTTATTTAACATTACCAAAATACGCAACCCTTTATTGTTTAAATTGTAAAATTAAAATACCAAACTAGAATAAGAGCAAAGAGCAATAATATTTCATTAATAAAAACCGTTATCACTACGACTACATTTATAATAATTACAAAAATCACAGTGAACTCACCGTTAGCCGTGTGCAAATAACTAAGAATCACTAACAATATTAATGGAGGGGTGAAAGAGGGGATGAAAAAGCTGCGTGAAAATAGTGGAGGGGGTAATCTGATGACAGCGAAGCGGAAAGCTCACAAAATAACGAGTTAAGGTTCTTAATACCCGTTGACATCGACTAAACATTATACAGGGGGAGGGGTGGGGGGGGGGTAATTGAAAGGTATGCGTGCACGTCAGGAGACAAAGAATAACCAGGAGAAGGTTATTTATGCGATGCCGCAGCGGTAAAGTCGTCCGCGCTGAAAATGAGGGGGGAAACTCCGAAATCGGTGAGTCGTTCAGGTACATTATCGTAATTTATGGTGGTTGCCGCCAAAACTTGTAATTGTACTTTTGTCGATTACGATGGGAATAGATAGAGGGGTTTCTATTTGTTTTGTAACCTAGATTGGTACTTTCCTGTTATCTGATACCTGCGAAAAAATTCTTTCACAAGTACAACTTCGTCGATCCAGAGTCCGGAGCACATACTACCGTTTAGGTTAGGTTAGGTTAGGTTAGGTTCGTTTACTTACAATACTCATGTTATTGATAACCTAACCTAACCAAAGTACAAACAGGTGCCAGATAACAGGAAAGAATTTTTTCGCAGGTACCAGATAACAGGAAAGTACCCCTAAATTGCTCCGATCAATTAATTATTTATTTATAGTATTTACCTAGGTGTTAACATCCTACCACTTTTAAAGTCTTGTTGTATAACTATGAGGTTTTACAGCAAATTCACATGAGCAAAGTGGCTGAGTTAGATTTTTAAAAGCAAACTTAAAGCTATGAAATCTATTTGAGAGTTTTTAAATCATGATTTTATATGCTCCATGGAAATATGGGACAACGTTTTAATGGGATTTAAAAAAAATCTGTTGCATGTATAAAACAAGAATATGTAATCAATTGTTATTTAGAATGTTGTTTATAGTAAATTACTTGAAATACTCCCGGCAATGTTCATACTTATCGTAATTTGAAATAGTGTTGTATTCATTGATCTCGTATTATTTCCTAACGGTGGGACTTAATACGTTTTATTTACAATTCTTGCAATCGAACAAAAATTACTCACTTACTTAATGACTCCCGTGGCAATCATGTACCCTAGAAAGTTTTTATGGCCTCGCCAACAATTGTTCCCCATCTTTCCCGGTCGTATGCGAAGAAAAAATTAGTAAAGAAAATAAAAACACTATTTCTTAAAATGTGTATACTGTATGTGGCTCTATGATATGATAACTATATTTTTACCTTTGAAACCTAAAAATGTCCAATGTCATTACAGCCATCATGTATAGATAAAAACAAATTATTTGTATATCGAAGTTATGTTTATTAATTTGATTTCCAACAGAATTATTTACTCCAATTACAATAACGTATACGTTGGTAACAGTGTTGTACAATTAATGGCTATGTAGAAAATTCCCAAAAAACTTTAAAACCACCATGTTATTCTTATGGAAAACGACACATAAGCTGTTGTAGTTCTTCCCTGAAGCAACAAACTTAAGTACTCATTAATCTGTTATTTGAATAGAGAATAGAATTTCTAAGTTGTTATAAAATTTAGTAAAAACGTATCAAACAAGTGTAATTTCTTATTCTGCGGGTTTGCTGCGGCGCCGTTCGTTTTATTGGATTACACAGAATAAGCCTATATCAATTAGCACAATTACTTATTTTGATATTTTCTAAATATGAGATTAGTAAGTGGTACAGTATTGACTTTAAATCTATTGTAAACTCTTATGCTTGTTTTGTTGCTTTTGCTGGTGACGTTTGGGTGCGCTGATGACAAAACTTTGTAGATTTCCCTAGTCTTTACTCATTGGTTTATACCAGAAACAATCGAGTTTCAAAATTTGATATGGTCCAAATCCTTTAAAAGTGTTTTAGCTACAAGAAACAAAGTAAACAACAAAACGACTTTCAAATCAACCGGACCTAACCAAAAAAGTCCTCAACTAATTCAAGATTATACTTAAGATAGTAGACCTATGTTTAAGCTACACCAAGTAAATATTATAACAGTTTCAACTGTTACGCTGTTAGCTAATTCTAACAGTAGGTTTATTACCCAAATTTAACCCAACTTAACATTAATAATATACGACAAATCGTGAATGTCGAACTAGAAATAGAACTTGTACCAATTGTGAGACGTTGAATCGCCTAAGTTATTGCCCGTTGAATCAGCGGTAGGGGCGGTTACGGGGGAGGAAACAAGGGCTGTAGGACACAAGTAGGCGCAACAATTATGTTAAGTGACTTGCGCATCGCAACAGACGTTTAGAGGGGTTACACAACATTAGTATTTTGTTCACCACCCTTACCGTGCAACATGGGGAAGCCCAAGCCTAATGAAAAGTCGCGGATGGTATGTTGTGATTTTGTACTTAACAGTTGTTTATGTTGATTCTTTACGTAAAAGTTTTGATTTAATCGGATATTTTATTGCATTTTTATGACAATTGTTTGACAGGGGTTTAGCGAATTTCCCATATAGGGAATAATCAAAAGTGTATATTTTATTATTGTGGTTAGGGACCGATTTGATTTTTCGTTTTGACGTCCCCACTCCCCCAGAGCCAAAAAAAAAAAAAACACCATCCGTTCAAAATCATGTGTGTGTACGTTAGCACTGGAGTAAAAATCATCCGATATTTATTTGTTCACTAAACCTGCATTTATTATTACGAGTTGGCGAACCTGCATGATCAGAATATGTGAACTGGTTTTTTGTAGAGTTTTATCATTGATGACCCCAAAATTAATATAAATACCTCGCCGCAGCAAACCTGCTGACTAAGCGAACTTCCATTTGTCTGAATTAAATTTTTATTAAATCTATTTAAAAAACATTAGGTTTAATGAGTACCTAAGTTTGCTGCTACAAGAAAACTAATACAGTGTATATTTTGGTAAAATATTAATAGCTTAGTATAAAATAAATAAATTTGCCAAGTTTGATAAAAGTACATCCATAAACAAGCAAACTAAAACATTTTACAATTCTCCTTAAAAATTACATGGGAATTTTCAATTTAAAATTTTTTGAACTTTATCCGATACCAATAACCATACAAAAACACTTTGATATACTAAATTATTTGTTTTTAAGCTCTTTAAAAAGGTCTAGAGAGATGTTGGGAAATTTGGTCTTTTGAGGGCCAAAAATGAGAAAAACCATTTTTTACCTCATAAACCCCCCCCCCCCCGTAAAACCCCGTTCCCATGGTCTGATCATGCTGGTTCGCGAACTCATTCAAGTTTACCCCGCCTTACACCTTTGAACCAATTTTCCAAGAGGGAGAACAAAAATTGAATGAGGAAGAGAGGGAATACCAAAATATTTACTTCCTCTTTGCTACTGACCAAAATTTTAAATTTTAACATACATTCCTCGAGTTTATAGTCAATAGGTATGGTTATATTATTCTTTGGTGTAGATACATGATTGTTTGATTTTACTGTATTTATAAGCGTATGGTGTGTGTATAAGTTACATGTTAACATGTTTATATTTGTATCATTAGTCTTAATTTATTCATCAATCCATACAGAAAGTAGCTCTTTACCATAACAGCTGATCTTAAAGAAAGTAATGGTTTCCAAAGCTCTTTAGAGCAAGGGAAAAAGATCAGTTGATTTTCCCCTTGCTCTAAATTTACTTTCCCTTGCTCTCCATTACTTACACCTTATTCAATCACCTTTCAATTTGGCGTCTTTGTTTACAATTAATTATAATTGAAATCAGCTGTTTTTACTGTTAAACAATACAATAATGTGAAAAAAATTATGCATATTAAGCTAATTTTTCTGTGTTTACTGCACAATGAACATAACCTTGAACTTGAACTTCTAATTTTTGAACTAATTTAGGTTGCTATAAGAGAATAATGTGGGTCTCTAACTGTAAAAACAGTTACACACACTTATTATGCAAATTATACAAGAACATCCTAAGTATACTTGTTGCTTGAAAATATATTTTGTATTTTGCATTAAATTGTGTGACAGAATAAAAACTAACAACTTTTAACATATGACGAGACAACCAAAGAATTCCCAAAGAAAAGTAAACAAACTATAAACAAAATCGTCAAAGATAAAATACAATTACAACACCTGATGCATCTTCAATATTTTTAATGTGCAAAATACAGTCCTTTACTTGAGGTTGGTGCCCTTTAGGCACAGAAAACGTACTACTTTAGGAGAGGGTTTATTGAAAAAAAATCATATTTTCCGTGGAAGTTTCACATCAAGAGCTTGCATTCAAGTACCGGTATGCGGTTAATGGGTATGAAATTTCATACATTGCTATGTAAATTAACTATGTCTTTCATTTTAATTAGACTAAACAGTTTGTGGGCCAAGAAGGATAATAAATACATTTAATAATACATTAAAAAAATACATACCGGTACCAACTTGGCGATTCAAAATTTGCGTTTATAATTTGCCTAAGATTTTATGAAACAAGTTCAAGTCTACTGAAAAATGCCATTTATATTAAAAATACAGTAACTTTTGAAACTACTTTTGCAAGTCACTCACTGTTGGATTCATAACATTCTGCTATAATAGAACCTCTGTTAGTCTGTTATTCATAAATCATTATTGATTGAGGATTGATCCTAAACATGAATGGTATGTGCATTAGTTCACTGTCAATGTACAAACTACTAACACCTACTCACTTCTCTCTAGTGATTTTTGATGTATGAGTATACTAGAGTTAGTGTATCTATATTGGACTCATGAAGTGGTCCCAGTTGACAATGGCAAATAACTTTACCACCCAGGTATTTATATGTTATGATCTAACATTAGAAATAACGTGATTTATGTAAGCTAGGAAAGAACAGTTGGGGAATTGTCCTTTTTTTAAATATAATTAATTTATGTTTATTTTCTTAATAGTAAAAAACAATGGGGAAATGCCACTTCTATTAGGTCTATATAATTACAACACTATAGTGAAAAAAATATTGGTATTACTATAATATGGAGACTAAAATTTGGAATACGGCTTAAGATGTGTGCCAATAAAATATTAAATACACCCGCCGGTGGGCCGCAGCAAACCTGCTGTCTAAGCTAATTTCCTATTGCCTGATTTAATTGATTTTCATTTAAATATTTATTAAATATTTATCCAATATTGACCATGGCAGACAATTTTTTTTTTTTTTTTTTTTTAAGAAATGATTTATTTGCGCGCTTGCTGAGCTGTAGCCTTTCACAGGTGTCTGAATGGATAAATAAAATTTAAAAAAATGAACACGTTGTTTAACAATATTTTACTGTAGAACGATGGAACGACTCTGAAACTGTTTATTTTCATAACCAGTCTTGTCCAAAATCAGACATACTGGATTACTTTATAAGCTTTATAGAATCATACTACTAGTGTAGGCTCTAGCTCAAATGACACTAAAAGCATAAGAACTTATTTTCGGTGCTACAAGAGCTACCAAAAGTTTAAGCTTGAAAGTTGCTCTAGATAAATTGTGTGTCTCGGACTTGGAACCATTCAAACAATCATGTACATTCACATATAAATGCCCCCCTCCTCCCACACTCTGCATTATCCGCACGAAACCAATGGCACAAAACCGATCTAATTTAACATAATCTCAATTCATCTTCAAAAGTTTATCATGGTTTTTTTAAGACTGCAAGGATACAAACCACTCAGCTTTGGTGTAACCCTGTTGCAGGCGTCGTCGCTAGCCGCTGCTCGTAGAATGGCGGGCAAAAAAGGCGTCGCAGTCGCTCTTCAGCTGGAAGTCAACACCGAAGACGAGTGGCAGAAACTTTTGGAGAAAGAAGGGCTTGTGGGTGAGTACTAACTAGTAGAAATCCAATTGAGCACAGAATATTAACCAACTACAGTTAAAGAATTTTAAAGCATTTTAAGCATTTTAAAGGATTTTAAAGCTTTTTACATTTTTGTAACGATTAGTCCAACTTGTACTTGTTTTAATTTCCATTTTTTGTTGGATAACAAATAACATCACTGTATTGATAGCTTAAATGGTAAATTTAAAAATCCACTTAAAAAAAATTTAATTTGGACATGTAGGTCCGGAAAAGATCCCGATTTAAGATCGAACGAGTTAACGAGATTTAATGGTGAAAATTATACAGCCACTATTGTTATTATACCCCCAGCCCCCCACCCCCAAAATTAAAAAATCACTAAACTATACCTCAGGTCAAAGTGAAGATAAATGAAGGATGAGTGTAGAATGAAATTATGAAATACATAAGCTTAAGAGGGTTCCACCCTCCAACTGTTACCACGAAAACATGTCCTACAAAAAAGAACCTCGCGGCATTATTAAAGTGTTTATCGAGATTCACAAAGATCCAAATTATGCCCCTAACTGAACTGAAACTTCGTAATTTTTTTGTGATGTATTTGCAAATTCATTTTGAATATCCGTAATGTAGTCATTTTCAAGTGTGATTTAAATAGTTAAACATTTATTTATCCCCATCCATTGCAAGCTCTAATATGTTAAGAGCACTAAAAGCACACAATCATTGGAAACAAATTTGTTTTTGAGTGTTGAGAGCTGTTATTGTAGAGGCATGTTTAGAATTAGCATATGTTTAGCCGCCATCTTCAATTTAGCGGTAAAACCCTCTTAAGTTACTGACTAAGATCAGCTGATCGTTTAGCCAGGGTCACTTGAAAGACTATAAAGACCAAGAACAGCTGTGCCTGTCAAAATGTGCTTCAATCCTTCTAAGGATTAAACTGGGAAATTGGGGAATCGCAAATAAAAACTTATATCGATTTCTGTTTTTATTAGTGGTGGACGTCTATTCGGAATGGTGTGGTCCATGTGTAGGGATGGTGGGAAACTTGAAGAAGTTGAAACTGGAAATCGGCAGCGATTATCTCCATCTTGCTGTGGTAAGTTGAGAGAAACTGAAATTTTTATTTCCTCAATAGCTGGAACTAAAGGATAAACCAATCTTTAAACTTATGTCCGAGTACCTAAAAATAGGTAAAAGGTGAACTAATTTTTATTGTTATTGATTGTGTTATATTTATAAATTTAGTTACACCAACTATATAAGTGTGGGTTGAACTGTTGAAGAGACTACATAAATAGGATATGATTAGTTTGACTTAAAGATTACATTATCTTCATATTTACAGGCGAAATCAGATGCCATAGAGGCATTGGAGAGATTCAGGAACAAAAGCGAGCCAACCTGGATGTTTATTGCTGTAAGTAAAGCTTAACTATACATAAGACGCTAATTGAACTTTTGGTTTGTGAACATATTGTAGCAGCATAGTATCATTTTGTCACATCTGCTATACTTGGTAAGTTAACTCATTTTATGGGTCACACCATTTAATAAAACTAAAAGAATTTAAAGGAACTTTGAATTACATCTTGAAAAATGAGAGGTTTGATTTGTTAATGTAATTAAATGCAAATAGTCCAGTCAATGAATGCTCAAAAGGGGGGTGTAGAGGACATGGAGAGGGGGAAATTTTTTTTCTGCGGGAATGTGTTCGGGGTAGTTAGAAGATAAAAATACCAAAAGTCCCTGCCCCTGGCCCTGCTGCTTCAACGGGGGGAGGGGGGAAAGACCCCATTTTTTAGTTTTTTACTTCTACACTGAAAACCGTGCATCGTAGGGAAAAAAATGTAAATTATAAAAAGAAAGATGATGAAATTCTCTATAAGATTGGTTATTCACTTCTTCCGTGTATGCATTGGTTTAAAAAATATTCTCAAAATAATATAATAATTCTTAAATAAATTGATTTTTCAAGCGTTTTTTGTCAAATAAGTTTATATAATCCATTAGCCTGTTGTTGTTTCACATCAATCAGGATAGAAAACAGGTTTTTGAACACTAAAATATATAATATAATATATCAATCGTATATATTGTGTTAAAAATAGTTTATATAAATTTAAATAAATTATGTATATTCGTCATGGAAACAAGTAATTTTGGCATAATTATTACATTAAAAATTAAATACCCCCGCCGCAGCAAACCTGCAGACTAAGCGAATTTCCATTTGACTGATTGGATTTACACTGAAATGTCTACTTAAAAATATAACATTTATTCTTGATTTAAATAGAATAAGTTTAACAAGTACTTAGGTTTGCTGCATCAGGGAGGGTAAAACTGATTTTTTTTGTAAAATGTGAATAGTTAGTAAGAAATAAAAACATTTTCCAAATTTGATCAAAATATGTTCACAAACAAGCAAACTACAACAGTTTACTTATTCTCCATAAGAATAACATGGGAATTTTAAATTTACAATTTTTTGGAATTTTCTCCGTAACCATTAGGCGCATAATAACGCTTCAATATACTAAATTATTTGTTTTTTTAAGCTCTACAAAATAGTTTGGAAAGAAATTGCTAAATTTTATGTTTTTTGGGTCAAAAATTAGAAAAACCTATTTTTACCCCATAAAACCCCCCGTAAACCCCCGTTCCCATGGTCCGATCATGCTGGATTGCGAACTCGTTCGAATAAACGTACTTTTACACGTTTGTACCAATTTTCATCAAAATCGGATCATTTTTGCTCGAGTTATCGTGCTGACGGACACACATATATATATATATATAAATATATTAATACATAAATATATATATATATATATGAATTTGAACGGATGGTGTTTTTGGCCTCTAGGGACCTCAAAACGAAAAAAAAAATCGGTCCCGCGTCCAGGTCTTACCATGAGTACTACGGTAATAGCTTATTCCCTATATGGGAAATTCGCTAAAAGATTATGTTTGTAGCTATTTTTTTCCAGGTTTATTTATAACAATTACCGAAACCAAGACTTAAATATTATTGTTCATGGTCTGGCTCACTTGGGACGAGAGGGTCCGACTTCTGTCCCAAAAACTGGTGCCATCTGGAACTGAAAACCACCATCTAGGACATCTCCATCATTCAATTCTTGTTGGTTAGACTCAATATTGGCTATCAAAGTGAGAATTCGGTGTAGGCCTGTATATTCTTCATCTTCCTCATTCATCAGAATGGGCATTTCATTCATGTAAAAAGATCCCTTAGCAGTTCTGGCATAACGGAGAACTCTTATTGGACATTTTCTTGCATGCACAAATTGCACATCTGGCACTGTTATAATCTTGAGTACATTTGCAAAAAACTTGGTTAAGGGATTAACTGTTCCTGGTTACTATAATTTTGGTGTCTCTGTTCAAATGAATATCTACTGACTAGTGGCGGTCCCTTGGGGGGGGGTTAGAGTTCTGATTAGAAACTATCTTTGTATATGATATTGTATAGTTTAAATTTATTAGTCCAGTGCAATTAGGGACCCGGACAAAATTGATAACAGGCTGAAAATTGGTGGAAATGTTCAAAACAATGTCCTGAGTGGCCCACACAAAGTCCCAAGAAATCCCAGTTGGGGAACGGCCGCCATTTTGAAAAAAAAAACTGCCGCCATCTTGGAAATTTAGATTTCTTGCTGTATCTTTTGAAGTAATTGTCCGAAAGACCTTATTTATGACTCAAATTAAACGTTTTGGGCTCATGTATGAGGGTAATATATAATTAAAGAGTTTATTAGGTTCTAAGCATAAATATTATTTATATTAACCTCAAAAATATCTATAATAATGATATAGATACGGTTATGTCACCCCTCTTATACGAATTGTGGATATTTATATGCATGCAAGGTGGATGCGATACTCCCTGGTGTGGATTAACGTCCGCACGGGTGAGTACTACGACTATCCGCAGTACTATCCTGATAATTAGACCAATTCGTAATTACCAAGGCAAAAATGTGGTTCGGATTCCACTATAAACTGTAGGTCCCTTAGTTGCCATTAGCTGTATGGGCTATTAATTAACCTGTGTCTAAGGAATAAGTCGGTCTTAGTCACTAACAAGACTACAAGATCGCGCCACTCATCCTACACTCATCTCCATTCACACTTGGCTTAAATTGTATGGTTGCCATTTCATAGAACAGCATTAACAGTATAGATATTGAGTCTAATAAACGAGAATTGGATAATGAGAGACCATGAACAATAGTATTAAGTCTTGGTTTCGGTAATTGTTATAGATAAACCTGGACAAGTATAGCTACAAACATAATCTTTTTAATTTTTTATGTAATAATTATGCCAAAATTACTTGTTTCCATGACGAATATACATAATTTATTTAAATTTATATAAACTATTTTTAACACAATATATACGATTGATATATTATATTATATATTTTAGTGTTCAAAAACCTGTTTTCTATCCTAATTAATGTGAAACAACAACAGGCTAATGGATTATATAAACTTATTTGACAAAAAACGCTTGAAAAATCAATTTATTTAAGAATTTTTATATTATTTTGAGAATATTCTTTTAAACCAATGCATATACAGAAGAAATGAATATGACCATTCTTGTAGAGAATTTCATCATCTTTCTTTTTATAATTTACATTTTTTCCGTACGATGCACGGTTTTCAGTGTAGAAGTAAAAAACTAAAAATTGGGTTCTCCCCCCCCCTCCCCCCGTTGAAGCAGCAGGGCCAGGGGCGGGGACTTTTGGTATTTTTATCTTCTAACTACCCCGAACACATTCCCGCAGAAAAAGATTTCCCCCTCACCATACCCTCTACAACCCTTTATTGACTGGACTAAAATTAATAATCCAAGAATTAGTCTTCCAGCCTTGGGTAAATCAAGTATCAAGCCCACCATAGTAAAATTATACATGACATGGACAATTATTGAAAGAAAACTGGTTTTAGGTTTCTAGAAGGTGCTAGGAAAAGAAAAACTCTCCCAAGGTAGGAGGAGAGGGGCACAATTATCTCTTGGTCCAATAGCGTTTTACATACAAACCACGGGCCAGGCTGCCAGTCCCTTTGTTCAAATATGTAGTGGCTTCTACGCACTACCCAAGTCACTAATGCACATTTTATACGTCAAACCACTTTTATACAAACACATATGTCAACTGGAAACAGTAATCACCATAGGGATTGACCTCCTTCCTACAGAAACCTAACCACATAAAGCAATTCAAACGTGACGGGAGCGTCAATTTTCTCTCACAATGTTCTTTTTTAAATTCTGTGACCAGACTAATCGTCCCATATAAGTCGGGACTAGCTAGTGAATCAAGTAAGTAGCTTGACCTTGGTGTCATATTTGAACTAGCTCACCTGGCTGTCATATATATTGTATATTGATTTGGATATAATCTTTCCTTTTGATAGGGAGAGGAAGGGAGTTAAAGCGTTGTAATATGTATACTTGTGAAACTACAGTATAATAATTCAACACCCCATTGTTGTTGACAGAGCGGCCACATGGTGAATCTCATGTTTGGAGCCAACGCACCTCGTCTCATGAGACTCATTACCCAGGAGCTAGAGAAGGAAACCAAGGTTCTCAAGGGAGAGCGAGAACGACAGTCGGTGAGTTGGTGGAACTGCTAGCTTGTTGCGGAATACTTCTCTAGTTAGTAAACAAAACAAACAGGACACAAAAAGGAGAAGAAATTACAGACTAATTTTCATACTAGGGCTATGCTAGACAAGGAAACTAACAGTATTTCAGGTGTATGTGCACACGGGCAGTCAAATTGTTCGCGACAGAGCAATTATTTCATCCAACTGGAAAGTTCCTGTTCCATTTCTTTTCCTACATAGCATAGCCCAAGTCCTCCAGGCTTAACGGAATGACATGACAAAACAAAATGCTATAACAAGAACATTTCGATTCACCAGATTTTGTGAATTTCTTGTGAGACATATAATTTTGACAATGATTGGTCATGTCTAGATTAGTAGCTTCCATTTGATAATACAATAAAACCTTTCCTAGAAACCTTCTTGTCAGTTTCATTGTTTAGTAGAGTATAGTCAAAGCTAAAAATAAACATTATCAGAAACAAAACCTAAATTTACAATCATTTATGCTATTATAACTTAACAGAAATGACTGATAACCGTACTAGACACTTTCTGCAACCTGTGGGATGATCTTAGAATAAAGTAAGCTTGGGTGTTCAGTTTTTATTGTTTTTAGACATTCATATCTGATCAGCTGCTGATAAATCTAAGGTGTCTTCCTGGACAGGAGACAGCACCGTAAATCAAAATTTAAATTCCAATCATTGTGAATTTTTTGTGAACGAGACAAAGAAATCATGAAAACTTACAACTCATAAACATGATCATATTTATAGTAGTTATATTATTGCAAATGAGACAAGTAAAATTACTTGGTTATCAATAACATTGTCATGTAAATACAATGCTGATACAAGACATTTTTCCTTTCTAATATATATTAAACCCTATTTTACCAGATACCATTCAATGAGCTTACAGAAGAAGAGAAGACCAGAAAGGAAGAGACACGACGAAAAGAGGAGGCAGAGAAAGAGAAAGAAGCAAGAGAGTTGGGTAAGAACAATCATTTAAAAACAATCTATTAGTTTTTGCAACTTATTTGAATACAATAAAAGTGGATTTAGGATTTTTTTCTAGGAAAGTTAAAATCAGACATCCCAGGACACGTATTTGCTTTTTGAAACAAAGGATTTTTCTAGTTCATTTCAGTTATCACACTTGGTTGTATGTTTATAGCGGACGCCGTCGAGGAGCTGAAGATCCGTAACCTGACTCGCTTTGCTAAGCTGCTGGTTGACAAGACTGTGATGCTCTACTTCCCGCACATGATAGATGACCAGGGCACGTGCAGTGCTGCGTTCAAGATGTTGGCCCAGTATGACCAAGTTCTTATGTCTGTTCATGATCAGATGGACGTACAACTCACCAAGGAGAACATTCCAGAGGTATATCTATCTATTGCATTAAGAGGTATAGTTGTGGTAATCATAAGTATCAAGTATTGCAAAAATTTTCTATCAAGATAAGTAAACAAGTTTTCTCTGGTTTGTTAACAGATGCTTTACAACTGTGATATTCATCTGCCTGAGAAGTTGTTGGAACTGATGGAAGAGAAGCCGTGTTTAGTGAGTTTACTGATGCACCATGGGACTAACAGCAGCGAGTCGGGAACGTCTCTACCAATCCCGCTCGGACTGGTCGAGGAGAAGTTTGCCACCTTCGTCTACGGCCACCTCACGCACACAGAACCACCCGTACAACACACGTAGGTGACGTAGAGACAAGGGCGGTCCCAGGGGGGGGGGGGGGTCAGGGGGGTCATGACCCCCCCCAAATATTTTTTATATACATAAACTATTATACCAGGGGAACTTTAATAATTTTTATTGCAAATCGTTCTGCCAAATTGAAATTTATTGTAGTCTTTACACTTGTGGCGAATGAAAGGACTAATTACAATCTCTAACCTAAAACTCATCGTTCGAGTCTGACTGTTTTTTTGTACGTTATGAAAAGTAGGGAAGATCGGCAGACGACGGATGCTTTCAGACATATACAGCAACGGCAGTGTCCGATGCTGACATTCGACGTTCGGCCGCATTCTTCTTCTTATTTATTTTTTTCGGCATCTAATGTTATCATTAATTTTAACATAGATGATTGAAAACTTGAATTGGGCTTGGGTATTGGATAAAGAAAAGAAGTTGTATCAATAGTCAAAGATTGAAAGGTAGTTGAATATTAATTTATCTGAGTTGAGCGTTAGGAATTTGTAATTACAGTAATGTAATTCAATGATTACAGTAGCAAATTTCAAAACTTTCAATATTAAATAGTATTTATATTTAGAGCACCTGATATCATATATAAGAATACCACAACCCAATTGGCATGTTGCTAGCCATAAAACAACAACAAAATGGTAGTGTCTCAGACTTAGATGTGGAAGGGACAGATTTAATTCCCAGCACAACACAACCACAAATACAAAATAGTTGCACAAACACTTTATTCTCACGTTGACCCCTTGTAAAATGCCACTGGCACTGGCGTAGAAAAAATGAGAACACTGAGAACCAATTCTCCAGGCGGTAGCAGTGACGGGACGCCGACGGCAACGTTAGTTGCCTGTTGTTGATTTTAAACATTTTCCGTTTAGCATGCACATTGGCACCAGTTGAAAGCATGGTGGAAGGAAAATACATCCACCATGAGTTGAAAGGGTGTTTTCGTAAATCAATGATGCTTGAATGTGTTGTAATGTTGCGGTATTCCTTTGATATTAAAACCCCAAGTCTCAATAATAAAAAAACATGACATTATACAAGTTTATTTTTAGACATTTCTTTGACGTTTAAATAAACTGGGAAGCTTGAACACATTAAACTAGGCCCTCAAAATAGCTTCAAAACTACTCGTTTTAGCACGTTATTTCCAAGTTGTTTCCATACCCCTCAGGCCCCCCGGTGACCCCCCCCCCCCAAAATATATGTCTAGGACCGCCCTTGCGTAGAGACGAACAAACGTATCTCTGAGTGGAAATTGGTATAGTTGTTTTTCTTTAACAAAAACGCCATACATTTGATAGAAACTAGGTGTGGGCCCGTCTTCCACATGGGTATATGTAAGCTAACCCTATAAACAACATCAATTTGACATTACCAACAATTAACCTTAGACAGCGAACTATCACTTCTGTTAAGAGTCCTTGTAGGCTAGCGGCCATCTTGGATGATTTTAAACTTCTGCTGAAGAGTTAAGTATCATTCAAAAGTTAAGTCATCCAAAAATAGTTTTTCAAACACCTAAGTGATTATACTGTAAATATCTAGTATACAGTGAGATTAGAAATGTTGTTTGTTGTTTTGAATGTATTTCCAAGGGAATCCATTAAAGCCAACGGCCACCTTGGATTTGCCATTACAAATGGCTGATACAAGCCGAAACATGTTAACAATCTTCTGTAAATTTTAGCTGTTTGTCAAATTTATAAGTTATGTAAACCTTTTTATCATATTGTTTGTATTTGCTGAAGCTGATGATGTCAACTCCGCACAGGGTAGCGGACCAGTTCCAGACCAAGAAGGAGGGAGGGGAAGTATGGCCGGGAGTGTGGACACCCCTGACCTACTTGTCCAAGGCAGCAGCCGTCCATGTGCTGTTCCCTCACATCTCCATCACCATGGAATTTAAAGAGGAAACCCTGCCTCCTCCAAGGGTGAGAATTTTAACCATTTATACTAGGTTGGCTAGTCATAGTGCCACGTCAACTATATAAACAGCTCAAAACCATTCAATATCAGACATTTCTGCCGCTCATATATACCACTATGCATCTCCTCGGAAGCCATCACAGCAATTTTTCCGACAGCTCAAAATGATTTTAGTTTCAAAGTTGCTCATTCTGGATCACCGTAGTGCAAACACTATAAACATTAATCTTGAGTAAAATTCGGTTATTAGGTTAACGATGCTGGTCTTCCTGTTTGTGAGAGAACATGTTGGCCAGTACCACTAGCCGTTTTATGATCTTATAGTTTTCTTCTCAGTGGCCATTTTCTGATACGTGTTTCGACTTTTCTGGCTTGCTATTTTCAAGAAGGAGACATGATTCTTGTATCTTATGTTGTCCGCAAAACTTCCACCAACCAATAGTATCTATGAAGGGACGCCATTTTGATTCTCAATCTTGATGATTACCAATGTGGTGGGTCAAAATCACCATTGTGAAACAGTTTATTTTCTTTAACACTAACAAAAACGTCATACATTTTAGTAGAAACTAGCTGGGCGTCCTCTTCACGGGTACATGCATTAATGTGTAACTGACACTATAAAAATATTTTGTAGTATTTACCTTCTTGTAAATTTTTGCATTTGAAGTGTAGCCATTTAAAAAGTGTTTAAAGACATATTTTAAATTCATATTATTCCTCACTAATGTCTGACACAATTTCTAGTACTGCTGTATATTCGATGCAAGCAGAGCACAAGAGGTGTACGAAATTGCAGAGAAGTTCCCAGAAGACGTTCTTAATTGCGAGTTCTTTGACGGAGCGGATCCTTCAACAGCAAAAAGGGTTGCGAAAAATATGAAACAGCTGGAAAAGCTTGGCGCGGATAAAATAAAGTAAGTGGTCATTATTTTTCTTTTAAAAGACATCACTAATTGTAAAATGTTGCCAATTTCAGTGTTATCAATAGGTTTCATGTCAATTAATTGAATTATTGGATTTGGGCATTTAGCTTTTTTTGTTTGTTTTGGTTATGGATAGTTTTTAATTTTATAAATGAGAAATACCTAAGTTAATATTCAGAATCCAAAAATCAATGGTCAGAACTATCCTTTGTAGTTTTAAGTAACAATATTTACAGTGTAATAATCATTCAGAATGCGTACAGTAGATTTTCTCTCGGTTGAACCAACTTAGTTTGGAGTCTGAACTTCTATGTGTGAATGATTTACACACTTCCATTTCGAGCAATTTTGTCCATAGCCGTATAAACATAAGGAACACAAATTTTTTCTACAGCACTGTTCAAATATTGCTGAATACCTTTGATGTTTACTTAAACGTATGCTTTCATTTTCATTGTAACTTATGATGGTTAAGACTTTTTTTAGTGTCGACAATGTCACAAGTTTTAGAGGGAAAAAAATCACCGAACATTTTTAAATTAATCACGTTGCTTTATAATCATTTTTGAAAGAGATTAAAATTATTTTTAACTACCAAAACATACTTTAACTTGTTTTTCAGACAAACCAAAATGGTACTTGCCGTGGCAAAGAAGACAGGAGACCCGTTGCTGGAATTCTCACAGCTATCACCACTTTATATCTCTCCCGACACCAAAATCGGGAGCAAGGAGTGTAACGCTTTCTTCCCTCCGCCTGATGTCTTTGAAGACGAGAAAGAAGAAGAGGAGGTAGAGGACTTTGATGAAGAAGAGGAAGGGGAAGAAGGAGAGGGTGAAGAGGCTGAGGGAGAGGAAGGGGAAGGAGAAGGGGAAGGGGTGCAAGCGGAAGCTTCTGATGTAAAACTGTCAACTACCAGTGAGACGAGCACAGCGGCAACATCAGCGGGGGCCGAGCAAGAAGAGCAGTCAACAGCTGGGGAAGAAGCGACAGCTCAGCCAGAGGAGTAGGGGGGAAAGGAAAGGTGGGGGGAGGGTTGTTGTGTTTTGTAAAGTTTATACTTGTTGATCAATAAATGCAATTGCTAAATGTAAGATGTTTTTAAAAACCAAGCTTTTTGTTTTGACTAAACTAAATTTTTACTCTAGTGAATTTCCACCATAGGAAAGAAGGTATAACCTTTGACTATGGGCAAGGCCACACTAAAAAAACAGGCCGTAATGCTCGTCAAGCATAACGTCACTATAGAAGACGGCAATGACGTAATGTTTGCCATTTGTGATCAGCTGCTTGTTTTAATCTTTCCTTGGAAAATAAATGAATAAATACCTACGTCATTGCAGTCTTCTATCGTGACGTCATGCTTGACGATCATTACAGCCTGTTTTTTTAGTGTGGCCTTGCTATGAACTGAACTATAGAACCCATAGTGATATTGAATGTAGGATAAAAACTTAAACTTGAACCACTAACAGAATGTGCTGATAATAACAGTTTCTATTGAATACCCACAATTTTATCCTAACTGAAACTAAAAGAGCAACTTATAGTTAACTATTGCACATTTATTTGTCACATCAACAATCAGACAGTAAGAAAAACTAAGGATGAAATTAGAATTTTAGACACATGCTCTGTGAAAGGTTCATTTAAATATGTTCTTTTTAAACAAACATTTGAATGTCTTTCTGCTTTGTTAGGACTTGGTCCTTAAATTGATTTCCTTACGGAATATTTTATTTCAAAATAGGGCTTAAATATATTTTATAAGCGAAAATACCCATTTTTGTTGCAGTAATCAGTAATGTTTACAGAGATTAGATAGAAGCAGAGGTGTGTCAAGCCTAATATTTTTTTACGGAGCCGAGCTTTTGAAGCAACACAGCAAACACAGCAAAATCCTGAGTATCCCGCTTGGTCACGGAAACATCATCTTATTCCATCATCGCGGCAAAATAATGAACATTTCCCACTGTTGTGTGAACATAATCATTGTTTACCTTTAACATTTTAAAGGAATTTTAATTTAACCTTTTTAGATAACCAAACAATAGATACAATACAAAAGTCTTGGCAAACTGTCAATTTTTGGGATATAAATGAATAACAATGTTTAGCAACAACTTATATTTTCAACTAATTAAATTATAAATAACACAAAACAATAAAATTACTTTTTACCAAACGCAGCATCATAGTCAAATCGTTGAGGTGATTGAGCGGCAAGAGGATCATCTGGACGAACCACTGAAACAATACATATACTAGTAACAAATTAACCAGGTTTATTTCAATATACAAGTTAACAACATAAAATCATTAAAAACATTAAGTAAACGGTAGGCCAGCCACGATTTAAAAACAGGTAAACCGACCTAGACTGCACAAGGAACGCCTGGGAACTGACTCAATTGTGGCCGGCCTACCATTTATTAAGTGTTTTTTTTTTTGTCAACATGTATTTATTTACTGAAGAAGACTTCTGTCGGATTTAACGGACTGTATATGGCGTTGGATATGAGCATGGGTCTTACAACACAAAACTACTAGTAATCCCTATTGTTTGCAAAGCTGATGACGGACAAAAGTACGTAACCTATTATATAATCATACAATGAGTCTGAGAGAAAGTTTAAATTAGGTCAGTAATACTTTGAAGACAATATCTTACATAATGTAGAATAAAGTAGGAGTCATTTAAAACTCAATATCTTAATCACAACACAGCGTTATATTTTTGTGTACATATTTTAAGCTGAATATGGATTTAAGATAAGCCACACTGTATTTAAAAGGCTACTATGCATTTTAAATGAAAATTTAAACTAAGAATAAAAACAGATAGACTATGGTTTTTTTTTTTTTTAAAGCTTTATTCAAGATTTATACATTATATACCTACATGAAATATATGCATAAATACAGAATGGCGTCAAAACAGCTTATTACTAATTAAAAATACTTGGTTAAACTAAATAAAACAGGAAAATTTAATTAATGTAATTACATGTTGTAAAACTCTTCAAATGAGTAAAATGCTCTATCAATTAGTAACAATTTAAGTTTTTTTTTTAAAGACCTAATGTTTTTTATATCAAATATTTATTCTGGTAGATGGTACAAAAACTTAATACCTGCAGCTGTTGGTTTCTTGTTATAAAACTCCAGTTTGTGTTGTGTTACGGATGGATAATTTTTATGCCTAGTATCATCTATCTATATATTAATAGGCAAGCATGTTTCTTTAAAACCTTTTTTCTCAGGTCGTGTGCATCGCAGAGAAAATCTACGCATACTGTTGGAAAGATATTTTCCTGTAGATGTGCAGAATGCCTCTAAAAATTAAAATAGGCTAACAAATAAGCACAAAAAATTAATTTGAAAACTTCAAAAAATTAACATGGAGCATATGGGTTGCCATGATGGTGACGAAATAACAACAAAATGTAAACAGAAAATCAAAACAAATGGAAGAAATTCAAATCACATGTGTTATTTACAGTGTGGGGAGAAAATAGAGAAGTCTGTACATTAATTATTTTTGGTCGAGTTTCGACCACAGGACGACCACTAGTTTATATATTAATAGGCAAGCATGTTTCTTTAAAACCTTTTTTCTCAGCTCGTGTGCATTGCAGGGAAAATCTACGCATACTGTTGGAAATATATTTTCCTGTAGATGTGCAGAATGCGTTTAAAAATTAAAATAGGCTAACAAATAAGAACAAAAAATGATTTTGAAAACTTCAAAATATTAACATGGACCATATGGGTTGCCATGATGGTGACGAAATAACAACAAAATGTAAACAGAAAATCAAAACAAATGGAAGAAATTCCAATCACATGTTTTTTTTTTTTTTACAGTGTGGGGAGAAAATAGAGAAGTCTGTACATTAATTATTAGAGTTTCGACCACAGGACGACCACTAGTATCTATGATTATCCCCCAGCAGTGGCACCTTGTCTTCAGAAGCCCTCACCTCAGGGTTCTTGATTCAATTAAATAAATATGTGTCTTATCTTACCTGTGTATTCCAATCTGTATCTTTTGTGATCAAATCTGCCTTTTGCATCTTTGTATTGATAGATTGCGAATGTCCCGATCACACTGCCAATTGCCAACGCTGTTCCGGCAACAATGTCTGGGATCTCATTCCAACCTTGCCTCAACAATTGCATGGCTGCAACAAGCAAGGGAATTAATTTCCTACAAGGATATGGAGGTGTTCTAGAGCAGCAATTTCCAAACCTCTTTCCTTGTGTCAAAATGTGTTTGAGACATTTCAGGAATCCTTTCTCTTTACATTGGTAGGTACCCACCTGTAGGATATGAAGGCTTTTCATCTTGTGTGAAAATGTTAACAGATTTGGACTACCTGAACAATAAGGCTTGGCAATGCAACCGATGTTCAGCGGCAAGGAGCAAAAGCATGCAGGTGACTTCGTAGCTCCGATCTGAGTCGTCGTCTGCTTTATTACATTCGGTCGGCCAAAATGGACCAAAAATTTGTACCACTCCCATTGTTGTCCAATTTTCTATTGCCAAGCTAAAGTTTTAATTGATTTGATTTGTTTTAATAATGGTTTCAGTTTAGCGATGTGTGGTTACCAATTAACAAATGGTTAAGATTAGGTTAGGGAAGTTGTATGATTTCTTTTATTCTGACTTGTAAAAATTCACTTTTTGGGCACAAAGATTTTTACTGATGTTTTCAGCGATTTAGCTAAAAAAGGTGTAGGTAAATGTGAAGTAAAAGTTATTTTCCCAACCTAGGCTATTCCAAAAATTACAAATCTTCTTAGGCTAATACCAAACAGCAACTTCCCAATACCAAACACAATATGGTAAGGATTGCAAATTAAGTTATATTTTGTTTATTTTTGCTTAGGCTAAGTAAGTTAGCCATATGAAGGATGAGGAAACATATTTTTCCTTTTTGGCTTTTGTTTTAGCTAAATACAGACATAACTTAGGCCCCGATCACATTGAAGATATAACTTAGGGCCCAAATTATGCCATAAATTACATAACCTAAAAAGGACATTGATGAAGGACATTAAAAAAGTTCCTACGCTGATGGGTTGGTTAATGATTGTGGTTTATGATTGTACTCTCATCTTGCATTTACCTTAAGCTTATAATAAACACCAAGGTGGTTTTGCTGTCTTAGGATTGGTAATGATTGACTTTGCTATAGAGGTCATGAGTAAAAACACTTGATCCCCTTAAGTTGTAAATATTATGCATGGTTATTAAGATTAGCTTTAACCTTTTACAATAACCTAATTATATGCTCCTTGTTGATAGATACTAATGTGACCTATCTAAAAAATGTCAAAATAGTCTAGGCCTAGGCCTAATGGATATTGTACCTTGGTGGCAATCAAGGTAACCTATGAGAATCGTGGACAATTAACTTTAGAAATATATTGAAATAAAAACTCTTCAGTTATAATTTAATTGCATACACACGTTCTACTTACGTTTAAAGTATTTAAGAGGGGAAGCCATTTGTATAAATTCGATTAATAAGTTTGTGTAGAGGCTTGAAACAGTTTACGAAGGTTGCCTTTTATTTGCTTTTTTTCCTTTTTTTGCTTTGACGGTTTGTTGTGTTGACTGTTGAGCGTTGATTGGATTTGGATTGGACGATTGGACCTGTATTGGACCGACGACGCACCGTAGCTTTGCGCTTTCTGCTAGCCCTATTTGCATGCCCATAGAGAAATAAGGTACAGAGAATAGAAAGAAGTGAGATACAAAGGGTGATGCGTGGTGATGCTCTCCTAGCATTCATGTTAAGTTTATAATACCAATATACCATGGTCTTCTTAAATGATTGATAATGATTGAAATTGGTATAGTGGCCATGAATAGAAACACTTTCGATAAAATATTATTCAATAATAATAATAATAATAAGTCAATAAGTCATTTATTGGGCCAAATTAACAATACTTGCATTAGCCAAGTCATTACAAGAAAAATAAATTCATTACATAACATAAAATTCCTTACTGTAAAAAATTCTATAACTAAATAACTAAACATGCGCACATGACTTTGTGAATGACCACTAAAGTAGAAATTCACGGACGCTGTAAAATGATCTATCTAACAACATGGACTTTAGACCTGTTCTAAACTTTTTTGGATCTTGTTCGGCCTTCAATTGAGGTGGAAGTCTATTAAATAGTTTTACAGAATTGTAATGGAAGTTTCTTTGAAAGAAAGAAGTGGAATGCCGGGGAATTGGTAGATTTAAAGTATTGCGCAATGGATACCTGGAATTTTTTGCAGATGAGAAAAAGGAAGTATTTTTAATTGCTATGGAAAGATAGCGTTTCGAGGATGTAAATAGATGGGAAAGTTAAAATTTTAAATTCTCTGAAATAATCTCTGCATGATTGTTGTTTGGAAATAGAAAACACAATTCGAATTGCCCTTCTCTGAAGCCTAAACAAGAACCTAGTCCTCTCACTTTCGCACCCCCAAACAGGAACCGCATAAGTCAGATGAGGGTAGACAAGCCCATAATAGGCTGATAATAGGACATCAGTGGTGGCTGATTGGCTGAGAAGTCTCAGCATAAATATACCCACCGATACTTTCTTGCTGACGTGCTCGATGTGGCTGTGGAATTTGAGGTTTTCATCAAGGACAAGACCGAGGAATTTTACTTCTGAAGAAGGGGAGATAGTGTTATCGTCGAGGAGAATGTTCAAGCCATAGTGGGACCGTTTTGATCGGTTAGAAATGGAAAATTGGACTATTTGGGTTTTTTGAGCGTTCAAGATTAGGTCATTTTCTTCACACCACTGAAGAAGGGAGTTATTTGATTCCAGAAAGGTGACAAGTTCCAGTTCCTCCATACTCGGTCTGGACACAGTTAGGGAAGTGTCGTCCGCGAATAGGCATACATTTGCCTCCTTTACGCTAGATGGCAGGTCAATGAACAGAAGGAAAAGGATCGGCCCCAGGACGGACCCCTGTGGCACACCCCTCTTTACTACAGCCTCAGAAGATACTAGTATTCAAAACTATAGATGTCAACTGTCCTGTAGCTAAAATAAAAAAGAAAGGTAATGTACGTAATAAAGCTGTAAGTAAAGTGGTCATGATGAGTCATGAGTAGAAACACTCGACTCCCTTAAGTTTAAAAATTACTGATATGTAACTATTACTTTTACTGGGACATCCGAGCGCTTTCAGCTCTGATATAACGTATGTTGGCTGTTGGGGTCGGAAAAGCTCTCGATCGTTTAAAGTCATCAACTTCGTCTTGAAGACCGTCAGCTGTGCTGCAGTTACCATAGGTTCTGGCGCACACCGCTGGGAGTGCCATGTGTAGTTATGGCATACTCGCTACGTAACTACACAGCGCTTCCAGCGGTCTGCCCCAGAACCTATGGTAACCGCAGCACGGCTGAAAACTAACTATGTAATACATGTGCTCTATGTGTTATAGCATAGATTAAAACCTGTTTAAATGAGGCTTATTTTTATGGAGGTTTAGTGACGACGGGGTCTTTAACTTCAGGCCGCAGCCTGGTAGAATTGGCAACGTCGCAAGTGGTGTTGTTTAGTGACAGACGTCCCATAAGATAACATGGCAGACAGACAGTGAGCTAAACCATAAACAAAAAGAATGAAATATAGACCGTCAGCTGTGCTGCAGTTACCATAGGTTCTGGCGCACACCGCTGGAAGTGCCATGTGTACATGTGCCATTGTAGTTATGGCATACTCGCTACGTAACTACACAGCGCTTCCAGCGGTCTGCGCCAGAACCTATGGTAACTATGGATTTCAATTTAAATTTATGAACATAGTTCACGCCGCGTGCGTGGTTGACGCGAAAAAAATAAATTAAAATAAATTAACAGGCAAATAAAATTTATAAATACGACCATAATTTAGTTTTGGAAACATTGAAGATTCACAGTTTACCTAAAACGATTGTTACTACTGTTGGAGTAGTTTATTTTTATTCTATTATTTTTAATTAGTAAGACTTTATATAGTATCGACAAAACAAAGGCAACTAAATCTGATAGAGCAGTAAAAACACTGAGCTATAATTCTAACTGGAGGTAGCACTGAATGTCAAAGATGCGTGTCGCCAGCCGCCATGTTTGCGTGAGGTGGGTGTCCATAAGAAGCCATATTATTGCTATAACTATTATTATACTTGGCTTAAAATACCTACTTTGTATGTTCGCCATTTCAAAGAAAATTATTAAAGTATTAAAAGTATTCAAGTATGACAAAAATACTCACTGCTATACCAACCTAGTTATAAGAAGCCATGTTATTGCTATGGTAAGAAAACTTACTGCTATACCAACCTAACAAAATCAGCGACTCGCTTTTGACAGACTTCTGCCATGGCAGTGCTACCTCCAGTTATAATTTTAGCTCAGTGGTTAGATAGACCAGAAATGCAAGCACGTATTTTTAAGCTTAAAGCAAATTTTTGTGTTGTTGCATTTGCATATTGTGAAATTGCTTAGAAAATTGGTGATATAAACTTACTAGTTTTCTCTTAGTTCTGCAATGGATTGTTGAAGCTCCTTACACATCATGTAGTATCGACATTTTCACATTAAATTACCACATCCTTTTCTCATCTGCAGTTTGGGACAAATCCTTCAATGGTAAGTAGTGCAACACTTGTTAACACACAAGAATACCTTTCATGTAAGATAGGCATATCATGTATGTCGAACCTCTGATAGGCCTATTTAACTTAAACATTAATTCAATAGCCCAGGAGGCCCTATTCGTTTTGCATGAACAACGCATTTCATCTGTCAGTCAGTATCACGTAGACAACATTCCTACTCCTTCCAAAATTATCCCCTTAGCCTTGTAGGCCTAGATCATGTTACTATTGTTTAAACATTTTATTAGTCTGGGGTTATCATTAGTTCTGCATTGCCTACCTAAATTATTGATTTTGTAATAAAATAGCAAGGTGAGCTTGACCTAGGCTACTAAAACTTAAGTTAACTTGATAATTTCTTGATCAGGAGCATAGCCTATGTATTGTTAACTTAAAATGTACAAAAAGTTTCTAGGCTGTTTCTAATAACTCCTTTATTCAACCAAAGTAGGCTAACAAAAACAGATTTGCATTGGTCATGTCAAACAAAATAACACTTCAAACATATATTTAAGTTACCGTCAACCGGGGCTACTTTGACTCGCGGGGCTACAATTATAAAACTTTTGTTTTTACGTAAATAAGTTATTTGTTTAAATTTTAGTTTTAGTAGTAACCATGGTAACTTATATATTAAAATCTTTCTTATAACATAGGTAATCTTATTGTCACACTCACTCAAAAATATATATTCTTTGTTATCATAAAAAATATTTAAAATCATGAACCGATTTTTTCGCAAAAACAAAACGTCCCGGAACTTTCGTATGCACAACCTACCCACTTTTTTCACATTTTTTTGGCACATTTTAATGAATAGTCCATCTATCTGGGATGATAAAATTACATATCAATATAAATACCCTAGTTAGGGTAAGTAGGCTACCCTAAAGGTAAACAATTTTTTTTTGTAACTATTTACCCTATTTACACTGGGATTTGATGTAATTTTTATATATGTCTACTTACAGTATTTTTAACGCTGAATCCAAAAATGCAACCAGTTTTGGTCGGAGAGATTCCTAAGTGTCCGTACTGTTAAATAATTCATATTAAGCTTAAGTTTTGTTGATTTATTAACATATTTGTGGTATGGACGAGTCCAAGTTCTAGTGGCGACTAACACTAAAAGGGGTGGAAGGTTTGTGCAGTGGAAACAGCTGTCAGTTGTTTACATTCGATACTAAACAGACAAAACCACACACGACATGTGAAAATCGGAATAACATTTTTAAATGATTCAATTTCTAAAAGCAGACGGACTTCTAAGACGTTCCGAAAATACAGTAACACAAAAACAATAGCCTAAATTAGGCCTAAATGAACTATTAATAAAATCAACATTTATCATTAATCAATAAATGTAATTTTATTCTCGTAAAATGCAAGGATTTTTAGCCTATACAATAACACGACCGCATCACCAATGCCAAATTGATACTGTCAACTGTCATTGTCACTGAATTGCTGTAATGTAGTTTGTTAACCAACCAATGGATTATTACGCTAAAATGCGCCCAGAAAATAGATCCAGATTAATAACATCCGCAATAGCAACTTATTAATTATCAAGTAAGTTTAATTATTATTGCCGATTTAGAAATTAGTAATGGCTGATATTTGCAATGCGTGTGACCAAAATTTTTATGAAACGGTTGTGTTTGATGATAATGAAATTAAAAGTTTTTTAATTAGGCCCAAGCACGGGGTTGTAAGTAAATAACAAAACGAATTGTCCGAGGTGTCATTCAAACATAAAATTGAACGATAAGTAAGTGGTTTTTCAGATGCAGGAATAGAGTTTCAATTAACAAGAAGAAAGCCAAAAGGTGTGAGTGGGTGCGATCTTGCAGAGTAGACACTTTTTTCGGCAAATCCAAACTACAAATTCGTACGCTTTGGCGATTAGTCAATCACTATCTTTTTTTGACCCACCCCGGCAAAGATTCCTGGAAACAAATCTCAATCTGTCAAGTAAAACTGTTGTCGATTGGTATTCGTTTATTAGAGAAGTGTGCATTGACGATTGTGTAACAAATTCTGAAAGACTAGGCGGGCCAGGTGAGATTGTTGAAATAGATGAGGCGAAATTTGGTAAACGTAAATACAACCGAGGTAGGCGAGTGAAGGGAAACTGGGTGTTGGGGGGAGTGCAGAGAGGCTCGACAAAAAAATTTTTAATCCCCGTTCCTGACCGCTCAAGGCGCACGCTAATTCGACTAATCCGCCGCCGGGTTTTGCCCGGCAGTACGATTATTACTGACTGTTGGAAGTCATACAGCAGATTGCGGGAGTACGGCTACCAACATTTAACTGTGAACCATAGTACTGACTTTATTGATCCCGTCACAGGTGCACACACAAACCAAATTGAGCGGTGTTGGAGAGACTTTAGAGACCACATCCCCAAATACGGGGTGAGGTCCAAAAATTTCATCGGGTACCTGGGGGAGTTCCAATTCAAGAAAAGGTACCCTAACAACAAACGAGTCCACGCGTTTTATAAGGCCGCAGCAAAGCTGTATAGGCCAAAGTATTAACAAGGTAGGTTAATTTAAAATATTTTCTGCATAAGTTGCTGTAGTAGGAAAGTTATAAGTTATGTATTATATTTTAAACTAAGGTAACCTAATCTAACCTAACCTAACCTAACCCAACCCAACCTTAGCCTAATATTGATATTTAAATCACATTTTATGTCAGAAAAGACATGTGAGGAACCTAACCTTTACCTTCCTAATTTAACCTCACTTCAAAACACTTAATACAGTCACAAATCCGCATAAAACCCGACCTACCTTCCTCACATGCCTAAATAAGAACTGATCATTTGGTTTCAAAACAAATTGATTTGATTTCATTCCACATTAGATCAAGTATAAACAGTTGTTTGCTCTTCACACTCAGTCCTCACTCCTCACTCTTCACTCAGTACGGACCCGTCCAGACCACGCCATATTACCATTACCTTCAGTACCGCTCAATTATCATTGTTAGATTCGTAATCCTAACCTTCGTTTTACGGCCGCTACCGCCACTTAGGAATCTCTCCGACCAAAACTGATTGCATTTTTGGATTCAGTGTTAAAAATACTGTAAGTAGACATATAAAAATTACATCATATCCCAGTGTAAATACGGTAAATATTTGCCTTTTTTTTAATTGTCCAAGGTTTTTACTTCCAGGGGCTACTTTGACACTCTTTATTTGATTGGTTTATGTTCACTAACATGGGTAATGGTGAAGTACGTTATATAAAAAAGGTACATCAACTTCACTTTGTTGGCCAGATAATAAGTAGGCCTATTGATTATCATAATAAGGTTTGTGAGGTCCGATTTATTAGAAAAGTAACCGACACAGAACAAGTCTTTAAGTGGCCGGATTACGTTGATGAAGACCATGTTTCATATGATGACATCATAATGTTTACATTTTAAGTGAGCCTTCCCTGGACAGAAGAGGACATGTTGTGTTCAAACACAAGTTCCAGGGACTAAACATCCAATAAAATCACAAGCATCGTTCAGCTACAGCAGACCAGACGTCTGAAAGGGAGTTGCGACCCTTGCTTCTGTAGCACTATTTCACGGCTATGACAAAATACAATACAAGACATACTTACATACTATTAACTAATTTTGTCCTTAAATTCTAGTCTTTTTTACTCTAAAAACTGGCTTTGTTGGCACATTAATCCTTTGTTTTACGTTAGATATGATTTTTTTTAAACCTCTGTAAAGTTCGGAAATCTTGGAACGGCATTTAAAAAAACTTGTTGTAGATCACAAACTATAAAAGGTAGAACAATCAGAGTCATACCAAAATAATCATAATAAACCCAGCTTTCAATAGAAGTATCAAAGTAACCCCTTAAACCAGTGGTTAGGCCTACATTGTAACAAGGCATTAAAGTTCATTTAGCCGCATAGCGGGGCTACTTTTATAGCCGCCATTTTTTTAAATTTTTTTCCAAAGTAGGCCTACCTATTTAAATTGGATTTTTTCAAATGTAGCACTCAAAAGAACTAACTGAAATGTACAATTTGGTATTTTTCTCATGGTCCTATCTCTTAAAATAAAAAAGTTACAGCCAAAAACAAAAAAAAAGTTTTACAAAGTAGCCCGTTTGACGGTACACTTATAAACTTAGGCTTAAACTGTTAACTCACAAGACGGGAAGATATAAGCCTAACTTAGCCTAAAAGATGGTAGGCCTAATTTATTTATTTATTTATTTATTCCAACGGTTTCTCCATTAATACAATTTTGTCAAACTATGAACTATACATAAGTAGCAAATGATGGTTAAGTGGTGATAGATTTCTTGCACAGCCATTTAACCGAAAGTGGCTGAATTTTCAATTACCGTAGTTTTATTGACGATTGCAGGCTGACATGGAGGATCTGCAAGGACAAGACATCTGCAGGGTCTGTCGCTGCGAGGGGTCTCCTGATAGGCCGCTGTTCCATCCTTGCATTTGCACCGGAAGTATTAAGTTCATTCATCAGGTCAGTGAGAACATTTGTATTGGAGAAATTATATTACCCAGATTATAGGACTTCTTAGAGCCATTGCTGTTCTTGGTATCTTTTTGTGAACTCTTAATTCTTACCTTGCCAAGATGAATCGTTTTACTTTAATTACAAGGTATGTAAGTTAATCATCCTCTGAACCAAACTGTCGGCTAAAAAACCAATTGCTTCAATCTTGACTTGTATTAAATGTAGCCTAATCTTTTTAGCGAATTTCCCACATACGGGAAAAAGCTATTACTGTAGTACTCATGGTAAGACCTAGTCCCAGGACCGACTTACTTTTTTTGTTTTGAGGTCCCTAGAGGGCCAAAAACACCAACCGTTCAAATTCATATACCAGTAACCTATACATATGTGTCCGTTAGCACGATAACTCAAGCAAAAATTATCCGATTTTGATGAAACTTGCTATGAACGTTAAGAAACCTACATTTATTTGAACGAATTTGCGAACCAGCATGATCGGACAATGGGAACGGAGGTTTACGGAGGGTTTGATGGGGCAAAAATTGGTTTTTCGCCTTTTGACCCTAAAAACATTAAATTTAGCAATTTCTTTCCAAAACCATTTTGTAGAGCTTAAAAAAAGAAATAATTTTGTACATTGGAGCATTGTTGTATGGCTAACTGTTACGGAGATAGCCTAATTAAAAAAAATTAAATTTAAAATTCCAATGTTATTCTTATGGGGAATAAGTAAACTGTTGTTGTTTGCTTTTCTATGAGCATGTTTTGATCACATTTGGAAAATGCATTTATTTCATAGGCAGAGCTACTAAGAAATAAACTAGGCCTATAACATTTTATAAAAAAAATTACCCTCTCTGTTGCAGCAAACCTACAGGACTCGTTAAACTAATGCTTTTTAAATACAAGGACTACATGTGATATTTTAAAGGAGACATTTTAGCGTGAATCCAATTAGGCAAATGAAAATCCGCTTAGTCTGCAGGTTTGCTGCGGCTGGGGTATTTTCATTTTAAGTTAATAATCTGACATTTTTTTGAGCTTCAACAATACCCCAAGGAGTGGTGCCATAGATGATGGAAGGAGTTCTATGTTACTTTTTACAAGTAAGGTACTTAGGCCTACTCATATTTTGTTTTTTGTAAAATTACAAAATCCCCATATTAAAACATCTAGCTAGCCACTGTCAGATGTTTAACTTGTAGAGGCGTATTGGTTGAATTAACAAACAAAGCGAGATCATTCACATATCACATGCTGGTATAAAAAATAAATCTAGGCCTACTCAAAGATTTGGCACCAAATTTTTGTCGAGTGTTTTCATGGTTATCTTAAATATTGTAGGCCTATAAATGTCATTCATTAAGTTTTAAATGGTCTGCTAATCCTTTTATGTTTTCAGGAATGTCTGGTGCAGTGGATGCGCTACAGTCGCAAGGAGTACTGCGAGCTGTGTGGCTACAGATTCTCATTCACCCCAATCTATTCGCCAGACATGCCGCGCAGGTTGCCTATCCGAGACGTGGCGGGGGGACTACTGTCAAGCATCGCTACGGCAGTCAAGTACTGGGTGCACTACACCATCGTCGCACTCGCGTGGCTTGGAGTAGTTCCCTTGACTGCTTGTAGAATATATCGCTGTCTCTTCACTGGCTCTGTAGATTCTGTAAGTAATAATCACATTGTCGGTAGTGTACATAGCAGTTATTGTCCAGATGTATGATGTATACTTCTTAATACTGTCACTGTGTTACGAGATCCCGAGGTATCGTATCGTGCACCTAGCCTGTAGTGAGGGACCCATAATTTGGTTTTCTCCCTTGAATTACACCATCAATATCCCGGCATACAGTTATCGTTTAAATAAATGAAACTTGTACATACCAGAATGCATTTTTGTTGATGAAAACAACTAGTAAACATGAAATGAACGAGATAAATAGATCTCATAGCCCACTGAAGTAATAAACTTTTCCTTTTTACGATACGAGACCTCTGAAGTATCAAAAATAGTTGCTCCAAGCGCCACAGGAGGCTAAAGGGTTGATTAGTAACCATGGCAACTTGTTGAATGCAAGGATGAAAGGAAACCCAATAAAGAATGGAAAAATAAAGGGAAACAATAATGACGTTTTTATGTTGTAATCTAAATAATTTCTTTTCAACTTTGGGAATATCAATTTATAATTGTGGACGTGCTTCTCTTCTTAAACATCACTAAACTGGATGTGTAATAAAGGACAATGACCTAAAATATCATGATTGCGCAATGTTGTATTTTAATGTAAAAATGAAAATCAAGGCCCACGCTCATTTAGAGGTCATTGCCCACCCAACGTTGTAACATACCAATAAATAATTTGCATATTTCTCTCTATAAACATATTTCATTTTTATTTTATTTTGCCTGAAATCAGCCATAAGGAAACGCATTATTATGAAAAGTGATAATATAAAGATATAATATCTTTTTCATTACGTATAAGATTATTATGAACCAAAAATAAATGGATAACACATAGCCTACTATTATTTTACGTACCGGTACCGGTAATGATTCCTTGGGTCAAGATAAGTAAGGTTTTTATGAACATAGCCTAATATGTTCTCTCACTTTGTTATAGAAAGAGAGGCTATCTAAATATTAAAAATAGTTGCCATTTTGAAACGGTTTAAGAGTTAATGTTCTCTTTTTACACAAGATAGCGGCCAAAATGAACACTTTTGCAGAATTGCAATTATACACATGGTTATCTTGTGACTATACTTTGACTAAATCTTTCAACAGGTGCTCACCCTTCCCCTGGATATGCTGTCGACAGAGAACATAGCTTCAGATATTTTCCACGGCTGCTTCGTTGTCACATGCACACTCTTCTCGTTCATCGGGCTGGTGTGGCTGAGAGAGCAGATACTACACGGTGGAGGTCCTGATTGGTTGGAGAGAGATGACCCACCAGCCCCCCCTGCCCCTCCTGTACCTCCCCCGCCTCTCCCAGCCGAACCCCCTCAACTACCGCAGGACAACTTGGTGTTCATCAACGGACGGGATGAGGTGAGGAAATTCAGAAATCAGAAAATCTTTGAATTGAATCGCTTCAACAAGAAAAAGGGTTTATTTAGAAAATGGTTTAGTGATTTTATAGAATAATAATATATACAATAAATTAATAGACTATTTATGGAATAATAATTTTAAAATTTTGTTTTCATACAATTTATTTTGAGTAGTCTAATAAACTAAATGACTATAAAAATAAGTGAATCAACCTAGTCTCCAACAGAAAGCTCTGAGCACCAGGTAAAAAAAAAAAATAATTAATATAGGCCCAGGTCAAATAAATAAATGAAATATTTTAATCGTACCATTTGGAACAATTGCCCATTTCATAAAAATGCTTGATAATTGTGTCCACTTGGTAGTGAAATCCTTAAACTTGTACTTGAAGCTGTGACACAAAATTCTAGGGGGGGAATAAACTAGTATTCACCAAAGTCAGGCTAGGCCTACCCCTAGAACCAGCCACACTCAAATTTCTTCCCCGGAGTGCTCAGAAGGAGCCGAGAAAAATCCAGTTGTCGATACGAAGTTGTCGCGGCTTTGACTGATCAATTTATTTAAATTTAATCGAAGGCTCAGAGCTCTCAGAAATCCTGCAGACGCCCAGTTGGAGCTATATCATCCCAGCCTTCGTAAAAGTGTTTCGGTGAATTTTGCCTAACTTTTTGAATGACTCTGTAGGGCCGACGAGTATTCAATCTTAAGCCAAAGTGATTCAATTACTCGTAATGAACTTTAAAATAATTAACTAAGGGCCTAGGTAAATAATGTAGAATGTAATATGACGTAAAACCCAATCCCTACAGAGTCGTCGGGGCCTAATTAATATAACTGGACGGATAATTTAACGTGAGATGATTTAAAATAAATTTAGTATTAATTACCGTAGCTGATTGTTCAAATCAGCCTGCTCCCAAGACTTGATTCTTTCACCCGCCAAAGACGGCGTTTAGAACTTAGACGACAAGTCTCGGGGTGTTAAAACGTCGAATCGATTAAAATAATTTAAGTAATAATTCGTTAAGCGGATGAAACAAATGTAATTTCGTGGACAATTAATTTAAAACCAACCGTAAGATAATCCTCCGCTAGTCACTGACCGGCAGGAACTGGCGGGTCAAGACTCCAATCGGCGAAAACTAAGTTAATAAAATGTAGACAAATATAATCAAACTTAAAACGGGTGAAAATAAGTGGCAGGCGAGTATACGTATGGCGTGATCGTAATTCGTAAGAGCTTCTCGTGAACAAGTCGACGGTTGAACAGCGAATAATTCTTGTCCGGCTCAAATCCCGATTGCCGCTGCTCAAGCGCTGCGGTGGCGATTTTGGAAACTAGCCAACAGCTGATCCGGGATTCGGTCTAGTTATCGTCTGTCATCGTCAATCAACAAACACCAGCTTGAGGTTATGTCGTCGTTGTCGGTGATAAATACTTGTAAAATCGGTCGGTTTAACTTTGTTTTGTGAAAAGGAGTGCTATTATGAATAAATATGTAGTTGCGGGTGTGTTTGTGTACTTCACTGTTATTAAAAGTAGGCCTACGTTCTTTGGCCCATAGCCCAAGCTATGGCCAACACATAGGCCTAGGAGTAGGATGTTGTGGATAAAAATCGGGTAAGTTATGGTGTTTGTTGATAAGCAGTACGTTTTTTACCCCCCTTAAAATTTGGTACCTCACAAATCCTTGACCAGTACATTGTTTTTGTGTTTGCGTGGTTTGCTGACTCAAGTGTGTCCGTGTCAATTTGTTTAGTCGTTGATTTTTAATTAAAGTATAATTTATGATTCAGATATATTTTATGTTACAGACTTCAGATTTTACTATAGGATAAGACCTAAACTTGGCTGTTATAATAAAGAATTAAAAATTCATTCCACGTGTGTTTTCATTGATTAAACATAACTTTGCTCTTCAGGTGGTTAAATGCAAAGTCATGTAGGCCTAATGCTATTCAACTTAGGAGCGAGCTGGTGTAGTGGTTAGAGCGCGGGACTTCAGTCCCTGAGGTCCCCGGTTCAATCCCCGCCAAGTCACCAATGGATTTTATCTAAGTGATAATGCCGCAACCCCTAGGTCTAGCCTGAAGTAATGTGAAAAACAATCTCAGGCTCGTGCCTAGCGTCCTAGGAAAAAAAAAAAAGAAAATGCTATTCAACTTTGGCAAAGGATTGTTCCTGTCCACTGTTGCCCACCCATATTGCCTCAGCGGGCTAGAGTTTGTAAAATATATTTAAAACATATTGTAGGCCTACGTATTCTTAATGTACAGACAGAAATGTTTACCTTGCCGTTTTATGTATGTATATATCAACAGTAACAATACTAATCAGTTCTGTGGTGTCAGGTGCAGTTGGGTGAAGCGGAAGTAGGTGCTAACTGGGAGGAGATCCCACCCCTACGCATTGCAGAGGGTGACGGAGGGGTGGGGGGAGACGAAGGCAACTGGAACCCAATAGAGTGGGACCGTGCAGCCGAGGAGCTCACGTGGGAGAGATTACTGGGTTTCGACGGCTCACTGGTGAGTTAGTTTTTAAAAGGACGATAAGAAAAAACTTAACAAACTGATTTGGATTGGCTGAAAGGTTTTTATTTTCTGTTTGGTTTTGTTTTTTCTTGTTTTCCTTTGAAAAAAGTGCGGAATCCCCTTTTTGACCTTGCCTATCCACGTGGGTCTAAGAGCACGTGCTGAGATATCAATCCAAGAAATGATTGGTTCAGTTTAAGATGGAAATGAGCTGATAAATTTTAAGTAGCGGCACCAAGACTTGAACCCACTTCTTGGCTACATTTGTTACACAGTCTGTTGCATAAATCTGAACAAACAATTAGGCCTAACTTATTATTTGTACAGTAGAGTCCCGCAAAATCGGCGTAATGTGGACTGGAAGGGTGCCGATTATGTGAAATGCCAGGTTATCGGGAACTAGGGTTAAAAATAAGGACAATAAAATTTTTAAGCTTTTTAACCTTCCTTATTTATATATTACTGCCGGGTTATCGAGTGCCGAGTTTGCGGGACTCTACTGTACAAAACAAAATATGTATTTTCATTTTAAATGTTTGGTTACCTTACCTAATCTGGTGTGGTCTGTAACATAAAAGTACTTCTGGCAACTCACTGTTTTTTTTTTTTAAATACATATTTGTGTTCATACACTCTCAATCCCTTTCAGGAACAGCCAGCTCTGTGTGAACTGATTCCTGGAATTGAAATATGGTTTCATTTGAGTATACTTGTACTTGTGTAATATCCTTAATGCACTTTATTTTATTCATTTAGCAGTGTTTAGGTGGATTGACTTAGTCGTTTTTACCTGTCTAATAAATATAGACTGTAAAAGGAAGGTTCCAGTGCCCACCGCTAGGAGTGCCGTGTAATAACGGCGCACACCGCTGCAGGCGAGGAGGGCAGGAGCCGTATGCTACTAGCAGATGCAGTGTTGGGGAAGCTACTTTTAAAATGTAGCTAGCTACAACTACTGCTACATTTCCAAAAAAGTAGCTTAGCTACAGCTACAGCTACAGTTCCGCAAAAGTAGCTAGCTACAACTACAGCTACATTGAAATGTAGCTACAGCTACAATTTTAGCTACTTTTCCAAAGACGTTACTTTTTATTCCACGCACATTAGGTAAATGTAAAATTAATTGCAACTACATTTTTACTGAACAAACATTTAAAAAATGTCAGTATTGTATCTAACATTAATTGGAAAAAAAATTATTCCTAGATTGTATTTAATTTTTTGGCATTATAAACCTAACATTACAACAGAACCAAATAGTTCGGTGTCCCATCATATTTAGTACTTATTTTTAAATATTGCATTATTTTTAAGCATCTTAAATGTAAATTTCATTAAGTTCAAAGGACATACAACCAAACTATATTTTAAAAGCTCATTTTATTTCTCTAATATAGATTCATTTATAGATGTCTTATATCAACAATTAAGACCAATAAAACTATAAAACGATTATTTAAAAATACTTTTTTGTGTTACAGAGCCTAGCCTACTGAAATTGGAGTTTATTGCCTTTCTTTTAATGTTAAAAACGACATTGCTATAAACTTTTAAGTGATAAGTTACTTGTACTATGAATAACACTTTTCAATGTCAAGAAATCGTCCTTTATTGTCATTATGCATAGGGCAAATTGTGCTTCAACCTAGTTGGTACAGAAAACAGTATTCAGCAACCCATCCTGAAATCGGCTTTTAATTTAAACATGTTGAAATTTGTAAAGTAAAAATAACATGTAGGCCTACTTGGCTATGTAACAAGTTGGCTATAGTAGGCTTGTTCTTGCTAGGAATAAACAGATAGGATTCCTAATAATTGAACTTGGAACTTGGTATTCGTCTTAAACCATAGCATAGCCTAGGAATTAATAGTCCTATACAAGAGCTGTTACCAGGAGCAAACTATGCAATTTTTTCAATGTAAGTTTCATGTTATATGGAGATTTTTTTGTTACAATTATCATTTAGTCTATACATATCTTAAATCACATCAGGTAATTTCCTCTTTGTTAATTTAGTAAACCTTTGAAAAATCTTCGTAATCTAACCAAAGAAGGGCTTGTGATGATGAACCACAATCAACAGCTGAAGCAAAGGTTGATAGCCCAGCTTCCGCATTATTTTAAGGTTTAGTGTTGGTTTCCATTAAAATCCAAGTTGAAACACTATCGGTATACAGGGCCGCCCCGAGGGCAGGGCGAGCGGGGCGACCGCCCTGGGCGCCGCGGCTAGGGGGGCGCCGCGGCTTTGGAAGGTAATAAATTTAACAACTTTATCAGCAAACCGCAAACAAATTATTTTACGGGAAACTCGTAAACATGTTATCAATGACTATTCTAAAAAAGGCAATACATAGCTTTTGTTTTATTCATAAAATAAATACTGTTATTTCATATACAACTCGTACTGTTACTACTTTTACGTCTGGCATGTGACTTGTTGGCAAAACTGTGAGTCAAGACACACACTGCGTAGTGTGTATTCGCCCACACGCCACACACCCCACCTACACTTGCTTGTTTCTGACCTCAAAGTTCAAACTCTTAAGTCAACTCATCGTTTCGTGATGTCCGAGTTGTAAATTCAATGATTTTAGTAATTTAGTTCAGTGTAGTTGTTACGTTTATAAAAAAACTTGCAAAACGTTCGGATACATCGGACGTTGGGTCTATTGACGCAAATCCCCCAAATCCCTTATTTGGGGAGGGGGCGAAAATTTAAATACCGCCCCGGGCGTCTATTACCCTCGGGGCGGCCCTGTTGGTATAATAAACAAACTAAATTGATTACTAATTTCCCTGTCAATCACTTGCAAGAGCATTCAATAGCTTCTCTTGTCACCGGTAACGTTTAAACGTCGTCTGCATCTAGCGATTTTATTTTATCTGACAGTAATCATAGAGTAGTAAATTAAGGAAATGAGAGCCAAAAATGTGGATAACACTCATTTAATGGCCTCCATGTCCACACAACGTTGTTGTAATAGGGAATGAAACGGCTGCAACCAGCTGTGTGAAGCCAAGAAAGTAAGGCCTAATTTTTTTTAAATCTCAGTTTGAAAGAGGTTGTTTCACGTAAGGTCGTAAGGTTGAGGTTATGATAAAAAGCACTATCTCAAACAATGTTAATGTAGCGAGAAAAGTAGCTAAAATTCCGCTACAACTACTTTAAAAATGTAGCTAGCTACAGCTAAAGCTACAAAATCTTAAAAGTAGCGTAGCTACAGCTAACGCTACAAAAAAAGTAGCGCGCTACTTCCCAACACTGCAGATGCTGCAGCGGTGTGCACCGTAACATATGCTAACCGCAGCACTGCTGCCGGTCTATATATTCTATTTGTCTATGGCCCTATACATGTACTTTTATCCATACATGTACAACCCCTCATGATAATAAATGCATCCTTTTTATTGATCGGACAGAGTGGATAAGACAAATTGCATGATTTAGTAAATTTTCAACTAATTATGTAGCTATTTCATCTAAAACTGTGCTATCTAGGACAGTTTAGTGGACATTGTGTGTAGTTACTGTTCAACTACACAAATTTAACTTGAGTTGATCAAGTATCTAGTGCAGCAAAGCAGGTCGCTCATTGCTCCTGTTGTCCGTAGGTGTTCTTGGAACATGTGTTCTGGGTGGTGTCTCTCAACACACTGTTCATCTTGGTGTTTGCATTCTGTCCTTACCATATGGGCCACTTTGCCGTTGCGGCTCTGGGCCTGAAGGACCATGCAGCCGCCTCCCATTTCGAAGGCAAGTCATGTCACCACTAAAAGAAGTTTTGAGTCGAAATGTTTTCACACATAGATTATAGGGTAGAAAGTGAATGGGGTCTTTGGTCAGTGAGTCTGAAATTAAGGAACTGAAAATTACACTTGATGAGGAGGAGATAACTTTTTCATGTAGATTGTAGACCCTAAAGCAATTTAGTTTAGGTCAATTATGATTTGTCTTAGACGTAGAGTCACAAATTGAGAACCAAAGTACCTTTCCATTGTTAAAAGTTTCTTGAATCTTGCTGCTCTTCCTTGACTAATTTTCTTTACAATACATACTGGGGGGACACAAATAATGTCAACTATATTTTTTAACAGGACTGTTGGAAATTAATTGCATCCTTACAGGCTGTATTGTGTGTTCTACAACATATTCTGTTTTGGCAGGCCTGGTGACAACGTTGTGCGGCTACTGTGTGATTGGCCTCGTTTTGGTAGTACTGCACTCTCTGGCGACCATCTTGAACCTGACTAGATCCCGTAGGGTGCTCGGACTCTGCTATGTTGTCGTCAAAGTAAGACAATTCTTCTTCTCCATGACCAAAACAGTGCACAATACTTCTTCCAGTTTAAGCTCAAATTATTAATGATTAGGTTGGTTGTATGGTTTTGCTTACAGTAAGACATAAACTTGCAATTAATTGTCCAAAACTGGGTTCTGAACGTCCATCATTTGATATAAAAAGAAGTTAGACCAGGTTTAAATAGCCAGAGACATTTAGTGAAAAAATACTTTATTCTTGATCAAAGCTCTAGTATCCTTGGATTAGGCCTGTACGTACATTGCTATGCGATGTACAGCGACAGACACACAGACAGGAGAGAGGTAAACTAGTTTCAGCTTTCTTTGGCTGTGAAAAAATACTATACAATTCATCATTCTACACAATGTACAGACAAAACTGTAGTATTTCATATATACAGGGTGTCCCGGAACTCTCTACCAATATTTTAGGGCATTGCTCCTGGGTAAGAAACAACTAAATATCATATTTAAACTGTCCGGAAGTCCTTAGTTACTCACACAGCCGCCATTTTGTTTTTTTCAGTTATTAATTTTTTTTCTAAATAATGGTTAAACATACGAAATGGAAACTTTGCACAAACATTTAGGACAACTAGACAAAGCTACCAAAAAATTATCACGATTTTTCAAATTCATAAAACAAAATGGCGGCCATTTAAAATTTTTGTAAAATCAATGGTTTTTGAGTTATTTAAGAAAGAAAATTTTAAATGGCCGCCATTTTGTTTTATGAATTTGAAAAATCGTGATAATTTTTTGGTAGCTTTGTCTAGTTGTCCTAAATGTTTGTGCAAAGTTTCCATTTCGTATGTTTAACCATTATTTAGAAAAAAAATTAATAACTGAAAAAAACAAAATGGCGGCTGTGTGAGTAACTAAGGACTTCCGGACAGTTTAAATATGATATTTAGTTGTTTCTTACCCAGGAGCAATGCCCTAAAATATTGGTAGAGAGTTCCGGGACACCCTGTATTATGCATTATAAATATACAAGTATCAAAGCAAGATACAAATATGTTACAGAATATTGTCTTAAAAGTGGTGTTTTGTCTGCAGGTGTCACTGTTGTCTGTGGTGGAGATAGGGGTGTTGCCCCTGATATGTGGATGGTGGCTAGACATCTGTTCTCTCGCCATGTTTGACGCAACTCTGCGGGACAGAGAAGCCAGCTTCCGCGCAGCCCCGGGAACATCCATGTTCATCCACTGGCTTGTCGGCATGGTAAGTGTAAGACGGACTAAAGAGACAACAAAGTTATCGTCAGTGATGTTTGTATAAACAAAATTTGTTATTAAATCCAAAATCAATTTATCAAGTGATGTTGTAATCCAGGGTATCCAGGGTACTTGGTCTGGTTTGAGTGTGACTTAATTGATAAACACTGAAATTATGTCGGAGATGGGATTGAAGTAAATTAATCAGTAATTGAATAGCTCCGCAGAACAACTTTGCAAGTGACAAAAGTGAATATTTTCACAATCACAAAAATATTCCGTACCGATGCCAACACAGCTAGATTGGCCTGTAACACAGCCAACATAGCTTTTATGGCCAACCAATGTATTTTTTTAAACAAAATATCCCACGCAGTAGAGAATAATTTTCATCATCGTTCCTTTGCAACATTACAGTAATTGGCGGGGATATTAAACTCATGCAATAAGGATTTTTAGCTCAGCTAGCTTTCCTGGCAAATTAAAAGGCCAAAAGTTGAAGGATTCTCAATAAAAGGGCATACAACATAACGTCATAGTTTATCCTAAAATTTCGCAGACTTCTTCAGGGTACACTCAATTCCTGATTAATCGGGATAAAGTAGGGTTGAGGCTTCCAGGATACGTAAAGTCGCGGTTAATCCGCAAAATACTATTGAATAGGAAATGGTATTAAAATATTAAAATAAAAGGCAAATAACCTGTAGGGCTAACAGTTTTCTGTTTTTGTACAGAGAAATATATATTTTCTGTGTGTATGTTTGTAACACAATTTTATCTGCGATTAGAGCATTGTATTGCAAACGGTAGGTGTAAGAAGGGAGGGTCTATGACCTTGAGAAGGCCCAGGGCAGCTCGATACAGTGATTCATGGTTTGTTTTGCTATTTGGTGCTGCTAATTCGTAATTTGTTCACAGTAGTAAGTGAAATTGATTCAGTGTGTGCAATCTGTCTCTTGTAGGTGTATGTTTACTACTTTGCCTCGTTCATCCTACTGCTGCGTGAGGTTCTACGTCCTGGCGTGTTATGGTTCTTGCGTAACCTCAATGATCCTGACTTCAGTCCCATACAGGTCAGTTGTCAAAGCGTCTAGTCTATATACAGGTTGTCTCGCCACTGTACCGTCCCTTCGGTGTGCATTGAACACGCCACGTCACTGCCACGTCTGTGCCTCGTCCACATCTCACATCTGTTCTCACGTCTGTTCACATCTCAGGGGTGAACAGTTAGACTGTTACTGCGAGTCGTTAAAAATGCATCAATAGTATTTTGAAAATTTTGGAAACAATTTGCAAAGTTCATAGGAATAAAACAATCTTATATATTAAAAAACTGTTGCAAAGCTTATGACAGCTAGCCTGACTTTACTACTGGACCAAATTACACGCGGGTTGTACCAAAAGAAAGGTTATTGGTCCTGTATGTGCAGGTTTTATTTGTATTTTGAAAATATTTATGTTAATTGGGTTAACATAGATATGTTAACATGGGCCTTATGGGTTGCCATGTTGGTGACGAAATAACAACAAAATGAAAATATAAACAGGAAATCAAAACAAATGTAAGAAATTCCAATCACAGCGTTTTATTTACAGTGTGGGGTAAAAATAGAGAAGTTTGGACAATACACACTTTTGGTCGAGTTTTCGACCACGGGGCGAGCTCTAGTACTTAACTAGGCCTAAAAGAATTCATATGGATTCAGCATTTTTGTTTGGCGAATACTAATTAATTGTCTGGGTAGCCGAGTGGTTATAATGTTATAATGTTTTTAAGGAAAACAAGGTTACCAATATAAGCTGGTTTTGCCTATAAAAAGTGTTTTAAGGACTAAGGTAGTTGTAACTGTTTGTGTTGTAATTCAATAGTACACTGAGTGGTGTTTCAGGAGATGATCCACTTGCCTATAGTGCGCCATGTGCGTCGTCTGCTGGCCTCCGCTGTGATATTCGGCACTGCAGTGCTGCTCATGTTGTGGCTGCCTGTGAGACTGCTGCGCGCTGCCTGGCCTACCTTCCTACCTTACACCGTCGCATTGCACTCGGAAGCACAGGTATGTGCACTCTGCTTAGGTAGGGTTAGGAACCTTTTGTCAGAACATTTGCGGATCAATACCTTTGTAGCTTCGTAGGCATATTGTCATGTTAAAGATATGGTTAGTTTAAGAATGAAAATGGATGAAGTTTGATTGAGCTAGTACAGTGTGCTGATTTAAAGTAACACACTGATTTTGCTCGTTGCGTTTTTTTAATGAAGCACAACTTTTGAGAAACCGTGAGCCGTACAACTATCAAATAATTATTTGAATGAAAGGTGAATGTGAAAATTCCCCTGAAAAAAATAACAGTTTTCTATAAACTCTCTCCTAAGGACAGGAACCTCAATTAAAAGTCTTAATTTAATCACACTTTAAATTTTGAAGATTCATCAGATGTTGATGTTAGATTTGTTTATTTATAGTTCGTTTACTTTTTCCATGAGTTTATCTTTTGATTTTCACTTTAGATGTCACGATAAAGTTATTAAATTTGATTCTGTCACACAGTTTAGAGTCAGATTCTTTATTGGTCATCAATGTGATAAACATCATGCAAAAAATTACAACGACCAAAAACAACACATGCAAATGCAGATCACTGGTTACAAGCATAAGAGAACAGCCTATTATAGAAATGAAGATATTATAATTTATTGCAAACAAACAAGAAATTGTCATTGAAATTAGCAATAACGATTGAGATTTGCCTGTATAATTTATATGGTAAGTGTGTGTAACTGTTTTTTACAGTACATTTATAGACCCACATTATTGTCGTATTCTTGTCTCGTTCTGAAGATGTCTCCTACGGTATCCCAAAGTCAATGGTTTAAAAAGACTAAGCTTTGGTTAGAAAATTTGTGCATTAGTACTGTATGAATTAATAACCAGCCCTACTGATTATTTAGTAATTTTTTGACTGACTATTCTTATGTCCCAACAATATTTGTTGTTATCTCCTTGTTTTTTATTGAAAGTGGGTTTGTGGGTTAAGGAATATTCAGGATCCATTTAATTTTATTATATTTCTTGGCAGTAGCAAAATTGACTTCTCCAACTGTCAGATTAAACTTCTTTTTTTATATAAACTATGAGAGCTATCATCTGGATCTAAGTATTTTCCATTGCGATATTTGATGTAATCAATTTTTTCTTTACTGACCATCTATTTCTCTTATGATCCTCCATCGTCCAGGCAGGTTCAGGTTGTTAAATAAATATCACTATGTTAAATCACAATATTTGGAAACATCTAAAGTGACATTTGCGATAAGGTGAGATGCAATCTAAGTGTTTTCAAAACAACAACTGTTTGTTTATGATTAGAAACATTAAAATAGGAGGTTTATCAAGAAGTGTATTTAGTTAATATTTGTAAACAATGGCCCCATGACTCAGCCTTATGGCAGGACTAATCTCGGTTTTCCATGGTCTAGTTGTGTAACTTTGCCTACTACACTTGTTTTACAAGATGTTATCTTCTTTCCAAATATATTCTAAATAGATCTGTTTTGCTTTAATTGCTAGTAGTGTACCTGTTGATTGAATTCCAGCAATTGCAAAGTTTTACAGGAGTTATTTCAAAACTAACAGTAATAATTTTCTTTGAGATTAAAAGAGTCAACTAAAAAATTATGTAACTAATGGAAATTCTGAAGTTGTACATAACAGTTTGATAATCAACATTTCTAGTAAATATTTGGTAGATAATACGCATAGTAAATACGCGTTTCCTTAAATTGCTACTAAAATATTAACAGCAATCCAATTATCTAGCTGATCTTAATGTAAACAAATAACATCTAACCTTCTTCAAATAACATCTGTTATCCTTCTTCTTAAGGATAACATAGGAACTTTAAAAGCCTGTAGCAGAGCCCAAGGGACTTTTTCAAAAACTTATGATCAGTTTGCACACCTATGCGACACACTGTTTCTAATGAGACGTGAATGGTCAAAATTGGTTAAGAAATGGCGGAGGAGTTCAGTACACAAATTTCATTTTGGCATATTAATTATATAGATTTTCTTCTGAATAAATTGGGGTTTTTTTTTTAACTACACACTTATTGTTTAGACTAACTTTTCTGAATTTTTATGTCAAGGTCTTTCATTTCACCAAAAATGCTTATCAAATTTTGAGGAGCACTAAATAATAAATTAATCTTGCAAGTGGTCTAAATAAAATAAAATTGTTGTATTCGTCTTACCATAAGTACTACGGTAAAAGCTTGTTCCCTATATGGGAAATTTGCTTAAACTATTCCATTTCAGTTTAAGGACGCTAAAATGTAAGCTACAAAAATGTACAGTCAATTTATTATTCTAGTTGATAACAATTTGATATGTAAATAAATATTTTTTCATTGTAGTAAATTTATGTAACCTGGGAAGAGCAGTAATTGGATCTTCCAACTGTCTGGAATATTATGAATATTATACCTGGGAGATAATAGATCCTGATTTGGTTTGGCTCATAAAATATTTTGAAGAATGAATTTAAACTGTGAAGATGCAAGATTCCTTAAACCAGGGCCTATAACATCGGACAATCGATAGGACTAAGACGTTTCATTCCATTTTGAAGGTTTAACAGTTTAAGAAACAAAATGGAGCAACCAACAGAGTGTTGAAGTCAATTATTGTGGAATCTGTAAAGCTTTCAAAAACACCTGTAAACTATATAGCATTCTTAATGTCACATCTCATCCAAGTATCTAAAAATGAGGGATAATATAGAATTTTAACATTAGCAACCCTCTGGCACATTCAACTATTGTCAACCAGCTGTTTTGGTTTGACATCAAGTTGCACCAGTGTAGTACAATGTTATGTTTTGTTTTGAAGGTGAAGGAGCTGTCGCTAGAGCTGCTACTGCTACAGGTGATACTGCCAGCTCTGCTAGAGCAGTCTGACGCTCGCAGTGGTGTACCAGTGCAGTACAATGTTATGTTTTGTTTTGAAGGTGAACGAGCTGTCGCTAGAGCTGCTACTGCTACAGGTGATACTGCCAGCTCTGCTAGAGCAGTCTGACGCTCGCAGTGGTGTACCAGTGCAGTACAATGTTATGTTTTGTTTTGAAGGTGAACGAGCTGTCGCTAGAGCTGCTACTGCTACAGGTGATACTGCCAGCTCTGCTAGAGCAGTCTCACACTCGCACATGGCTCAAGGCAGTGATACGACAGTGGTGTCGCCTCGTCAGCTGGGTGCTTGACCTCAAGTCATACCTACTGGGTGATGAGACTGAGCGACCACCCCAGGTCAGACATCTTACTTACTCCCATGGCCATGTATATCCTAGGTGGTATTTAGTCTGGCCAACAAGTTGCCTCCATCTCCCCATGTTTTTCAAATCTTGCCTTGCTCTCAATTTTGCAAATCTTTCTCCACCTGGTCAATTCAGGGATTCTTGGGTCTTCCTCAGGGTCTTCTTCTTACTTGGTTTTACCTTCAAACTTCTTTATTTAGTTCCATCTTCCGTCATAAAAAAGTATGTTAGCATATTTTAGATAACTTTCAATTCATAATTAATGTTCTCCTTAAGCATTGATTATTTTATTTATCTGTCACATTTTCCATTGAATGTATTGTTACCTAGGTGGACAACAACAACGGAGGTGGAGATCTGGGAGCAGCACACCAGGCGTTGCTGCAGAGAGGGGGTCCTACAGGCTTCCAACCGTACGTTCGTCCCACGCTGTTCCCCGCCAGGATTGTCGGACTGTTGGTAATTGTTTGCATCTCTCTGGTGATAGCCAGTCTGGTCGCCTTGACAGTGCCGGTGTGGCTGGGACGCAAGGTGATGGCGCTGTGGCCGGTGGGCACCCCGGTGCAAGGGACCACCGTCAGAGTCACACCCATTCACGAGCTGTACACCGCAAGCTGCGGAACTTACCTGTGCTGGCTGACTGCTCGCGCCATTGCTCTACTGCTCAGTTGGCTACCACAGGGGCGACAGGCAATTACAGAGAAGCTCTGCAAATGGTGTGTGGTCGGATTGAAGTCTGCCGTCGCATTCTCCGTGTTGGTAGGAGTGATTCCGCTACTCTTCGGTCTGTTGTTGGAGTTGGTGGTGGTGGTGCCTCTGAGAGTGCCACTGGACCAGACCCCCGTACTGTGGATCTGGCAGGACTGGGCTTTGGGTGTCTTGTACACCAAGATTGCGTGCGCTGTGACTATGATGGGTCCGGAGTGGGCTTTGCGCCGCGCTATCGAACGAGCCTACAGGGATGGACTACGTGCCATGGACCTGGGTCTGGTACTGCGCGAGTTAGCTGCTCCGGTCATCGCTTGTTTGAGTCTTGCGCTTGCTGTGCCATACGCGGTCGCGCACACCTTTGTCCCTTTGTTTGTAACCAGCCCTCAAATGAGGAACGTGATCGCACGCAGAGTCTATCCACTCTTGTTGTTGATTTCCATCGTCATAGGAATCATAACCTTCCAGATAAGGCAGTTTGCTAAACTCTACGAGCATATTAAGAATGACAAATACCTTGTCGGCAGAAGACTCGTAAATTATCATCACAAATCTTCATTGCAAAATTAAAACTTGTTTTTGTAACGTACGGACTGATTCAGTATAAATGTTAATTTACTTAATTAGGAAATAGTACTAGTTAGTATAGTCCTAATTTTGTTTATTATGTTCCTTAAATAGAAAATAAAATTTCCCAACTTTCTCTGTATAGTTATTTTTAGTTTGCATATTATTAGGGAGTTCTATACGATAGTTTACTTCCATGCAAATTCTGTTATGTTGCCTTGATCCATGAATTATAACTAACTGCACATTAGGCTACATGTATTAAATGGATCAGTAATCAATTGTGATACATGCTACAAGAACCAAGGTTTATAGTTATAGGACAAGTGTTTTTTTTTTTTTTTTGTTATTTAGTAAAACTGCTAAAAAAGTTCATCTATGAGGAATTTAATTTTCCCAAATTGCCAGACATGATACCTTTAAGGAGCTATAGCCTCCTACAGTATGTTTTTCAGGATGAGTTTGGGTTAGGCTTAGTGATTTTGATTATAAAAGTTGGTGAGGTACCATGTAAAAATCAAAAGTAACTTAACTGGATTCTAATCCTTTACTAGCTTCCTTGGTTTTTGAATAATAATTTATACGTTTATGTATAGCTCAACATTAAATACACACTTTAAGCAACAACATTTTGTTATGATGATTAATTTTACTATTTTTTCCAATGTTCGCAGGCCTTTTCTAGAAAACAAATAAATTTTTTGATTCCAACGTTATTTTGGACATTTTTAAAATACATTTTATAATTCCTTGTAGGTTTTGGTATTCGGCAGTTTTACTATTAATTTATTAGTTGTGGGAGGTTTTTTTGATATGGTTGATTTCCCTGGTGATAGGAACATTTTATCTTGTTTGGCAATTTTTTATAACTTTATAAATATACTATACTTTATATATACAATACTTTTATAACAGTATCTTTGATCTTTATAACTTTATTGTTAAATATTTGAAAATTCAACATACTTAATATTTAATGTTGTATCGTTAAATTAAATTAAAAACTCTTAAAATCAAGAAATTTCAGGAAAGATCATTTATAGCAACAAGTGTTGTGATTCAGTCTGTTTTCGTGATTCCATTACTAGGTTTATTTAACTTTTTAAGCGCTGCTTTAACTTAATTATAAGATGTGTTTTATTTTATGAACCTATTTAGCTCTTATATTTTTAAGGTAAATTACTATATCCATGCTATGGCCATCAATTGAATTTTCCTTTAGGTTTTGGGTTTCTGTTCAAAGGCTGAACATTTTAAATTTGTTTTAGAAATTGTATTACATTGGAAGAAGTGATATTTTTTACTATTCGAGGAGTCAGTTCTAACCAAAATAGTGTTACCTAACGTATCCGTTATGCTGCTTCATTCCTTTTGAGTTTTGTACATTAGATATTCCTTTTGCTATTCGTAAAAACATTATGTTTCTAAACTCTCATTTGATTTGTAAATATATAATGAATTAGTTTTATATAAGTGTGCACTCGTAACCCTGTCATGTTTATACTTTTTCAAGTGTTAAGTGTTGAACAATTTGTTTTGATTTTGTGTTTTGAGAATGGGTTTCAACTCAGGATCAATAATTTAGTTTAATATATTTAAACAGAATACTTTAAAACTTAAGGTTCACTCTAATTATTGATATAACTTATATTAACAAAAAAAGTATTTAATTTTATATGTCGTGGACCTTACCAGTTTTAAGGTGATCTGATATTGTTTGTTTTTACCTGTGTATAAGCCGCTCTTGATGATTTTGTATTGTATTATGATTTTCTGTCAACGGTTAAATTTGAAATAAAATATGAGATGTTTTCAATATGTTTAATATTTTTCTCTTAGACCTCTTATATCAAATTACAACAGTTTTGACCTTTCATTTTTAAATTGCATTTTAACTTTGTTGGTTTTACTTCATTTAAGGTTAAATAATTATCTGCTGATTGGCAGCTTGAAAGACGTATCAGTTGTGCAAAAATATCAGTTCGACTTCATCCAAAGATCATCCAAGTTGTAGGGGAGTTTTAGACAGGCCTCCTTACTATGTTCTATTTACTGCCCGCAACTCCAGAGTAGAATAAAATAATATCAAATCAGGAATAATATATCCCGTTGAAATTAATAGAAACATTGCCAAAAAACACACAATATAGCAAAACTAGAAATCTGACAGATAAAAGAAACCTAAAGAGGGCCACTCGACAACTAAAAAGGTTACCGTTTAAAGTAATGGAAGATTTTCACGACTTCACATCAAACCTTTCCCCCTCTGAAGCTAGTGACTACTCCACTACTCCCTTTAGCAAGTTTCAAAAAACTAACGTCTACAAATTTGCATTCCACCTTTTTTGAAAGAAGGGTGTTCTTGGACAAAAATAGCATTGGGAAAGCAGATGTCTTTGCTTCATACTTTTAAAAAGTGTTCAAGCCATATAATATAAATTGGAATGTTGAACAGAAAATTTAGGAATTTCTTGATTCTCCAAATTAACTTAATTTAGGCTACCAATAAAATTATTTACACTATCTTTTAGCTTAAGTAATAAAAGACAGTTTAAGAAAAAAGATGTAAAAAAGTCCCTGGTTATGATCAGATAACAAGTCAAGTGTTGAGAGCTACTTACCTATTGGGAAATCCGCTAAAAAAAGTGGCAAAAATAAGCAATTAATCGCAGGTTTGAACACAGTAGCGTTGACTTATGTCACAATGTGGGCATTAACTATAAACTATTTTATTTATAGAGAAGAGGCGACACAGATTGCAGCGGAAAGCAGCCACGCCGGATGGTGAAAATGCAATACTGCGTCAACCTCTTTGCCGACCCGCAAAAGGTGAGGAATAGTGCAAATATACAGTATTGTAGTGCCGCCGCCCAAACGTTTCCTTGGATCTTGTACGGATAGGAACGTGGAATGGTATTCCTCACAGCAGCTCAGGGTAGTCAATGGTCCCATTTACAATCCTCATGAGAAGCAAAGCATCCGAAAATTTCCTCCGATCTTCCAAGCTGCATAGATTAAACTGAAACCTGATGAGATTCACGGGAGCATCAAGGTATCGATATTACATTCTACAGCCAAGAATCCTAATAAAATGGACGTGAACTCTCTCCGGCGAAGACATTAGTCCAGTCTGGTAGGTAGCCCAGACAGGAGAGTTGTATTCGAGGATGGGACGAACCAGAGCACGAAAAAGCAACGCCACAGCATTAATGGAGAGTCCTTGAGTGAAGCGGAAGAGAAAACCAAGAGTGGAACTTGCTTTGTGGCAAATTTGTTGGATATGTTCTCCTGGATGAAGTGTTGGAGTAGTTTTTATGTCAAGATCTTTACACTTCCAAACTCTGCACAGAGGGTCGTCCCTAAGAAAGTAGCCGTGCTCATGAGTGTTCTGATGATTGCAATAAAAGGAATAATGACACATTTAGAGATTTTCAGGTTCGTTTGAGTTATCAAGGCACCAATTCATCACTGCATTTATTCTTTATTGACGACTGAAGACGGGTGAAGTCTTGGACATTGGAGATCTCCAATAAAAGTTTTGCATCATCAGCGAACAGTAGGTACTGTTACCAATAAGTACTGTACTGTACCAATAAGGTATTGAGTGAAAATTTAAAAACGTACGTTTTCAGAAAAAGCACTTTGCAAATTTTTTTCCCCTTTTTTCAAAACTGTTATTATTATTTTTATTTCATTAACATTTGAAGTTTCATAAAATGTCCATGGTAACGCAATATCTTTGGTAGTTTCTTTTTAAAAGAGCATCTTTAGTGGAAAAACACAAAATCCTGTCACGACCATAACGGACGTTTAAATGAATATTAAAAATGGTTAATATTATTTTTATAACTATGTTTTGCTATAAACTAATTTACTTTTATGACCATTATACAATAAAAAGGTCACTAAGCTTTTAGTATATTTGGTCTTTCCAGAAAAAAATAAAAAAACTCAAAAAATTGAAATAAAGCCAATAAAATCTTTTTAAGTTTGTATAACTACGAAAGAACTTACCTGAGACCCGAAAAATCGTTATGTTTGTATAGAGGTGTGCTTCTTTTGTGTATAAAACATTGAAATATGACGATATTTTAATTTTTGAAATTGTTATGATAGAAATCATAAACGTGATGGTCAGGGACAAGCGGTACGGTCGTGAATTGTCTGGGATAATTTAAATCTTTCTAGGCAATCCTTCAATTATACTGTTAGTTATGATAAAAATATGTGTTTCAATTGAACTAAACTGTTCAATTCACAATTATATTAAAGTTATTGTCACGACCAAACACACTATAATCCATAAGGCTGGATTGGTCGTGAAAAAACCCGCGATGGTCGTGAAACTTTGGTCGTGAAATTACGTGTTATTTGGCTCTGTTCTGGCGGTAGCCCTGCACCTCATGTTCGAGGATACAAAGTGGACTTCTAGGTTAATCTAGCAATTGAAATATCTTATAAACAAAAATTAACACCATTTCTACTTCATCGAATGACTACGTACGGTCATGGACACACCAAAATTACAAAAAACACAATCTTTCCTTTATTAATCTTGTAATTCCTCCTTTCAACTCGAAACGACCGGCACTACAATCCTGACGTACACCCCGAACTAGTCTCTCAAACCAACTGACTCCATCGACGCCAGGCTTGCCACTGTCGGGCTCCAAAGTTGAAAATTTTTCCCAAATGGTCGTGACGCCAAATCGAGGGACAGACTTATTTTGTCATGGTAGTCAGTTTGCAATGACAATAAAATTATAATATGCTCCTTTTTTGTAAGTTTAATAACCATTGATGACATAAAAATATGGCTTTATATATTTCGGCATGAATAATTAGTCTAAAAACAGCGTGAAAGTTGGAAAATGTACCCTAGGGACACGTCATGGTCGTGAATTTTGAGACTTTAAAAATACGAAAAAAATACCTAGAACCTATTTAAAACCAAATAAATGTGTGTAACATGTTGCCCCCGTCCCAAAAAATATTAAAACACATAATAATAAACTACAAATCAAGTATCTACGAAGTAAAAGGCCAGGGACATGAAAACGTACGTTTTTAAATTTTCACTCTATTGCCAATTTCATTTATAAATAAGTTGAATAGAAAGGGTTCGAGAGGTGAGACCCTTGTGGCACTCAAGATGATGAGTGGATGGGATACGAGTAAGCAGTCCCACATCTAACTTTTAAAGAGCGCCCGCCCTGAAGGTAGGATTTATTAAACTGAAGTAGAGGTCCACGGTTGCCAGATTTGAATATAGGTACAATAACACCTGATTTTAAGCACTGAGGGAATATTCCATTGGAGAAGAAAATGTGCTGCAAAACTTCAGTATTTATGGGGGAATACTGTCCGGACCTGCCCCTTATTTGTTAGGATAGGATCCAGCTTTTTGAGAGTTTATATCTTCAATTATTTCGGCAGAGATGTGCCATGATGATATTGTCTTGAAATTGGCGAAGTTGAGGTTTGGAGGATCTTCATTTGATTCAGTAAATATTGACAAAAAGTAATCAGCAAGGGTGTGTGAAATTTTGACTGGTTCCACAACAACACATAATCATTTACAAGGATTGAATTAGGATTAGACAACGTATTCCTCTGCTGATTGATGAAATTCCAGAAACAGAAACGTTTAGGGTTGTTTCTAACGGTATCCATCCGACCAAGCCAAGATGCCTTTGGTGACTGGAAAAAAAAGACTGGGACGGGTGGCGTCGTCCTGTAATCCAGCTACTAGGAGGTCACGAATTATGGATATTTATAGGCATGCACTGTGAATGCGATGCTCCCTGGTGTGGATTAACGTCCGCACGAGTGAGTACTCGACTATCCACAGTACTACCCTGATAATTAGACCAATATTCGTTAACTACCAAGGAAAGAACGTGGTTTGTATTCCACTCTTAACTGTAGGTCCCTTAGTTGCAATTAGCCATTTGGGCTATTAATTAACAGCTGTGTCTAAGGAACATGTCGACATTAGTTGCAGAGAGGAACGCCCACTTGTTAAATTATGAATTTCAATCTCAGAGGGGAACGCCCCTAGTTAAATTCTGCCTTTGATCTAAGAGGAGACTAGTTATATTCTGACTTAAGTGACTTTAAACTTAGAATTTTAAGTTTTTTTCTCGGAGATTAATTAAAATATTTTTTTAAGTTGGTGGCCCTTCAGTGCCGTCGTAAACCACGGCCGCCTTTAGGCCTAACTACAAACCCAATCGATCATGTGAAATCAACCAATTTTTTAGGCTTGATAATATTCAGTAGTCTATGATAATATTTTAATATTAAAGCATTAAGGACTCAAGGACTGGACTTCTAGTAATTTGTGTTACTATATTTTGTGCCTTATTTTCGTGGTTGTGGTGGTACTACTAAGTGGAGTTGAATAATGAATTATTTTTGTTGGTGTTGGCGCCTTGATTTGGTTGATGTTTGGTGTTTTTTTGCTGATTGCTGATTGGTGAAGAAAAAACAACAATGGAAAATGCTTAGATTCGCCCAAATACTTCCAAAATTTAAGAATTATCTGTGTAAATGTTAATTGTTGTTTAGGGTGGTGCTAATGGCGTCAATCTTTTCAAATATTTTATAGGCCAAGACTTGCTTTAAATTCCAAATTATTTATACGTTTTATATGCTAGAAAAGTTTTCCTTAACCTCATTTATAGGTTATTGTTAGTTTAATTGTATAATGCTTAGAATTAATACAATTATTACAGTACCGGTAGGCCTATCTTTATTAGCTGATTAGTCGCTAGGGACCTATAGCAATAAGCAAGCAAAATGTGTGAATTTCAATCGTTTACACATTGCCAGTGGGAATTAACCCGCATCCCTCCAAAAGGATTGTCACTCAAAGACATAGACCCAATCTGTGAATTCCTAAAGAAAGGCTTGGTAAGTATTTAAGTTAAGTTAGGCCTAGCTTAGATTTTACTTAGGCCTATTGAGTAACAAAAATAGTAACATAGGGCCTACTTAGTTAGTCCTAGTTGTCGCTTTAGACTTTATATTTGTTCCATGGGGTTTGCTTAGGCTACTCTATGACTCCAGTGAGAAATAAATTAATTCTTTCCTATAGCCTAGGCCTAGACCTAGACCAAGCCTATTTTCAGATTTTGCATAGGACCGAATAGACCTAGGTCTGGACAATAAGGCTCATACTTCTGAATTAATTTTATACTGTTGCCTCCATCTCCTGGACAATGTTGTTAATTTAAAATTTATTTATCAGTAGCCTATAAGTTACTTAGGTTAGGCTTCTAGGCCTTAATTATGATCGGTTTCTTACAACACCTGTAATCGTGGACATCTGCTGTGGTCACGGAGGGATCGTGAACATCTTCTGTGTTCTTAGCAAAATAGCCTAGTGTACATCATGCGAGATAGCCTAATCATAAGTTTGTGTCCACCGACCTTTCCGGGCGAAGCCCCGCCACGCAACCGAATAAGCGAACGCAATTGGCATTCAAATATTTCAGTCTGACGAATCACAAAAGAGCAGTGGTGACTGTGCTGCGTTACCCCGAGAGTGGATGTAGTTCACTGAAACACCCAAAGGTAGCAGCACTGCACGGATCCGTAGCTATCCAGTGTCTTTGTAATGTGGGTTGAAGTGAAAAAATCCCCGAAACCGGGACAAAAGCATTGCCAGACAGGATTTTACGGGAAATTTTAGTACCAACCTACACCAAAGTAAAGCTCGCATTCTAAGCTGGCAGTCTGGCAACGATTATAACGTCTCCGTCTGAGGCTAAGCTCACACTGACTCAATATATTTCTGTTGGTCTGGTGCCGACTTTTGTCGGCGCACGCTACATTGAAGTGCTAGCGACGCGTTAGCAGTCAACATGTTAATTATCCCTAGCAGTGGCCGATCGTCGTCTGGTGACGATCTGACGTTGATGCTTAGAATGGCCAAAGTCGTCTGGTGACGATGTGGGTCGAAATTTTTTTAGCGAAAAAAAAACACTTACTAATCAACTCAGATGAGAATAATATATATACCATTCGAAAGATCACATTCTGAACTTTCATTTTATTACATAAACAAACCCTGTAGCAGGTATATAACAATGTCACGACGATTAGAAATCAAATGAATTTTTGGTGCGGCATGACTTTTGCAGCCGACACTTGGGAACTGGCAAAACACATCTTGTTTGGCATTACCCTGCTCGGGTAATTTTCGTCGTGGGATGTTGCGGGTGGTACCACTGGATAGCCATTGATTTTATCTTCATTGTGGTAGTAATATTTAGAATGAAATATTGATTGCACAACCGGTACGATTTTATGAAAACAGCTGTTTTCGAAATTTTTAACAAATGGCCAATGGTCGTCAGGTGACGATATGGAAAATACGAATTAACTACACTGTAGGCTAAGTTATTATTACTAGTCATATAATATGTCATTTTGAAGAGGGAGAAATATATAGGCAGGAGACATACCAAGTTAATCTTTGTCTCCTTCGATAATGACAAAATTGTGAATAAACTTAGGCCTATTTTCTGAGTTTGCAGGGATGTGATCTTCGTTTCCTGTGGTCACGGTCCTGGACATCTTCTGTGAATAGTGACAACTCCTACGTTAACCCTCCGAGTGTTAAGCGTCGCGTAATCGACGCACAACACACCCGCCGTGGTGTTATGCGTCGCTTTTGCGTCACACAAACATCGTTTACGTCGAAGGCTCTGGGACTGACTGAATCAGATTGAACTGGATTGAGATTGGTATCGTTGTTTTCGGCAGATTCTAAGCTTCCTATTGATGTCTGTTTCTAGACGCTTTTCATATTAGTTCCGAAAATATTGTAGCAGACAGATGACGTGCGTATTTGTAAACAACTTGGTTAACCTCGCACTGATGACTGATGTGTTTTATTATGTTTATCATTGTTTTAGTGTTAAAAATAAAAAGTAGTGATATATGAGCTGTGCATTATAAGAAGATTTAAGTAATTTTGAATGGCTGGTTGATGATCCTGAAGAAGTAGGTAGTGATATTGATCGATGTAAATTATCCGCCAGATTCCTAGCTATGGTTAGGCTATGCATTCTTAGCTGACGCTAAATGTACGAAATCCGTTTTTCACCCATAACTTATTTATTTGCAATCCTATGTTCTTCCTTTATTATTATATTTTTGGAATCCCCATAAAATTTATAACAAAGTGGCTATTTTAAAATATTTATAGACCTATAAATTATAAAAATTTATTGAGCGCAAACATAAATTTTTTTCATTTTATTTTATAATTGTTGAGAAATGTTAACCCCACAAAAATTGTTGAAATTTTTTTGGTAATGTTTTATACATTAAATAGAGCCCATATGTAATTTCCCAAACAAAATGATATATAAAACAGTACCTATACTTATAGAGTGATTTTAAGTTTCTAAGATATATTTTAATAAAACCCTGCGATTGCGCAATAAATGGGCCGACATTAAATACCTACCATTACTATGGATATAGGCCTAATGTAAATATTTTGTGGTCGTGTGCAGATTTCATCAACGTCTCCCTCAATTGCAGTGAAACAGATTATTAATGAATTAAATTTTATCAAGAACAAAATTTGTGGCCCCAAGCGAGGCTCCCTAGGTCCTAGGACGAGGCCCACAGTAACCGCCATATGTCCGTTGTTAGGGAAATGCAGGCCTGGTAGTTGATTGCAATCTGTATCTTAGTCGATTGTTTAGTTTGATGTTGACTTTTGTTAAAACTGTCAAAACTGGAGGAAATTGTAGATATTTTTTTAGTTCAGGATATCTCACAAGGCAGTATGTTTATTTATAGGCCGACTGGCACTTAATGAATAGGCCCTACGGTATGTCTAGTAAAAGCCAGGATCATTTCTAACTTCTTTAAGTTAACACATTAGGCACTCCCTAATAATTGCATCTCATAAGCCACCATATGAATGTCAGTGCCACTGACATGTCAGTACGATACCTGAAAGCCAAAATTTTCGTTTTGACAGATTCTTAACCCTCGAGTTCACGCGTAAGTTAACTTAGCTGTTTAAATTACAGTGTTTGTACTTTTTTTGCTAGAAGTAGGTCTATTGTGTACCCCTCAGTGGCTAGATGTGGAATCTAACAAGGAAAGTAGGATTGATAGTCCATCGTCGAATGTTGAGGATGTTGAATATTTAGTGAAGCTTGCAGGATATTTTTGATAGGAATTTCATCTAGCCTACAAAACAGTGATGAAATATGAAAGTTAAGACCATTCATATTCATAACTGAACTACTTTTAATAAACTAACTTAGGCCTGTAATTTTGTTTGACACGACTAATGCAAATTTGTATATTTGTAACTTTGGTTGAATAAACGAGCTATGGAGTTATTGAGCTATATATGTTTCATAGATTAATACCGGTACCTATACAGTTTGTGTCATCATATTTATTGTGTACCGGTATGTCATTTATAGATAAACTACTGTAAAAAAAACTTTCTGATCTAAAAGGCAAGCCCTCACTGACTCACTGACTGACTCACTCACTCACTCAATCATCACTAATTCTCCCACTTCCCATTAACTTAGGAAGCTGAAATTCGGTACACCGATTCTTTGGGCATTAAATAGGACAACTAAATTGTTTTTATTCTGATCGGGCTTTTGGGCTCCGCCCCAGTGGCTCTGGAGTTTCCCATGTTAACCTTATGATTTTTCATATTTAAAGTGATTTAATGAATCTTAAGAGCTGTTTCAATTAAACAAGTTGGTTCTGTTCTATGATGTTCAATAGCATTAAAGTTACAAGGATTACCAACAGGGTGAAGCACTATTATTTTTTTTAATCTATGACAACATTGACAACAGCTAATTTGCAACGAAAAGGTGAGTGAGCGTAGCGAACGAACTTCAACCAGGACGTGATTGAGCCATGCGAATACTTGTGAAGTTAAACTAGTTGATTTATATGAGAATCAGTTTGCCACAAAAAAAAAAAAAAAAAACAATTCAAGGTGTATGATTTCATTACAACAGCCCATTTAGTAATGTTTTAACTTATTATTTTAAGCATATTCAGAAGGTTAAAGATGAATTACTTTAGGCAGGCCTACAATATTTTTACGCTTTTGAGTAGCCTAATTAAAATAATATTTCTTACTGAATTAGGCCTTTTTAGGCTAACCTGGCCGGGAAGACAAAAACGTTTTCAATTCAGTGCGACCTCTGCCAGGTTAAGATCGTAACCCTGGTATTCGAAATGTTTAAATGTTGGAACTGGTCTTTTGATGCCAACAGGGCACAAGAACTTTACTAATGTTTTAATGTGATACAGCATCCGCAGCATCAGGTTAATTAAGTTAGGGGCTCAGTGGACATTAATCGGACACTGGTTGACAAATTACTTTTATTGTTTGTTTACTTACACAATTTAAACGTGGGCTAAAACGAAACTCAAAATCACCAAAACATTGGACAAACCGTTTTTGTGGTTAGCGACATCCCAATCATCTACCACGATCCTGGAAACATCATCATCACTTAATTTTTCATGATCGAGGTTTTCTTACTTGTCAAAACAAAGTAAAAAAAGAAAAAGTAACTTAGAACGTTGGCAATGAATAAAATGAGCAATGAGGGATGCTCGGCAACAGGCTATTGTCGGTGATAAACTTCATAGGCTTAATTAAAAATTTCCCTGACCTATATAAAATTATCTACAGGGCTTTTGTACGGTCATCGAAATTACGTAGGTACAGTTCTCGGTTGGCTGTTACAGACTGAAGTTAAAAAATCAGCAAAGCGTTTACTCTTATTGAGATCTTTGCCTCTATTTTGATTTTCATTTGTTCACAAACAATCCATTTTACAAAGAAATACAATGCCACTGTTGTGCTCAATTTTCATAATAGGCTACACAAATAAGGAGCATGCTTGTGTAACATAATAGTACTTAAAAGAACTTAACAATGAGAGACTTGTGACTAGAATACATTTATTTATTGATTTATTATTGATTTGGGAGGAGATTTACCATACCTCTTTTCTGATATCTTTGCGAATATTCACTTCAGCATTAACAATCCTTTAATACTAAGCCTATCCGACTTTTCCCAGCGAGCCAAAGACGAGTAAGACCCACAATCATATGCCCGGGCAATTTATATCTGGCCGGGTGAAATCAGGTAGTGTGAGATGAGCGTAAAAGTGTCTGCTCTTGAAGATAATCTAGTTTTACTCATAAATTGAAATAGGCCTACTGAAAGATCTGTCCAGTTTTCAGCTTTTGTAACATTGCTTCTTTGCTCATAATAATCCCTCTAAAAAACTTCATCTAGCATAAAATTGTTTTACATTGCTCTGCAAAGATTTTACTGGAGACTGTATTACCCCGTATTAACATTTACAGAAAACATCATGATTATTGTCATGCGGTTGTGTCAACTGCCCTCGCTACTCTCATAAGGGCTTTCCAACACAATTTACTTATTTCTTTGTCTATAACTTAATTTTTTTAGATCAAACATTTATTTAAAATGCCTGAGCTGGTAATAGTTATTTGGTAATAACCTAGTTATAGCCATACTACAGACGATATGAACGTTTATATGTTATCAGCTGTCTGTCTTGATGGTCCATGTTTTTAAATAGTAATGAGAAATATATTTGCTTTTTCTATCTTTTCATTATTGGTCGTCAGCATCGTTTTATGTGCAGGAAAGTGTTTGGAAATTTAGACTACTATGTACTTGGTAAATACAATTTCTTTTAAAGCGTTTTTCTGTACCACGAGTTAAAAAAAAAAAATTGGAATAGCCTACTTTCTATCAAGTTCGTCCAACTTTGCAAATTGAATATTTTATTTTATTTTATTTTGCATGCTACAAAACAGAATACAAATCCCATTTACATTGCAGCACTATTCTAGTTTGTACAAAAATTGAGAACATGCTATGAGTTCATAAAATTGAATAAAGTGAATCGTTCATAGACTAAGAATAATAAATATTAATTATTAAATAACAACAACAATAAATAATAGTAGCAATAAGTAACAATAAATAAGAGTGACTAAGAATTACGCAAATAAATAAGATAAACAGATAAGATAAGAAACAAAACATGAGACACAAGATAACTGATGAAGGTGAGAGAAATTAATAACATTAACAATTATGTGAGATTAAAGATTTTTTATAAGAGGCTAGGCTCGAGTTAAAAATATCAACGTTGTTTGATATTAAATAATATAGTCTCATCATCGTGTTGATAGGTGATTGAGCCCCTAGGCAAGTCCGTGAGAAGGACGGACTGAACAACGCGCGGGCTCTGGACGAGGGTCAGCGAACAAGGAACGCTAAACGAGATAAGAGCTCGCTGTCATCAACCTTATCATTGAGTAGTTTGTGTAGAAAGATAAGCATCCCCATATCACGACGTTGCTTTAGACTGACCATTTCAAACAAGTTTAAAAGAGTATGGTAAGATACATCAAATGTGAAGTATCCAAACTTCTTGAAGAATAAATATCTAAGGAATTTGATTTGTATTTGCTCAATCATGTCGACAAGATAGGTTTGATGAGGATACCACACAGTTGTTCCAAACTCAAGTTTAGGCCGTACCAGGGTGCATTATAAAAGTTTGAGACTGTAAATGTTGGTTATAAAACTTCCTGATCTGAATATGAAGCCAAGAATTCGATACGCTGATCTACAAGACTCAATTACATGATTAGAAAAACACAACTTGCTATCAATTGTAACACCAAGATCTGTGACACTACTTCAACTACCCAGTAAATTACCATTCATGGAATATTGGAAGTTAACAGCATTGTGAGTGCGTCTGGTGTAACTGACAACAAAACATTTATCTGAATGGAATTTTAAACCCACATCACTCCAAGCCACTAGTCTATCCAGGTCTTGTTGCAATAGAAGACAATCACTAACGTCATTTATTTCTCTAAAGATCTTTAGATCATCAGCATAAAGAAGGACTTTACTATTCAACACACTGTTAACGATGTCATCAATGAAGATTGTGAACAATATGTGAATATGTGAAAGTATAAAACCATTGAAAGGAGCAGAAGATTTGCCGACGTAGAAGGATAACTTTTAGATGTTCTGGACTTGTACCGTTTTTATGTTCTTGATGTGTTAGTTTTAATTGTGAATTCGACAAGTTGCAAGCTTTGAAAATGTAGTCTTTGCAACAAAACTTGTAATCTAGTGAACAGTCTTAACTGTTGGACTATTTGACGTACATAAAACCTATTATTGTCTTAATATAACAATGTATTATTTTAGGTCCCTTACTCTCATGTCCTTGAAATAGAGAAAATAAAATAAATGTTTGTTACAGATAACATGTGGACGGGCAGTGAACAACACCATCCCTTGCCCCAGTATGCTGAGTTCAAGACGACATTGCAGCTTCATTTTGAAATATGACGGATCTTTGTTCATCCATGATCACAATGTATAGTATATTAATTTATTTTTCTAAATTATTTAACATTTTCTCACTGTAAGGAATTGTTTATACCCACAGACTAGTTTGTAGTCTACTTGAATCTGTAATCAAGATTTGATGGTGTGTTTACTGCATATGATTAATCCTGGTAAATAGTAATATTTAAGCCTACCGGTACTGCTTTCTCAGTCAAGAGATAATCATGCATTAAAGGACTGGAGATCTCCAATGATGCTTCTGAACCTTCTATAACACTCTCGACTTACCGAGGCTGTTGGGGCGAGTCTACTTGGTTACTGAGAATCACAGATAACACAGAGGCCGCCTGAATTTGAGGTTAGGGGTTACGGTACCACATTAGGAAGTCAGATAGCTGAAAAATATATGTTTTAGCAATAGCCTATAAGTTTATAGCAAGCAATAAAAGTGATAAAACAAAATGTACATGCTAACTTAACATTTATTTTTAGCTAATTAAAACGTATGAACTTAGGTACCTTTTGTTTAAGTTTTACCTGAGCTATACTCGGCTCAATCATGTCTCGTCATAACATTGTTAGTTAGTGGCAAAGACTGACAAAAGACTTTGCGAGTCAGTAATGCCCGAGCGGATTTACTACTACAATTGTTTAAATTCTGCAGACGACTTGTTCAGCTTGGTTGGCAGCCAACCTACTCTCGGGACAATAAGAGTCTGCAGTTGGTGGCAGCCAATACCAAGACTGGACTAGTACGATGCTGCAACATCACCCGTTCACTATTTTCAAAACTAATTAAAATATACTAAACAATATTTTTAAATCAGCTGAACAACACGTGGTCCTCATTGACTCCTTCAAAGTCACGTGGTTAATAGGCTCCTCCCTCAACTGCAGATTCTCGTGGACCGTCCTCTTGAACTATGTGAGGGTTTTCTTTGAATTGTCTAAGTTTTTCTCTGTAGAGACTTTTTTCTTTAGTGTTAAGTATAGGGTAGTATGTTGTCAGGTTTTCTTTAGTGTTTTGTTCTCTTACCTAGTCCTTCTTTTTTAAATTATTCATTAGTATATTAGCTGTGTATTGATTATCCTCTTATACTACTGTGTATTGGTATACTCTTGCCTTTATCCCTTGGAATGTACAGTTTGGAAGCAGACAGTACTAGATTTGAGGCTTCATCATTATGTTTTGCCTTTAAAAAAGTTCAAATCAGCTTTAGTTCCTCATTAGTTTATTCTGGGCTTCGTTTGGAATTAGAATATTTTTTTTATAAGCTTTAATTTTGCTCTCCATTTAGTTTTTTTGATTAAATGCATATTTTTCCAGTTATCTGTGTAAAAACATCTATAAACAGGGTTTCCTGCATAGAATTTATATTTAATGACAACTCACTCAAATGGCTTCTTCCCACAGGGAAAAAGCAACTCCTGGCATAGTGTGTTATTCAAAAAGAGGACAAGTAGAACCTTAATCCAATTTTATAAATAGATTGGATCCACGGGAAAATTACTGGACTACTTGGTTTACAGTTAAAAATGTTTTGAAATATTTTATGGTTATAGGCCTAATTGACAAGCTATTGAAAAATTTTCATTTCATAAGCCACATGTTGGGAGGAAGACCTTCCACTCTGTACCAACAATTGTACATTTTGTGGGCTTCAAAGATTTAAAGACACCCAGATAAACCAATTAAAGGTTTTGAATAATAATGTTAAAAAAATCAACAAACTAAAAAACTCATCTTAGTTTAGAATCCAATCAGGTAATGGAAATTCGCTGAGTCTGCAGGTTTGCTGCGGTGGGCTGATTACATTGTAAGTGATAACATTGTATGTAAAAACATTATTGCACAATGCACATTTTACATGTTTTACTAAATTATGTTTAAAAATCATATTTTAAGCCTTAGTAATATAGTTTTAGTGAGGTGTTACAGCCAGGTAGTGTAGAGAATGCTGACTGAGCAGTAGCTTTGTCAGCAAGCAGTGATTGTATGACTCACCTCTCCTTACACTTCTCCATTTTGTTATCTGTTGCTCAGTATAGAGTTAAGGTTTGTTAAGGTGTAGTTGTATATAATTGCAATTATTATCCTCAAGAGTTAAATTTTCCTTCATAATGAGTCCATTGCAAAATGTTCATCAACCAAATCTATTGTTCCTTTGTGATATGTATGGGTGTGGCATTAGTGACATGATCAGTAGGCTTTCACAATACCAGCTCAAGACTGTTTTTAGACCGTCTGCAAAACTGTGTTGCCTCCTCCAGGATATCGATGAAATGATCAAATATTTCTCTAAGAGAGATGTTGTCGTCCTTATCGGTGGATCAAGCGATCTTCGTACATCTTGTGATATTGGTGACTTTATTTGTACAGTTAAAAACGTGTTGGAAAAGACTAAACGTACAAATTTAGTTCTTTCACTTCTACCTCAGGCAATTAACAAGCCTGAATTAAACTTTAGACTCGCAAACGTTAACAAGATTATTGAATCTCTCGGGAATCGATTCGATCACACTATCCTTCTCCACCTTGAATTAGCTCCGCTAGACTTTTTTTCTGATGATTGTACTCAATTTAACTCATTTGGACAAACAAGCATAGCTAAATGGATCTGTGATATTTGTGGACTATTCGGCAAAATACACCCAGAAGGTGTTGGTTATTCACGAGCCGACCATACACAAACAAATGTAAGTGATTATCTATCACCTTAATCTTTCAGCTTGAATTTCTTTTTGTTTGGAGTCATTTTTTCCAAGCCATAAATCCTAATTGAAATAATAATCATTTTAGTTGTTTAGGCCAAGGTCAACGTCTCCAGGGTATCGGCTAGTATGCATCAGTCAGTGTACCGGTCCGCACAACACTAGCCATTTTTGTTTAGGCCGGCCAAAAAGTATTAGTTCATTTTAGGTTGATATCAAAACTCAGTATACAAAAAACTAGGCCAATTCATCAAGGGCAAACTACATGGAAATATAGACATGCCGGAATTACAGCTTTCCTCCTCATCTAATTGGGGTATATTAGGGCAACTCAAAAATCTCAGCATCAAGTTCCATTTTATCTCACCCAGGGATAGGATAAAATAAACATGTTGTTTTGTTGAGCAGAAATAGCTTTAACTGTGAATCTCTATTAGCTAATACAACTAACACACTCACACACTGACCAAAAACACACACACACACACACTTACACTGACTGTTTTAGAATTGTTCATAGGATTTTCTGTGATTGCGAGTATACATCCACCAACAGTTTGTTGATCCATAAAATTTCATAACTATATGGGGACACAAAGTATATGAGTTGTTGGTGTTAAAAATAGCATCTAGATACTTAATACAGCAAGAATTTGCTGTTACATCACTTTTCCGCCTGCCTTACTGACCCGATTTTTATGATTTAGGTGTTGTTTTCAAGCTCCTAATCTAGCATGTTAAATGGGGTGTAAATGGGCAGTAAGAAATGCATGGAGGAATTTGATTCCTGACCTTGGAGGGCATAGGCATTTCTAATGTTTGTACTGTTTTTTTGACACTACCTTCTTTAAAAAAAATGTTTGCGTGAAAATTCCATTTGAGCACTTTTGGATCGCTATGTACGGTTTAAAATTTTAAAAGCATTTGACTTCCTAATAAGGTACTATAACCCCTAACCTCAAAATTTTAGCAACCTCAGTGTTATCCGAGATTATGAGTAACCAACGTAGTCTCAACCGAGCATTAGTGTTGCCAATGAAAAACAAGAACCTTACAAATGTAGACAGTTATCTCACTCACTCTAAACTTAACTAAGTCTATTCATCGATTATACATCTCCCCTTGGGTGTGTATAGTCCAGTTTGCAATATTTTTGGATTAAATATTTCATCAGCCTTTCAGTAAAATTAATACATACAAAAATTCTCGTTAAGACCAACTTAACATTTACATTTTTAATAAAAATAATACAATTCAGTTATGGGAATCGATATTTCAATACTTGACTAAAAACATCAATGTTCGAGAAAATTGGTAACCTGCAATCAACGTAAAAAATATCGAACACGGATAGAAAAACATCGACTCATCCCTACTTTTGACCTTTAGCTGTCAATATGAATCAGATAAAGATGTAGCATACTAATCTTTTGTTATTTTTTTCAGAGTTTAAATGGAACTTTTTTGAATGACACGAAAATTCTGACAGAGCGAGAGATAGCCCTTAGCGATGGAGACGTGATTGGGCTTGGTGTGGATCCGACACAGGATTATGATGTTGCACACCCGCCCACCCATAATGTGGCATCACCGCTCCCATTCATATTCAAATTAAAACGGAGGATTCTCACAAGGGTATTTATAGTAGCTAGGCCTACACTTAATTTATTACTATTTTTATTTCCTTAAATCTATTTAAAGCTCACAAAACTTAGGGGGTTTTAGGGGAAGAAATCTATCCCCTCCACTTGATTCTACCTTTAAAAAATAGCACAACAGCTGAGGTTTGCTAAAACGTCTCAGCTGCAACATACAAGCAAAAATGTGGTGGGGGAACTTCCTCTCAAACCGCGTAAATTTTGTAAACTATAGTGAAGTAGTTGTGTTACTTCAATCTGAATTTGAAACATCTTTGGATATTTTTTTACTCGATAATTAATATTCTATTACTTAAGGCTTGTTTGGTCAAACTTGCAACGTAGATATAACAGTGTAGATATAAAGTCAACGGTACATGAAGACCACCAGTGACAACCTTGAAAGAAAATTTATTTAGGCTTAAAATTAAATGAGTTGCTAATTGATTTCATAAATGAATTTACAGCTACTTACTTTCTTTGAAGGCAATATGGTGTTTACACATTATACCATTTATGTCTAGTAGGAAGTAAAATATCAATATAAATAAATGGTGCAATAACATTTGAACCGTAATTGTTACAGCAATGGGGGGGTTGTACTTTTTTGTTTCGAATTATAAGGACCATGACAAATAAGTTTCAATCAAAACCAGGTTTTTTCTAAAATAAGATTTTTGTTATTTAATGTGTTTTTTATGAGAAAATAACATAAGTTACAATAACTTTTAAACCATAATTTTTATGGAAATGGGATTTGTACAATCTTGTTCATAATTTAAAGGACTATAACATACTTAATCTTGATCAAAATTGTTCGGGTTATTTTCGAGAACAGGTCGTTTTTAAACCATTGTTTTGTGTTTTTGTTGTTGTATGTAAGCGGTATAAATGAATTGCAAAAATAAAGCAATTTCTTTCTTTCAAAATGCCCCATTTAGGGTTCCTAGGCAAAATTGTGATGTACCAACTTAAAAGTAGGCTTTTTTATTTTATTTCTTATGAAAGTGATAGTGAATTAACAACACTTAACACACACAACAACAAGCTCAACACTGTAGGCCTAGTGGTTTCAACACATTATTAACATCCGATAAAATGTTAATCTGGGAATTGATGTATATTTTTAAGTGGCCCCTCTCAGGTTGATTATAAATAAAAAATCAGACATTTTATAGAGCCATAGGGATCTCTATTTTTTTGCTTATTGTATTTTGACTTATGGCCTTTAAAATGAGGTGTCATTTGATGGGGCTTTGTATTAAAACATTTTGAGGTACTCCCAAAATGTCCCGGACAAAAGTGTCATACCGACCAAAATGTACTTTTCAGTTTCTTTTTACTATAATACTGAGTGTAGGCTATTTTTCTATTTTCTTTTTACTGATGTCTATTTTTAAGTGAGATTTTTTAGGCCTGATGAAAAATTAAATTGCTGTCATTCTGTAATAGGTTGAAGACCTTTAGTTTCCACAGATTTTTTTTTTTAACTGATGACTTTTAAAATGAGGTGAACCTTGATGGGGTTGAAATTTAAAATTTTATCTTCTCCCAAAAATCCCATTTTGGAATTCCAGTAGACAATATTGGGATATAAACAAAAATTGTACTTTTTGCCATACAGAGGTGTGCAAAGTTTGGTTTTCCTGGTGTAACCCATTCAGGGCTGTACGAATCAAGAAATTTTGGGTTGAATCTAAATCATGGCTAAAACTCTGCAGATTTTATCGATTCCGAGTCAAATCTGAAACTTTTAATTAATCCCGAGACAAATCTGGGTTGAATCCGAATGTCAAATTTACAGCTGTTGTCAAATCAAATTTTGAAATCAGCTCATTCCAAGTCAAATCTGGATCTACAATTTTTTGTTTGTTTTTGGGCATCATATTTTATCTGTGGTACCCAAAGAATATCATAGGCCTCATAACATGACAAAGATTGAAGGTTATATCACTAATCTGGATAATTACTGTGGAATCTTTTTACTGAAACACAATTTTAATCACATAATCAAAATTAACAGGAATAGAAACAGACCAAACTTTATTATAGATATTAATCATACTAATTAATTAGTCATCTACTAAAAATATGTCAACCTTTTTCTTCCCATAAGTTTGCACTTGCTTGAAAGTGGCGATCTTAACCAGTACATCATATTTTCCTTTTAATCAGAAGTGCATCATCAGAACTATAAATTAGAATAATAAAGAAGGAGTCGATACAGCAGGAGTAACACGTTTCTTCTAATACACAAGCCTTGTAAAAAAAACTCAGTTCAAGGTATAATATTTATTTAGTTACGGTAGTCTGGCGTCCACTTGTCACACTTATGCTGTCCCGTTGTCGTTGTCTTTCTATCAAATCACTCAGGACCCAAACTTCAAACTCAAGGCAATCCAATATTTCAGTTTTAATCCTAATTCCAATTCAGTTCAATCGATGCTGAACGGTGAACAAGAAGCTAGAAAACCCAACCAAGACCGCGGTTTTGTTCTCAGAGAATTGGTTCTAAAACTGACTTACGGAATGACTAAAACTGATCAAGAGAAGTGAATACCTGTCGAGTATAATTCAACCATGGAACCAAGGAGTGGATTGTCAAATTATCGATTAACTGCTCGATAGTAATCCGCTTGCAAAACTACCGGTGCGATATACAGTAATCTACTGAAAGATATTTCTAGGTCAGCCGTCAGTTGGGGCTTTAGTTATTTTGTTTTTATTAACCTTCAAATGCCGGACCCAATATATCTTTATTCATTCAACAATACAACAAAATAACAATTGACAAATAATATACATTACATAGAATACAAGACATAGTTATAACCAATACAAATTGAGAATGAATAGTTTAGTTAGGTTCCTAATTTTCTCGTGTTGAGTAACCATTACAATCTAAAAGACGTACTGGAGAACAAAAACAAATAATACATTATGCTATGTATACAAATGAAAAATAAATAATGGCAAATTTGTATTTAAAAGAATTTAAAACTATGAAATAAACGTTTTTCCTCAGATTCAAATAACACATTAAAGTGATAATTAATAACAATTAAATCCAGTACTGAAAAAAATATATATGTGAAACATTCCATTTACAATAACTAAGACAATAATGTTTTAACTCCAGGAAAAGTTAAAAGCCACTTCTTTAACTTATTTACAAATATTTTAGAACTAGCACTTAAACAAATATCCTTTGGAAGAAGGTAAAATAACTTTGGAGCCGGAAACCAAAAAAGAACTTCTAAAAACTCATTATAAGGGTGTAGAGTAACAAACAACAAAATTTCTAGATCTTAGTCTATCAGAATAAACCTGTTGATCCTGTAGATTTTGAATCATAATTGAATGAAAATGTTGAATTCGAACCCGGATCTCTTTCCGGAAAAATTTGAATATCAAATCCAAATTCGAATACAGTTAGAAACAGTAGAGTTGTTCTCGAATCATGAATCAAATCTCTAAAAAGATTCGGATTCGATTAGTTTTTTGAACTATTCGCACAGCCCTGAAAAAGATTAACTTTTGCCCAACCCTGTATATAAAGGGTGTTTGTTTATTTTTTGTCAATAATGGCGTAAGGTGCCAACCATTGAAACCCCAACCCAAGGTGCCAACCCCAACTAGGTCAATATCATGGTATTTAAAGTAATTTTTAATTGATTTAATTTAATTTTTATTTTTAACCACTTTAGATTTGATTTACTAGCACGTTTCATTACTCATACTGATTGAATGCATACCAAAAGATGCAATGACAACTCAACAGAGTAGGCAGGGCCAAAAAGAATCTAAAATACCTATGTCTACGTGATTAACGAGATTCAGCTATTCTTACTTATGTACAGTTTCTCATCAACTATTTTAAAATTATACTTTTATTTTTAGTTAGTGAGTCTGGATTACTTGACAAAATTAATTAAAGGTTTATTCTCTCTGTTTTAATAATGTCTGTTTGGTTTACAGGAGGAAGCTAAGAGATGTGATGCAGACACCTTAGTCCCTATACTGGGGCAGAGTTCTTTCAGCGGCCTTAGCGCTCAGAGAAACATCCATATAAGTGAACCTTCTACTTCTCGGTGCACAAACTATGTTGAGAATGTTAGGGCTTCAAACACTCCTAAAACAGATTATATAATCGAAATAAGTGATGATACTCCCAAAACAGAAATAGGGTTCAAAACAAATGATACTGTTGAAATAACTGACAATGTTCCTAAAAAGGAAATAGGGTTAAAAGGAAACGATATTTTAAAAATAAGTGACGATTCTTCCAAAAAGGAAATAGAGTTAAAAAAAAGTGATACTGTTGAAATAAGTGACCATGCTCCTACAAAGGAAATAGAGTTAAAAGAAATTGATATTGTCGAATTAAGTGATGATGACGAACCTTACCCCAGGAACAATATAGATGAGGTACTACCATCCAATAAAGAGGCTAGTAGTAAAGCTGATGAAGCTGTTCGTTCTAATAACGACCCTCCAGTTGAAAAAACGGCAGAAAATAAAAAAATAGAAGAGTCAGTAGAAAACAAGAAAATACAAGATTCAGCAGAAAATGAGAAAGGTAAAGAGTCAGCAGAAAGTGAGAAAGTCAAAGAGTCAGAAGTTAATGAGAAAGATCAACAACTAAAAAAAAAAAAAGAGAATCTACTTAATTCCAACACCTTTAATGACGAAATTATTTACATTGACGACGACGATGATTATGGAGAGTTGCCATGTTCTCAGTTATTTGATGTTGATTCTGATGGTAATAATGATGTACAGATAGTAGACGAAAAAGATGGTGGTCCAGCCAATGTAGAGGAAAAAGATGATGATCAAGCAAATGGCTGGTTTGTGATTGATGATATAAATGATTCTGACAGTGATAGTGACGCTGAACAATGGTTCCAGCGTCTTTCTCAGAGTCAGAGAGATAGCGATGGAGAAGACAAAGAAGAAGATAAATCTGATACTAGCCAAGAAGAAGTCTCCAACCAACATATTAACATAGGAGAAACAATATCTGATATTGACGAAAATGGTGTACTATGTGCTGATGAGGATGAAAATGATGAGGATAACAATGATCAGGATGACAATGATGAGGAGCCTGTGACTAAGATTGTTCTATCCGGCAGTAAAAGAAAACTGTCCACATCTTCAGAAGAAGATGAAGAAGAGTTTCTTCTTGTTTCTTCAAGTACAACTAGCACTTCAAAAACAACATCAGAAAAACAATCACATTCAAAGGAAATTCTAAATAAAAGAGAATCTTCAACAATTTCAGCAAAACTTGTTGAAAGCAATTCTCAAACATCAACAAGTAAACAACCCTTAGATAATACTAATGCAAAAGAACGATCTCACAAGAAACGTAAGTCTAGAACAATTATAGAATCAGATGAAGATACCTGCTCATCTTCTTCTAGTAAAAGAACAAAGAAACGCCATTCAAAGAGTATTGACAGTAATACATTACCAGATATTGCCATAGAAAAGAAAAACCATGACAGTAAACATAAAAGAAAGCAAAGTTCTGACAGTGATTCTCGTACCTCCTGCAGTGGGGAGAGCAATGAAGACCTCTTGGATTCAAGCTCAACAGATTTGAGTGTCGATTCTGTTTTAGAAGTAATTTCTAAATGTTCAAGTGCGATTGTAGGGCCTTTCGTTGCTATACACCGTGGAAGTCAAAGAAAAAATGCTTCTAAAGTTTCTGATTCTGAACCGAAAGAGAGGAATAATGAAAAACCAAAGACAGATGAAGGTCGTAACTTTGAGGATACCGTTCCAATGATTAATGAGGATAGATCCTCTACAGACTCTAACTCGAAAGAGAGAAAAAATCAAAAATCAAAGACAGATGAAGGTCGTAACATTGAGGAGACAGTTTCATCGGTTAATGAAGATAGATCCCCTACAAACTCTGAATCAAAAGAGAGAAAAATTAAAAAACCAAAAACAGATGAAGGTCCTAACATTGAGGAGACAGTTCCAATGGTTAATGAGGCTAGATCCTCTACAGACACCGATTCAAAACTTCTTGAACTTACTAAAAAAGTAAGTTCCCAAAAAAAGAAAAATATACCCATCATTGATGCTAAACCATTAAAATCCAGGAAAAATTCTGTCCCTCCAGAATCGGAAACTTTAGTTAAAAAAAATGAAAAAGTAAATGACAAAAAACATGATCAGTGGTTATCAAATAACAATACATCAAGTGCACATTCATCTAAATACAAAGCGGACATTAAAGCTTATAGGAAAGAGAAGTTAAAGGACCTCGCTTTAAAAGAAGCACAAAAACAACAGGACAAACCTAAGACTTTCACTGCCACTAGCCACAAGACGAAAACCACTTTAAAGTCACGAAGTGATACATTGCTGCAGGATCTTTCCTTGGCATCTTTTAAAATCCCTCGCCGGGCTTCTAAAGGTGAAGAGGATGGGCCAACCTCAAATAAACCTGATTCGCAACTGAAACCACAGAGCACTGAACCAGCCGTGCAGTCAATAACTGCGGAGGCAAAATTGGTTGCCAACTCTGCAAAAAAAGATGGCATTCAAATTAAGCAACCTGTGTTTGGAGTTGAAAATGAGGAACCAATCACAGTTGTTGAACTTGATGATGAGGAGTACAAAATAAAATTTCCATTTTATTTGCCAGGAACAAAACAAAAATCCAATTTAAAGGATAAAACAAAAGTAAAGGATAAAACAAAACGTGTCAAATTCAACTTCCCAAACGATATATCAAGAAATATAATATATAGAAGTGTTTGTTTCTTTGACAAGGAGGAAGGTAACACAATGAAACCTGTAACCAAAACTGCGAGGAAAGATTTTAATATAAAATCCAATAAACAATATTTACGGCGACCTGAATATACTGATTATTTTGATGAGACCATATATGCAGTTTGCAAGTGGAATGTATCCTGGTTTGAGGTAAGTTAAGTCAACATTATGTTGTCTTTAACCAAACAGTTACAGTAGGCAAATGATTTTCAACTGTCCAAACTCAATAATTTCTTCCAAACTTAAGTGTCTGTAAAATCAGATTTTTTGTAAAATAAAATATCATTTTTATCATTTTATAATCCATACAATATTTTTAGTGGCTTTAATAGCGATTTTTTTAGTTTGTAATTACAATAACAAATTTAAAACTTTTAATGTAGACTGCACAGATCTAGACCCAGACAGATTTATTTATATATTAATGATACCAAAGTTCAAAAAACTTTTTGTTTAAATGTTTATACGTATGTGTAAAGATTTTGGTCAGATTTTAATGAAATTTGGCTTGAATGTGTCGAGCTGGATAATCTTACTTGAGTTTGTGGGATTGGGTAATAGAAACAATTAGAAATGATTTATGGAGTTTAAATCGTGAAAAAATTTGTTTTTCAAATTTTTACCCTTAAGAAATAGAAATGCCCAATTTTAATTCCAGCCATCTTGTAGAGCTTACTGAAGCATACAAGAACTGTAAATTTAAGCATTGTTGTATGATTAAAGGTCACGGGGATGATACAACTTCTTCTAATTTATTTCAGGAAAAGGACAAGGTAAAGAAAGATCCCCCGGTGTTTAGCGGACAAGTGTATCACTTGAGTGAAGAGTTCACCGATTACAAGGATTACAGGCGAGAATACTTCCCGCTGTTGATGTACGAACTGTGGGGCAGCCTATCTAAACACTTTGATCAGGTCATCCTCAAACAGTAAGTATACTAATCAGTCTGTTAAATTTTAGGCCCAATTTGGAACATTACAAACAACTTTTTTTCAATTCTGGTTGAATGATTAATTAAATCAGGGTGAATCTTGTCCCACCTCACGCACAATTGGGCTTTTTGTGTTCCTTGCTTGACGCTTCGTGAACTGCAGCACCTATGAGCACCTCCTGTGGAAGGTGTCTGCCCCTTGTCCTCGAGGGGCCTTTGGCCACTTGTTTCACGAGTGATTGCTCTTGCTTATTTAAGGGCTGTGCAGTCATAGAGTAGATGATCTGCAGTCTCCTCGGACTGCCCTCATTTCTTACAAGGAGTATCTCCATTGTAGAACCTCAAGTTAAATAGGTGCAATCTCAGAAAGACATGGCTGCCATTCCTATGATATGACTTCATTGCCTCTTGTCTAATCGTAGAGCATTGGAGGCAGCCATGTGGGAGAGGGAGAAGAGAGTCGGCTCGCTACCCTATTGTTATATTGTTCTAAAGCCTAACCCACTTCTCCTACGCTACTCCTGAGCCCACGACATGACTGACTGATATCCATAATTAATTTAATCCTAGTAGGAGTGAAACAGTAATAAGTTTTTGTTTAAGTAAAGTAGCAACCACTGCTGGTTGCTACAATGCTGTAGGTAGCCATCAGCGAATTACAGTGTGGAGCATGTTAGTAGATTTTAGCGAATTTTCCATATAGGGAATAAGCTATTACTGTAGGTCTCATGGTAAGACCCGGGATCATTTACTCTTTTGTTTTGATGTCCCCAGAGGCCAATTCACTGTCCATTCAAACTCATATTTGTATGTGTCCATTAGCAGCATGATAACTCAAGCAAAAATTCTCGAAAAAAAATTAGCAAAAATATATGTTTATTGGTTAGGGGGAAAATTTTTAAAGTTGTTAATTTACAACTCTCATGTTATGCTTATGGAGAATAAGTTAACTATAGTTTGCTTGTTTATGGGTATATTTTGATCAAACTTGTCAAATATATTTTATTTATACTATTAATATTTTACACACTTTATAACCCTCCCTGTAGCAGCATCTCCATTCATACTTGGCTTAAAATACCTACTTTGTATCATATGGTCACCATTTCAATAAAAATTCAAGTACTAAGCAAACCTAGGTACTCAACTCGTTACACTCAAAGCTATTGAAATTGAAAATTAAATCAGGCAAATGGAAATTTGCTTAGTCTGTAGTTTAGCTGTGGCAGGGTATTTCATCATAACGCTCCTGATGGTTGAATCAGGCCCGTTTTTGACCCTGTCAGCGCCCTAGGCACAACTAATAGTAGCGCCCCTTCGCATTATATATAACAGGGTATCCACCAACCGGGAAAGTCGGGAAATTCGGGAATTATGCGTGAGTTTTGTTTAAACCGGGAATTATGCGTGAACTTAGTATTTCTACCTGCAATTTTCAATTTACCGCGATTGCGCATGACAACTGTGACGTTTCCGTGACCGCGGGAGACATGCTGAGATATGTCTACACACGGCCGCGAGGGATGATCATAATATTGCCACGATCACGGAAGACAATGACAATGTCCACACACGGCCGCGGGAAACAGCAAGAATTTTGCCCCGATCGCGGAAGACGATAACTATGCTATTTTATAAAGCGATTTAATCCTATTTAATGTATATTTGAATGTAAAAATGGTGTTACCGTTGAAAGAATAAATAAATGATCTCCACATGACTGTGTCATATTATTGACATTTGGCCGCGATTTCGGGAGACGATTACGATGTCTTCACCACCGCGGGAGACGATTTCGATATCTGCGGGAGATACAATGACTTCTATACAGCCACGAGGGATAATCAGATTTATGCCGCGATCACGAAACACGATGAAAAAACTTTCACTTGATGTGGTGCAAGTTATTAATCTCCCTTGGTTTTAATTTTTTTTGTAGTTTTCAAAAATTAAAGCTATTTCCTATTAATAGTATTAGTATTATTTATTAGCAACTTTTAATGTTAACATATTAATGATAGTTTGAAGAAACCACCTTTATCCAAACAAAGGTTTCTTATTTTAAAATGTTATTTAAAAGATTACGTTATCTCTAAACGATAATCGGTACATATATCTAGCAAACCTTTGGAGGAAATGTGACAAAAAAAGCACAAATATGGGGGTTTCAATGTTTATAGTTTTACTTCCTAAGTAGGAAAAGTACCGATATAGTTTTTGAAATGTAAGTAAGTAGAAACCAAAAGTGACACATTGGAAAAGCGAGTTTAGCACATAACATATCCGCACATAACACATCTGCACATAACATAAGTTAAACCTCTGTTACGACCACAGCGAAATCAGAAAGATCTTCCAAGATCGCAGCAACATCCACGGTCACTCACTGCAGTTGGGATTTTTTACTTTGCGCTTTACACAACTGTCTTTGAAGCACCGTCAATGAGTGGAAACCTTTTTTGTAAGCTATTGGTGAGGATGATAAAAAAATTCAAGTTTCCCAGCACTAATACTCGGCATCACTGTTTCTTGGTATTTTTCCCGGTTATGAAAACTCAAGAACGATCGTTGCACTTGCGATTAATTAAACCGGTTTAGTAAGGCATAACGGTTTTAATCTCACTTGGTTTGGATGTGCTAACAAAACTTTATCGGAAATGGTTGCGGTATTTGTAAACAACTTTTAAAGTAAACATTGGGAGAAAATTTGTCAAAAATCGAACAAAATTTTGTTTTTGACGGTTCGTTATTTTGTTTTTAAAGAAGCAAGGCCATGGTTTTATAGTCAAAGACACTCTCATTAATCCGGTAATTACAGAAAATGATTAGAACCTTGATCGGTACTCTAGTTTTCTAGGGGTAGTCCGCGTAAAATGACATTTTGGCGTCACAGACGGAATCACAGAATGGAAAAACAGATAAACAGACATACTGACAGAAATTGAGATAAGACTTGTTTCGGCTTTCTTAGGCTATGAAACGTAAAAATAACTAAAAACTGCATGATTCTAAGCAATGTACAGACAATACTGTAATTTTATTTATATAGATAACGTAGAAAAAAAATTTGTTTGTTTACCTTACCGCAGCTGATTTTTGGTGATATCTGGTTTCCATGGCAACACAAAATTGTTTGTTATTTGCATTTATAAATGAGTAAATACACAAACCAAGAAGCAAGATATTTTTACAAACATTATAAAAGTAAGAAGAAACAAAAAGCGGGAAAAATAATAATAATTGAACAGCTAGTGGCGCTGCGTAGCGGTTACACGAGCGGCACTCTTAAGTCGGCCTGCAGCGGCCATACGAGTAACACTCGTAAGTCGGCGCTAATGGGTTTAATGGTTAATCTCTTTGTTGATATTTGGGTAGTTTGGTAATAAAAATACCAAGAGAGTCTTTACATATTATTGTTGGGTATAAATTATTGTTTAGCGAATTTCCCATATAGGTAATAAGCTATTACTGTAGGTCTCATGGTAAGACCTGGACCCGGAACCGATTTACTTTTTCCTTTTGAGGTCCCTAGAGGCCCCCTAGAGCCAGGGTTTATGGGGGGTTTTGCAGAGTAAAAATGGGGTTTTCCAATTTTTGATCCTTAAAACATAAAATTTTGGAATATCTTTCCCAACCATTTTGTAGAGCTTAAAAAAAGAAATAATTTAGTATATTGAAGCATTGTTGTATGCCTAGTCTAACGGTCACGGAGAAAATTAAAAAAAAGTGTTGTTTAAAATACCCATGTTATTCTTATGGAGAAAATGAAAACTGTTTTAGTTAACTTGTTTATGGATAGATTTTAATAAAATTTGGCAAATTTATTTATTTCATACTACACTATTGACGTTTGGTCAAAAAACACATTTTGCCTTCCCCGTAGCAGCAAACCTAAGCACTTGTTAAATCTAATGCTATTTAAATTGGGAATAAATATGTCTTATTTATGGAAATATTTTAGTAAAAATGTAATCAGACAAGTGGGAATTCGCTTAGTCTGCAGGTTTGCTACAGCAGGGGTATTTATAATTGGTTGATTTTTCCGGCCAAATTGTTAACACGTTGACTGCGCGTGCCGACTATACAGGCGCTCCCCAGTGGCGCACGAAGCCCCGGCGCGCAACCGAATCAGCGAACGCAATTGGCATTCAAATATTTCAGTCTGACGAATCACAAAAGAGCAGTGGTGACTGTGCTGCGTTACCCCGAGAGTGGATGTAGTTCACTGAAACACCCAAAGGTAGCAGCACTGCACGGATCCGTATCCAGTGTCTTGTAATGTGGGTTGAAGAGAGAAAATCCCCGAAACCGGGACAAAAGCATTGCCAGACAGGATTTTACGGGAAATTTTAGTACCAACCTACACCAAAGTAAAGCTCGCATTCTAAGCTGGCACTGCAGTGTTGCCAGGTGTACGATAATTATCGTATTTGTACGATTATTTTGCTCCTTCCCCATAAAAAATAATTTTGAAAAATTGTACGATAATTTTGACGTTGTGTACGATTTTTTGTCATAATGTACGATTATTTTTTGGGGGCTAAAAAATAAACTATTTCATATTGATTATTATACATTTAAACACGTTTCCCACTTTTAATATATGGAAAAACGGTAACATCACTTTGTTGCTGTTCGATCTGGCAACCTTGCAAAGCCATCAGCTGTGTTAGAGAGGGCCCATTGGCTACCAACTTAAGTGTTTATAGGAGAATTTTGAGAGATGTTGGCCGCCATTTGTACTAGGGGTAGATTACGTTGTACCTTCAATTAATTATTGTACTCAGTACATTGGTGGTAGAGGAATAAAATAAAGCAATGAGCTGGTTGATTTTTCAAGTTGAGAACCAAAATTCCATAATTGTACACCATTCCAATTTGTTACTAGCAGAGATGCAGATTTCGTGTGTGTGTGATCACGGCCGCCTTTAACTCCGTGATAGTGTGCTGCATCCGGTAGAATTTATATTTTTCTAGCTCAGTGGTAGCCTGGTAGAGCAAAAACGGTGGGCGGTAGAGACAAATAGAGTAAAATTTCAGTCATTCCATCATCGACTTGCTTGTTTTACATTATAATATAAAAGAAAATTGTGTGTACGATAATTTTGCCCAAAATACGATAATTTTTGACTGCTCGTACGATAATTTACGCCGGCCAATCTGGCAACACTGGCTGGCAGGCTGGCAACGATTATAACGTCTCCGTCTGAGGCTAAGCTCACACTGACTCAATATATTTCTGTTGGTCTGGTGCCGACTTTTGTCGGCGCGCGCCACCTGGGAGCGCTGGCGACGCCGACTGACGCCGACTAAAGTCGGCGTGCGCAGTCAACGTGTTAAGCAGCCAGAGGCTCTGTCCGATTGTGGTCGTATATGAGAGTTTCTCCTGTAATTTGCATTCAGATATGATGAAAAACAGACTTGGTTCTTGGATGGCAATCCATTATGAATGATTGAATTGGGTACATGTAACTGAACACTTTTGTATCTTTTTATTTTCAGGCAGAACAAAAGTCCAATTTGTTATGTGGACATAAGATCAATAAAGTTCCGAGAGGTAAAAAAGTTTTTTCCCAGTGAGAAAAAAGAAGTTTTGGCTTGTTTGTACTGTCAAGGTGAGTACTTTAGCTGTTACGTCGTTGTTTACATTGCTTGCAAATTGCAAATTGTTAAAATAAAGAAAGACTATAGGGACAGGAAGGCTACACTAGCCATTCTGCATTTAGGACTCCTCTGCATAAGTCTCCCGACGTTAACCAGATATCATATCCGAGCAGTTTTAAATAGTCCAGAAATGAAAGTTTAGTCATTAGGAGATAACGGGCAAACCCAGAGGTCATAGTCCTCAACCTCTAATCATTATTTTATTGTAGTGGGTCTGAGCACTAAAAGTATTCAATGTTTTCCGGATTTTTATCTGGCAGGAAAATGGTTTTAAATTGGCCACAGCAGATGCTGGATGTTTTGGAGTAGTAGTAAGCAAAGCCCAACTGAGTTAGTAAGAGAAATGAGTCCAAACATCAATATAACTAATATGGGAATAAGAAAGTGTAGGTTTTACTCTGTAGTGCAAAACCCTTGTAGTGTTTGCAATGTCTCAAACTTGTTACAGTGTTGCTACTGTAAGGTAGGGGCATAGGAAATTAATTAAAATTCCTTTTTGATTTGATTCTGTAGTAATCAAAATAACGATTAATTTTTGTTACTTCACTCTTTATTTCCGAAAAATTCCATACTGATTCTAATCAAATACAAAATTTGTTGAATCAAAACAAAAGATATATGCTGCTTCGCACACCTCTACTAAAAGAGTGTCCAAGTGCCAAATATCAATATGTAAAATCAGCCAAAAAAGATAATTTCATATTCATGTTCTGTATTGTACTAGGTAAAGGATTAAGTGAAAGTGCATTGAGCCTTTGTTTAGTCAAAAAAGATTTTTAACTACCAGTATTCCAAGTTTTAACTGGTTAAATGTGAAATATTTTTCAGAACAATTGGATCACACAACTTATTTGTTTTAGTTTCTTGTTTAGATACAGGCAATACTAATGAAATGTATAACTAAATTTTTATGTTTTAATTTAGGTGTTCACGTAAATTTTTATTTAAATTTTAACTAAATTTTTATTTTAAATATTAAAAATTAAAATATAATCTTTTTAGTTTTGGATATATTGCAGTGTTTTTCTTGATGTAATAATTTTAAGTAATATAGGCGATACTGTTGGGAACCTCAAGTTAGTTGCAACAAAAAGTTTGCATTTCTTTTGCTGCTTTATGTTTTTCTAATTTAATAATTGTATATGCCCAGTAAAATTTTATGTGGGGTGTATGGCAGGCCTTTTTCATTGTAAGCTTTTATTGATAAAGAGTGCTTTTGTTACAAATTCCCCATATGTAAGCTGTTCACTTTGGATAATCAAACAGCTTGTTTACTCTACAGTTTATTCTTTTCCTATGAGTAAATCTGAAATTGGTAAATCCTGGTCTTCGAGTGACAATCTTGTTTGTGATGGTCAAAACCAGAAATTTCTAATCTCAAAACCGAAACCGAATCTTTAAAAAATCGAATCCCGAATCTCAAAACCTAAACGCGAAACTTGTTTACTTAGCTGGCTACAAAGGTCAAGGTTACAAAAAAATAGAAAAAATCATAAAATGTTAAGTATGTAATCAAAACTGAAAGAGATCGACTCCTGACCGTGACATAACATAAATATGTGAATGTAACTGATAATCTTAAAACCCAATACAACATAATTTTTCATAAACAAAAACAGCAAAAAAAAAATTAAACTTCTAACACCAACATAAACATGAATAGGCATTAGATTAATTAGAAAATTTAGTGGTCAATATATCTTTGTGTTTTGTAAATATTGATGTGAAACTGAATTGTACCAGTTATAGTATTCAAGATACCTTTTGAAGTTCAGAATAAAATTTACTTGTTTCATTACTGTTAATGGTAGTGTTTGCTCTGTTGCTACCAGCTTGTTTGGAAACAGCATTGAAAACAATAACAATTGCACAAAAAAATGTCAGCAGTTTAAAAAATAAAACTGCCAAAATCTTCAATTTCGAAACTTTTGAATCTTGAAACTTGGTGATCGAATCTCGAAACCGAAACTTTTCCTAAGTTTTGGTGGTTTTGAGATTTGAGATTTGGTTTTGACACATCACTAAATCTTGTTGATGAAGACTACAATGAATTTGCTGACAGTTTGGACGTGGTGCAGCAGTTCATTCTCGATGCACTAATCCATCCTCCACATGCTCGGAACCATTAGCTACTACTTCATTGATTTCGTACGTTGTCACCGAGACCAGAATTTACCATCAAAATATCTGTATTGTACTTAACACGTATTTTTACAAATAGTAGAAAAAAATCAAATATTTTACTGGAGATAAAATTTCAAAGCATTTTATTAGTTCAATATCATCTAATCTAATTGTAGGCCCTAAACATGTTGTTATCTCTTATAGTGTTGCTTGACAACAAGAAACAAGAAACTTGGCCCAGACCTGGAGACTTGGTGATGGTTTCTGTAGTGTTGAAGCCATCCAGACCTATAATCAATCATAAAGGAGAGACTTGTCAGATTAGAGGCGGGGAGAAGAGATTGCTGGGTTATGTGTCCGAGATGTCTAAACAAAACAACTTGTCAAACCACCATGATGTTTCTCCGAAACTGAGTGAGTATCTACCTACAGTAGACTCTGTGTTGTTCAGAGCTATCAGAAGTTAGTATGAAAATTAATGCACTGTAAGCGTATTAGAACCACAAAGTTATGTGTGAAATTCTTAAGTATCTGAAAAAAATAACTTTTAACCATTTATGACCAGTATATTTTAGAACGTAAAATATCAACCAAAAGTCAACTTCACTAAAGTTTTCAAAAATGTATGAATCATATTATAGAAGAGATACAAGGAAACAGAGATAAAATAAAGATACACCGACGTAACTTTGTTTTTTATTTGTTGAAGCTGCACAAATGAGATCAAAATTTCTAAATAAATAGTAATCAAATTTAAAAGCTGATTAAATTACAAAAACATTTAGAAATAAAGCAACCAAGGTAAAACTTGTTATTCCTTAGAAAATTGCCTATCCTTTGAATATAATTGTCATTTTATGAACAGGGTGGCAAAAGACAGGAAATTCTGGGGAAACCAGGGATTGTGCGTAAACCCTGAAATTTCATTGGGGAACTCTTATTTCAGTGCTGTTTTGTTAAAATATCGATTTTAGGCGAATTTAAGAGATTTTTTACACTCAGCAACTTGAGCCTACAGTAATTGCTTTAGTGATGCCCTTGAAATTCCGTTTGGGTATGAAAAACTTACTGTTAACCCTCCGAGTGTTATGTGTCGAAAGATCGACACATAACACACTTTGTGTAGTGTTTTGTGTCGATTTTTCGACTCACAAACACTGTTTACGGCGAAGGCTCTATGACTGACAAAATCGGATTGAACTAGATCGAGTTAGGTATTGTTTTATTTGGCAGATTCTAAGCTTTCTCCCGCGGTCTGTCTCTAAACGCTTTTTTTTCTCGAGCCGATCATAATTGTAGCAGACAGCTGACGTGCGTATTTGTAAACAGCTTGGTTAACCTCGCACCGATGACTGATGTGTTTTATTACATTTATCATTGTTTTAGTGTTAAAAATCAAAAGTAGTGATTTACGTGGTGCATTATAAGAAGATTTAAGTGATTTTGAAGGGCTGGTTGATGATCCTGAAGAAGTAGGTAGTGATATTGATGTAAATTATAAGCCAGAGTCCTAGCTATGGTTAGGCTATGCATTCTTAGCTAAACGTTATGTACTGAAATCTGTTTTTTGCCCATAACTTATTTATTTGCTAATCTACTCCCTTATATTATTATATTTTTGGAATCCTCATAAAATTCTGAACAAAGTGGCTATTTTCAAATATTTATAGGCCTATAATTTATACAATTTCATTGAGCACAAACTCATTTTTTTTTTTTAATTTTCCAAAATATTTTTTTTTTACCTAAAAAATTTGTTTGAAACAAATTTTCCTTATGTTTTATGTATAATATTAAAGCCCATGATTTTCCAAACAAAATGGTATATAGAACAGTATAATTAACATTGTTTTTAAGCTTCTCAGATCCGTTTGAATTAAACCTTGCAAATGCGCAAAAAATAGGCAAACATTAAGGCCAAAACTAGGGACACTCGGAGGGTTAAAACATCGTGAACATTGTCTGTGGTCAAGGCAAAATCATAGAAACTTTCTACCAGCATTGTGAAATTGTAAACACCTTTTGCAGTGACAGCGAAATTTAGAAAAATGTCTGCGCGGCTTGGTGAAATCATAAACGTCTTCCACCGTCATAGTAATATCAAGAACCTCTTCCGTGGTCATTGAAAAATTTAGATCACCTTCTACAGTCATGTCTAGATTCTGAATTCTTCCACCGGCAATATTAGCGTCTTCGTCAATTGCACCATAACTGTGAACGTCATCCCCCCCCCGATTGTGTAAAAAGACGCTCGGATAGATTAACCGAAGCTTGGTCTGCTAAATGTTTGGACTAAAATGAACTCTTAGGCCAACTGTTGGTCTGACCCAAACTGAAAATATCAGGGATCTTCAGACCCCTAGTGAAGGCACATTCGGCGACCCTAGAATTACAACCAGAAAAATAGATGATTTTTTTCAGGACTTCTTTGGCCACCCTGATGAAGTGATTTTATTTTTAAAATAATGAATACAAAACTGAAATTTACAAGATTAGTAAACAATAAATTCTCATTAAAGACTATTAAAATGTTGTCCTTGGTATGGATACAACTTTAACCCTTCACGGACAGGTGATGGATATATCCGCTTATGGTTATTGTTTTTGATGTTCTGGACGGGAAGCAGATATGTCCGCCTTCTCTTCAGACACTTGAGCAGTGACCAGATGTTCCGTGGTACCAAGGTGTCACTTTCCTGCTCTCTCCATGGCTGATCTCTCTCCCGCACTCCCCCTTCTCTCCCGTGCCTTCCCCTCTCCCACACAACACCCACCTCTCCTACGCTCCCCCTCGACATTTTGCGCTTAACATTCCGTTGTCATGGTTGTATCTTCAAAGACGGGTGGCGGATATATCCGCTGCTTTTCTACTCATCCGAGGACGGGTAGCATGGTTAAAAATGAGTAAAAAATTATTTTGACACTATGAAGTGTTCTATTGTGTTTATTTAATGTATGCTTGTCTAACAAACACAAATAAGGAAATTTTTTTTTCTATAATCTTTTCCTGTTCTATGTCCCGATTTCGCCTGCCCGGGCAGGGTTAATTATTTATTCACGTAGGTACGTAAGAAAATATAATTTTAGCGAATTTCCCATATAGGGAATAAGCTATTACCGTAGTACTCATGGTAAGACCTGGACGCGGGACCAATTTTTTTTTTCGTTTTGAGGTCCCTAGAGGCCAAAAACACCATCCGTTCAAATTCATATATATATATATATTTATATATTTATATATTTATATATTTATATATTTATATATATATATATATATGTGTCCGTCAGCACGATAACTCGAGCAAAAATGATCCGATTTTGATGAAAATTGGTACAAATGTGTAAAAGTACGTTTATTCGAACGAGTTCGCAATCCAGCATGATCGGACCGTGGGAACGGGGGTTTACGGGGGGTTTTATGGGGTAAAAATAGGTTTTTCTAATTTTTGACCCAAAAAACATAAAATTTAGCAATTTCTTTCCAAACCATTTTGTAGAGCTTAAAAAAACAAATAATTTAGTATATTGAAGCGTTATTATGCGCCTAATGGTTACGGAGAAAATTCCAAAAAATTGTAAATTTAAAATTCCCATGTTATTCTTATGGAGAATAAGTAAACTGTTGTAGTTTGCTTGTTTGTGAACATATTTTGATCAAATTTGGAAAATGTTTTTATTTCTTACTAACTATTCACATTTTACAAAAAAAATCAGTTTTACCCTCCCTGATGCAGCAAACCTAAGTACTTGTTAAACTTATTCTATTTAAATCAAGAATAAATGTTATATTTTTAAGTAGACATTTCAGTGTAAATCCAATCAGTCAAATGGAAATTCGCTTAGTCTGCAGGTTTGCTGCGGCGGGGGTATTTGGTACTTGTTACTGACTCTTCATTTACCGGTATGTGTGTACAGATTGAATAAAGATTATTTGATTAATAATTGGAGGTGCCAAAAAAAATTTTCTTAACATACTCACAACGGCTTTTAGTCATGCCATCCAGACTATGTTGTATAACATTTTTGAATCTTTTTCAGAAAAACAACACCCCAATGCAAATGTTGTAGTGGATGGCTTCACTATCTTGATGAGAGGAAATCCAGATCAAGAAATTGATACATCAGTGCTGTCAAGGGTCAAAGTAAGCAATCATTTAAATTTAAAACTGTTTCCCTCTAGACAAAACAATGGATAGCTGAACAAATTATCTTTATATACAAAAACGGGCTTAGGTCTAATTATGGAGGAATAAGTATTTAATAACCATTCAAGGATGAGTTATGCTAAGTAAAGTTGCTGATGCATCACTCAGTAATTTGGATGTGTGTTACAGGTAATTAAGAATATCAAGCCTAACTTGCGATCTTTTGAAGCATTGGATCGCCTACCCATTTCTCCTCTGTGCATGCAAATATGCCAACCCAAGATGAACTTGCCAGTCGTAAACATCTCTTCAGATCAACCCGGTCCACCTTTGGCAGTAAGTAGTTAACTGTTGTCCGATGTTTACTATCTATATACTTAACACAATAAGGGGATCTCTTTTCCAGCCGTTCTACATAACTGATTTAATTGAGATGTAATTATAAAATCAAGCAGAGTAATGAATGATAAAAAAGGTGATATGTTCAAGGAGTTAACTTCCCTGGTCTTTAATTTATTTCTAGAGTTTAGTTTCAAAGATTTAGTGATAATTAACAACTTTCTTTACAACAATTGAAATGGGAATTGTAATTTAACAGCTGTTCCTTCTGATGAAATTTTAACAACAGTCGGACTGTAAATGAGACTAAACAGGCTATGAAAATGTATTTTAAATAGACTACTTTTTTGACAATTGTGATCTTTGAAGGTAGGTAAGTCACTCTTTAATGTGTGGATCTAAAACCAACACATTTATTTTAAATTAGATAATTAATTCACTTAACTAACTATCTTAACACTTTGAGTACCTACTGACTACATCAATTGATGTAGTTGCACAACCCTCACTACATTAGCTTAGTATGAGCTCAGCCATTGCCGGGGAACATTAAAATCATTGGAGCCTGTAGCTTAGAATGTGAGCTTTATTTTGGTGTAGGTTAGGTAGATTTGAATCAATGCATCTCGATTCAAAGCTATACAGTATTTTTATATTCATACTTGTCAATGGAGTGAAATAACAATAATTAAATTTTACCACATTTGTGTGATGAAAAATTTTGGTTGATGTGGTGTTAGGCCTATTAATACATAGGCTATATGACATATACAGGGTGAGTTTTAATTGCCCCCCCCCCCCCAACTTTGTTCTACATTTTTTCAAATATCAATCCCAGACCACTTCCAAACAATGTTGGGTAGTAAGCACTTAATTTTGACAAGGTGGTCATTTCCGGCCGCCATCTTGTATCCGCCATATTGGATGCAAAATATTTTTTTCAAATGGTGGGGTTGTGACCCATTATTTCAAACTACATTTCTACCCTGATTACAATGCCGCAAACCGTTTTTAAAAACCTTGATTCATTCCAAAGTTATGAAGGTGTTTTAAAACTTTACTAGGTGAACCCGTGCGAATTCGCACGAATAATAAATTAGGGTATGATACCAACGTCGTTAGAAGTTACGTCGATGAATCGACGTTGGTCTTGAGCTCGATCATTGGCTATATGCATTCTAAGTTCTTTTTTCTGTTCCTCAGTAGAATTATTTTGCAGAACGGAGCTCATCAAGCTGAAAACTTGCGCGTATGGATTAATATCAAGCAAATGTTGAGTCAAAATGCTGTGCATCAGTTCAGTGCTGCAAGAGCCATTAGCTTTGTTTAGCATTCTTTCTTGAACAGCGGTTTTGACGTCCGTAGACGTCATTTGACGTATGTCCGTGCTCCTTATATGTGGGATGCTCCCCTTCTGACGGTTGAAAGTTGCCATTGAGTGATAAACTGTGTAGTGCGCCTTAACATGATAGGCCCTCCACCGTTATGTTCTTCAATTTTAGCTCGAGTGCCGATAATTGCGAGCGCAGTGTTGTACGATCTAATGTTCTCTTTGTAGTTTCTGCTCAAATGATTTGCTCCATTAAGTAGGCTCTGGATATAATAGATTTCTCGGTATGGTTGTAGATTGACTTTTTCTTTATGGCAGCAGGATGAAATTCTTCGCCTCGTCCTCTTTGTTCTTCTTTAAAATGTAGCGCACCACATTTCTGACATTTTAATGCCATCTCGCCAAGTGAATGCTGCTGAATTCTTGTATTTGTCAGTGTAATTTTGAAAGTACACGTTGCCACTAACTGTTCCAGCTCCTCGTCTGGGCTCCTTACGTTTTGCATTGCTTGCCGTATGTTGACTCGCCGTGCCCGACCGGCAATATTTCTTTGTCGTCGGGTCTTTGGCATGTTTAAACGAAAATATAATGTAAAACATTTCTCCCGTCGTGTCCTATAGGTAACATTCCTTTGCCGGGTTTCTAATTATTTAAACATGCAAACTGTTTACATTTCAAAACCAAACAAAACAGCTGGGATTTAATTTTCTTTAAAAACTAATGTAATGACATCTGTTTCAGAATATAATAACATTCAAATCAATCACAATGTTATCCTTATGGAAGGAACTTTGAGGGCAGCCCACGCCCTTAAAAAGATATATTTCGAAAATCTAAAGCCAGTTTGCACATCTACACACCTAGACGAACATTTTGGTATATAATATGTGGGGTTAAATCTTAAAACAAAAAAGCCTTATTGTTCACAAAGTTTCATGTCGCGTATTAAATATATAGATTTTTAGCCCATTTTAAAATTGTGCATTTTTAAACTAAGACCATAATCTCAAAATAGTGCTAGATAAAGATAAGTATACACTACCAGCCATTGTCGACCTATTTTCACTTGGTTATGACAGATGTATTTTTTTCGGCCGCCATCTTGGATCCGCCATTTTGAAATGTGATAAATTATTTTAAATATGAAGGGTGTGTTATGACCCATCATTTCAAACTACTTTTTTAAGCTATTGTACTACTTTTTTTGTTGCCTCCTGTAAAACATACCGTACTGAAACTTTCAATTAGTTTACATTGATAAAATGAGAGGATAGAATCAGACCTACAAATTACAAGGAATACATAGCTTCAGAGCTACAAAAATACTAAATTTATCAGTCTTACTAGTTAATTACCAAGTAACAATTTTTCAGACTTGTGTTATTTTTAGTAATGATTTTGGTGAGACTTGTTTAGGCTATGTTTACAGTAGTAAAACATGTCTCCTACTGCTTAAACACATTACAAAACTTGTCATCATTTGCAATGTCAAAACAAAAATAGATCAATCAGTTGAAGCAATATTTACATGTAAAGAACTAAATAAGAATGCCTTCGCAAAGTAAACACAACAACATCACGCTCCTGTGGGTATTGCATTGACTTTCTGCAGGTGTTTTTTTGTATATGGATACTGATTCTCCCATGAACCGAATAGACAATAGACAAATTCTTTATTCCTCAAAAAAATATACATATATTGTAATAAACATTGTCAAGCTTAACTAGCAATTACAAATAACAAGGCAACAAATATTTGTTCTGTCAAAAGACACATATAATACATGAATAAATGTCACAAAAATACAATATCTAATCCGTCTACAATAAGGCCATCTTAACAATGCAACAAAATAGTTTTTTGACCACCACTGAATCTAATCGAATCAAATCAAATTTTGATGCATCGCACACCCCTAGTTGTTTTATCCGTCCAAAATGTTATCCAGCCAGGGGCTTGGTCCCACGTTGGCAAGTTGTATGTGTTGATAGTGTGTTGTGTGTGTAAGTATATTCCAATGACTATAATATTGTGGTATAATTACCTCGTCAAGTAATCCAAATGATGTGATGTTAGGCTAAAAACCTACATATTTCAACGGCATCGTCAGGGTACAAACACAGTAAAACATTGCTGTCACACGCATACAATAAATAATTAACACGAAACGAATTACGAACATAACATTTAGATAGGCCTATCACACGACGCGGACGGTCCCGGCGCAGGTAGTAGACTCATCTGTGATAGGCCTATCTAAATGTTATGTTCGTAATTCGTTTCGTGTTAATTATTTATTGTATGCGTGTGACAGCAATGTTTTACTGTGTTTGTACCCTGACGATGCCGTATTAACGGCGAAACATGTAGGTTTTTAGCCTAACATCACATCATTTGGATTACTTGACGAGGTAATTATACCACAATATTATAGTCATTCATAGTAATCCAGGGGCCATCAACATGGAATTTAATATATTCCAATCTTGAACGATAATTTGTTTTGTTTGTAGAATAAACTTAACCCTGCACAGAAGAAAGCTATTTATAACATTGCAAGAGAGTGTGTTCAAGATACCAACATGATCCATTTGGTGCACGGGCCACCTGGTAAGTGAATTAAAGTATCATACTACCAGTTTTATAGGTTTTATCTAACATTTTCTCCAAAATGAAGGACTTTATTATTTCCTCATGATTATGAGCCATATTAAAACCTCCATATTATTATTACCTCTGTTTATTAAAAAATCACTTAAAACTTTACAATGATCTACCTGCCAGAATCAAAGAAATTCGAGAATCTAAAATTTAGAAATGCTTTAAAGTTCTCATAAAGTTAATCTTTACCTTACTTAATCATTCCCCATCAATGAATATCCAAACGACATTATCCATAAAAATAATTTACATTTTGTCTGGACCTTTTTCGCACAATTTTTATTTAGTTATAAGAATATTAACAATGTCCCTGTTTTTCCAGCTGTGCTGGAACATTGAACATTTACCCATTTACTGTGACAGTAAAGCTATATTCTATTCTATTTGATATGATAGTTTTGGAAGAGATAGGTAATATATGGATTCTTTTTCCAATCACATTTTTGCTTTTGAACTACATGTTGTCTTTAGATTATAACCATACCAAGGTTTGTTTTGTTTTTTATAACATCTAACAGGCGTAAACATTTGTATAACAGTGTTGGTTTTCACGCAGGCTGCGGCAAGTCTGAGGTGATCACGAACATCATCCTGCAGATGTGGTTGGACTGGCATGGTTCTAAACAGTTTAGCGGCACTTTTCAACAGATCCTTCTGTGTGCGCCTTCTAACTCTGCGATCGATGAACTGGTCAACAAGTTGATCATCCGCAATGAAGAACTTACGCAGTTCAAAGGTAAATCGAAATTGACATGGTTCTGGTATCGAACAACCAAAATCGTGAAGCGCCATATTAGGATTTTCGGAGAAGGGTTAAAGTTCAGCAGCTTACCTGAGAAAGTTTCTAGTCCAGGGGTTAAAGACAGCAAAAAGTTACGGATCACAACAATGATATTTTTTCTAGCTTAAGACTTCTTCAGGGAAGAGGTTGAAGAAAGAAGTCAGTGATTTATCTTCAGAGTTGCCAACCTGTAGTCACCGGAAAAATATGACACTTTTTTTAATATTATACTAAACAAAAAAAGTATTCTGTATTTTCCTCATTTTGGGAATACTTAATAAAAACGAGCTGAGAGGAAAGGTTGAGATCATCATCTTTAACTTTTTCTCATATTATTCAGTGTTAATGAACTTTCCACACAAGGATTAGTCCGGAAAACAGCTTTTTGTCGCTTGCTTAATCAAATGTGATTTCATTATAGTATACTGTTGTATGATACATTTTTTGCCACACTTCACTGTTTTAACAAACTTTCCACATAACGATTTAGTCACAAAAACAACTGTCCTGCAGCCTACCTTATCAAATAGGGTTTCATTATGTAGGGTAATGAGTTTTTACCGGACACCAGCTGATTATATGGCAATTAGTGTTTACAAACAAAAACATAACCTTTAGAGGTTACGAGATCAGAAGTGATAGTTAATCCTTTAGTTGGTGGGAATAGATAACAGATTTATTATTTTTTTTTTTTTGGGTTGGTTTGGAGTAGTCTTAAAAAATAATGTATGTCACTTGTTCAAAATGTGTTTACCAGACCGTTACGGTTATAACGATGGAGATGAAGTCGAATTTAAAATGATACTAGTCCGGAACAACCACACTCGTCTGGTAAACTCCTATTTTCTATACTCTAACTGGCAGATCTCTTTAACTTACTCTCTGATGTCTTATATCAGGACGAAGTATCAGTGTTATGTTAGGTGACTTTTTATTGTGTATCTATTGCTCCTGCACTCTAATCTTCTCAGGTTAACTAGCTGATCTTCATCCCCTTATCCAAAACATCCTAACCATCCACTTGCCTTAAGTTTAAAATATAATCAGAATTAACATATTTTTTGCTTTATAAGTATTTTGGATTTCCGTTTTCATCCACTGTTGTCTTGCAGGTGTTTCCAAGTTTTCACTGGTCCGTGTGGGTGTTGAGCAGAGCACTCATGAGAGTTGTTCTGGATACACACTAGACTCCTTGGCGAAGATGGAACTGAAAAAACTGACGGAGGTGAAAGCAGATGAAAACCAAAAGAGGCTACAGGTATTTAAACGTTTTAAAAGTAAAGGTAGAACATAATTAATTGTTAATATTAAACATGTTGTGTCAAAAATGGTATATACTGAAATTTTTTACTACTAGAGCTAGCAAACACCAGCTCATTCTTTTTCTATATACTTATCACATTAACGTTACTTTATTTAATTGATTCAAGCACCATATAAAGACCTGTGGAGTTCCTAGGATAAAAAAAATGATGAATTATGCATTTTTTTTCTTTATCTTGGAACACAAATATTTAAATTCTTAGTTCTTATAACAATTTTTTTGAAGAACACACAGTAAGGATTTGCGACACACTTTTCCTGCACTGAGAAAATATACATGTGTGGTCGCAACCTTTGGCCTAGATAGCTCAGCCTACAAAAACAATTCCTGGGCTAGGTAAAAATCCCAGGCTTAATAACTAGGTTTTAATCCGAATCTAATGGGTTTGGAGCTTGCTCATACACAGGCACTGTGAACAAGTAAAAAAAGTCACCAGATAAAATCGTGCACTTATCACTACCAGACCTACGCAGATTCTCCACTCTCCTAGGGGGTTGTTGCTGACTTCGGAACTCGGGCTTCGTCCTTACTATACATTAATTAATCCCAGAGTGCTAAAACAAGTGAGTGACACAATAACTTACCAATAACCTCAACGCTTGTTATCAACTGGCGGGTTCTAATCGGCCACTAAAATTCTGTACACATCTCTAATATGCCCAAGCTAACAGTCAAATAGTAGTTCACTAAAAATACAAAAGTTTGAAATATGATGAGGGAAAATGCTTTGACGCATATAGCTGGCCAAGCCTGTAATGTGAGATTGATCAGACTACTCACTAAAAACCCTTCTAAACTGCTCTGTTGGACACATTAGTTCAAGTCATGCCAACATGTGACATAAGCCCTAAGGGTTTGCACCGTTTCTGGCATTCAGGTTCTTTATGACCTACACCGCATCCCGGTCAAGGTCGAGCTTCTTGGCGTGGAGAATACCCTGGATGAAATGTGACACACAAGTCCAATTGTCCTCACCCTCCGCCATAATCGGAATGACCGTGTCCACCGACAGCAATCCAACACACTGTTGAGCCTCCAACGGGTGCGACATTCCAGAGGTTCAGGCCGAGTATGGAATCTTGGGCAGCACCAGAAGTGACACTCATCGTCCGCAGGCCTCTCATAACCTTTTTCCATATATCCAGTTATCTTTGTAACTCCCCTTCATCTGTCCACCATAACATTATGTCATCTGTAAACATCACAGTTCCCTAATCTAACCTTCAAAGGCCTGATACAATCACAAACATGCATAAAACCTCAACTTTCTTTCTCACATGCCTTTTCTGTCATCAAATCTGATTTTGAAATGATACAAAAGCTAGGTTAGGTTTGGTTAGAACAGTTTGATCTTAAAATATTTTCTAATTTAGCAAGTATAAATGGTTACTGAGTTTTTTTTTTAATTTGTCGTCATGTACTGGTTTTGTTTGTTTTACATTGTATGTAACAATACAGCTGGTTGATCTTCCTCCTGTTAAAGTCATCGCTAGAACTTTAACTCGTCTGAGGCACTATCTTAACCGCCCAATAACCCTTTAATTTGTGTTATTTGATCTTGTTTTTTTGGACAATATTACTCTCCATCAAACACTGATTACATTTTGGGATTCTGCTTGAATAATAATAATAATGTAAGTAGACCCGAAAAAATAAAATTTTTAATCGGTGAAACTAACTCTTGGTGACAGATATAGTCTGGCCCTATTGTATTATCAATTGAAATAATAGTATAGAAATAATGGCATACAATAGTATAGAAATAATAGTATACATCTCCAAGACATAAACATGCTCGGTAGTAACAAACTATTGTAATTTTGTATAGTGTCTGGTATAATATAGGCTAACTATGTTTGTTTTTTTTAGATTAGTTTATTGGAAGGAAAAAAACAGAAACTGACCCAAGAACTGGATTCTTTAACAAATAGCAATTATAATTTACCTGGAGACAAGACGAAAGTAGACATGAAACAGATAAGATCCGTAGAAAAGAAATTGGCTGACACCAAAGCAAAAATCCATTACTTTGAAAGCGGAAAAGAGGTAAATTTTAATTTTTACTTATTCTCTATAAGAGTTCCATTAGTATTTTTAATGTTGCCCTTTTTTTTTAATTTTATCTGTAAACAATGTTTGTACAACAATGCATCAGTGAGTCAGTGGCTCAGTCGGTAGCGTCGCGGACTTCAGGCTTAAGGCAGCGATGTCGTGGGTTCGAATCACGGTCACTGCCGAAAACATTTTATCATCACAGATCACCTTTGAAATGTACCTGGAAACTGTAAAAAATGAGAATCGTAGGTAAATGTTGATGACCAGGAAAAATCTGTGAATTGTACAAGATTTTTTTAAAGAACTGGGAAATTTAAATGTTTGTTGAATAGCAAAAAAACTGCCCAAAATCACAGATTTTTCTTGTTTTCGTAATTAAAAATCACGGGAAACCATCTTGAATAATCATGTAATACAAGGGGTTCCATAAAAAATTTTAAAGTTAGCCCCCATTATAGAAAACGGTAGCCATTTTTGAAAAAGTGCAATTCATATTTCTTTTTGTCATAGTAGTTGAATTATTTCATTTAATGTTTTCTCTGAATCTAACAATTTCTGAGAAACCAATTAGTGGCACCCTGTGAGCAAACAAACATTGTTTTGAGAAAGAGAAGAGGTGGAACTTCCATCTCCACGCTTACTTATTGATTGCCAAAATAATATTACAAGAGGCAATTTATTATTCTTTAAATTGACATAGGCTTATTCTTAAAGTTAAGGGAAAGTTTAAAAAAATATATCTCCCTTATAATAAACAATGTTAAAAGAGAACCGTTAGACCATTAAGATTAAAGCTAAGGGTGTTTTAACCTCTTTGGTAGGATATACAAATTTAGTATTTGACTAATTTAACAATGTTCACACACCTTTTTTAAATTCATTTTATTAATACTTAGATAAGTTTAAGTTGTGTTACCACAAAAATACAAAAGGCTTTAATGATGTGATTTAAACACTGTTGTTGATTTTGTCATGTTTTCCCAGCCAACTGAAAGAGAAAAAGCAATTAAGTATAAAGAGTTCCAGTTGGAAATTTTAGAAAAAGCTAACATTGTTGCAACCACCCTGTCATCTTGCTACAACGGAATCATGGCTGAGGCCACCAGGAGAAGGTGAGTTACTAGTGTACATGTTGTTCGAAATCAACCAGTTGCAAGGAAGTATTTACTTAAAAACAAATAACTTATTTAAATATCCCCGCCGCAGCAAACCTGCTGACTAAGCGAGTTTCAACTTGTCTGATTACATATTTACTCAAATATTTCCATAAATAAGACATATTCCCAATTTAAATAACATTAGATTTAATAGTCTTGTTTTCATTACGTACAAAGTACAGTACCTAAAAGTTCAAAGATACAGGTACAGTTCTTTTTATTTAAGCACATAGAAATATATAAAAGGCAAAGTCCTAACGGTTATGGAGATAGTTAAAAAACTTTAAATTTAAAATTCCCATGTTATTCTTATGGAGAATAAATAAACTGTTGTAGTTTGCTTGTTTATGGATATATTTTAATTTAATAAAACTTCACAATTTTGTTTATTTCATACTAAGTTACCTATCAACATTTCAATAAAAAACACCTTGATACCATCCCTGTAGCAGCAAACCTAAGTATTTATTAAAATTAATGTTATTCAAATAGGAAATAAATCTGACAATTTTCAGGGTATATTTTATCCAGCCAGGTAAATGGAAATTCGCTCAGTCTGCAGGTTTGCTGCGGCGGGGGTATTTTTTTAAAATTCCAGTAGGCTATAAACATTGACTATTGGATACAGAAGTTGTTGTATTAATAGTCAAAGCTATAACAATGTAAAAAAAAAACCAAATTCAAACCTTAAGCAAACAAACTTATGACGTACCGTCAACAAATGTTCGATTTATTTTTAAGGTAATGTAATTTTGAACTGCTTTGTTGATTTTTCTAATTCGTCCTGGTAACCCGAAGACTTTAAATAAATGTGCAATATCTAATTTATACTGTACATGGTCAGATTTGCTAGGTTTAATTTAGTGATTTGAATCAGCTGTGTGTACTGTTAAAAGTTGTTTTATTCTATTATTTTAACGCTAAAAAAGTGTATTGATAAATATACATAGGTTTCCTTTAGAATATTTTATTTTATTTTAATGTTTTTAAAATTAATTGAAAACATACATAGGTTTCATTTTAGACAATTTATTTTATTTTGATGTTCAAACAAATTAATTTGAGAAATAAAATAAAATTTTTTATATTACTGAGGCCTGTTATTCTGTGTTTGTGTATTTTTGCGTCGTGATGAAAAGTATCGTTCATAACTCGTACCGAAAGTTATTTTTCGGCACTTGCTCTATTATTCACGTCCTCGGCTTTGCCTCACACGTGAAACACTAGAAAATGCCATTTAAAAAAATGTTACAAAAACAAAACATCTAACTAACAGCAGATTAGGTGACGTTTTACTTTGTAATTATTTTTAAAAAACAATTTTAATAAACACTTGCTACACATTTTGTTTAAGTCTATAAGTTATAGTTGATTATACCAGTCAAACAATTCTCATAGCACCCGATATTTTCCAGCACAAAAGTTACTAAATTTCAATTTGTTAAAAATAAAAATATAACTATGGTTTAATTTGTCCAAGGTTCGTCAAGTTTAACTGTTGCATTGTCGATGAGGCAACACAAAGTACCGAGCCGGATACCCTCATTCCCCTTATGTTGGGGGTGAGGAAACTGGTGCTGGTAGGAGATCCCAAACAGCTGCCTGCTACAGTCATGACCTCAGTGAGTGAATTTAATGATAAATTTAACTGGCTAACTTTAAAAGCCGATTAAGGGGCTTATGCAAATCAAACCAATCTGTTAACGATGTTAACATTGATGTTCCTCTAACCTAAGAAGGTAGTTTTGTACCTTGTTTATTGTTCCCCTCAAACAAGTCGCAAAATGGATAAGATCTTATTCTTCCTATGTTAAATCCTCATAAGACAAAAAACCTTATTTGACCAATACACCCTCCCGTTATCCTGATCACGGTATTGTGTGTTTTATCCCAATACATTACAAGCTGGAAAGATTTATGTTTGTTACAGATTTAAAAGTTGATGGGAGAATTTTTTGTCTTACATTCCTGTTGTAGGGTTAGCTACAAGACTTTTTAGAGAGACAATTCCTTAGTCTCACGATGACCACAGTTGGGTTGTCACAGGACATTTTCCAATAAACTTGGTGTTTACGTACAAGGAATTTATAATTTATACTTATTATATTTATTATTTACTTTATTTATATTTATTATTTAAATGTATGTTTATGTAATAGACTCTCAAAGACTGTTATACCGTTCACATTATCCTTAATTTAACCCCTGCCTATGTAATAACAAAAATTAAATGTCTTTGAAATTGTTCAAGCTACTCAAAAATGTTGTATCACAGCTAAAATTATAGCTTAGTCAATAATTACATTGCTATATTTTCTAACTAAAAAGAAACGTTTCTTTTCTAGACTGCAAAAGTACATGGATTGGAAAAATCCACATTCGCAAGGCATTATGACTGGTGGAAGAAACAGCAGTTGATGAATGCTGACCTCGTAAACCCCTGCCACTTCTTGAACATACAATACCGAATGCATCCAGAGATTGCACAATGGCCTTCGGAATACTTTTACGAGAACAGACTTCTCTCTCCAGAGTTGTTGAGAGATCGTAGCAGAACGTTCCCTTTAGTGCCATACATAGTGCTCAGTCATGACTACAAAACGAACGTCAAGGAGTAAGTGACACCAATCTACACAATAGTTTTTGTGACTCAAAATCTGGAAATTAACGTACTTATTTATAACCAAGAAAGCATAAACTTTGTCATACAGTTGATTTGAGTGAGTTTTCTGCAAAATAAATTCAAACCTGAGTGAAGACAAACGTTACAGTTTTAGTCTACCTCTGGGACTTGGTTTCGTAGGCAAATGTTATTATGAGCTTGATTCCCAAAGTTATGATTTTATTCGAACAAATTCCTCATTTGTCAAGGTACATGTTAACATATTTATTTGTTGGATTTTCATGCAACATGTGTTGCAACATGTGATAAATGGAACATGTCTATCTTTAATGCTTCGTTTATTGAAATACAAAGACCCTACTGTGAAACATGGGTACAACAGCTGATAAAGTGGAAGTGCACTGTTGTTAAATAGTTCTACAGGGTGTCTACCAACCGGGAAATCCGGGAAAACCGGGAATTGTACTTAAATTTTTACTGGCCATGAAATGTACGGGAATTGTCCTTAAATGCCAGACTATGTCCTTAAATTTTTAATGGGCCATAATTTTATTGATCGCTAGTTGGTTAGGAGCACATTAAAGGTTTATCAGATGTTTGTTTACATTTTCATAATTTATTACTAGAGTAATTATGCAATAAAAATCCCATTAACAATCTCAAACCCATTAATATTTTATCACGACAATCAAGTGTCAAGTCAAGTACTTCCAAGAACTGTTGACTCAGCAGCTAGCTCATAAAGTTGTATCACTTTTATTCCTTTACAACTTCTTTTTTTATTACTAGAGTAATTATTATTAGATCCCAAACCTATTTTATCGTGTTAATAATAGCTTTATAATGGCTGTTAAATTTCACTTCAGATTCAATTTGCGCGGCCAGTGCCTAGTTTCATATTAAACATGTAAATAATCTACAGTCTTATTTTGTAAGTTAACCCCTTTTTTATGGACATTTTATCTTTCGTTTCAATTGACAAAACCACAAGCATTGTTGTTTGCATTAATGTTTTATCACTATGTAGGCCTGCTTGGTTTCAAATTATGTCATTGCATTTTCTGTATCTTTGTCTTATATTTTTGGCTATTCAGGTTTCAATGTTTTTTGTTTCCCATATATTTATTTATTGAGTTGTATGCTTTAAGCAATCAAAATCTTATGAACTATAATGATGATAATGACTTTGCTGCTATTATAACCTCATTGTTTGTTACTCAGTTTATATAGGCCCTCCTAAATAATTAGGTTTAGGCCTGGGTATTTTGATTCTTGAAAGAGCTGTAAAATATATTAAGAAAATGTAATTGAGCCTAAGATAAACAACTAATGATTGCTATGAGTCGATATTAACTTTGCAAATGAAAATACAATAATCTTACTCTGTGCTTATTGCTTATTAATAGCCGCTTACCATACCTTGATTTTGTACTAAGAATTGATTAACAGTATGCATTAAAGATTTTTTTCAAAAGTAATCAAGAACCTAACGTTGTGCCAGGGCGAATCATGCCAAATTAATCGGCCTGGATCGGATAAGCTATGTTATGAAGTTTATGTGACGGATGGAGATATTCGTCGCTATCGCAGGAGACAATGATTGCGTTTCTCTGTTACACTATAAAAGCTTTACCTAAAGTATAGGTAGGCCTATGTTTGTTTACTTTCAATAAATTTCTATTTTGTAATTTTTAACTCTTATCTATTATTATTTACTTTTCTCTCTGGTACAACTACAGTGAATAACAAGATTAATACAGTTTGACAAATCAGGAAAATTATTCGGTAGGCCTAATTACACCGACAAAGGTTACGGCAAAGTGTCCTTAAATGTACGGGAATTGTCCATGAATTTTTTATCCAGAATGTAGTAGACACCCTGTTCTAAATTATAAATTGTATGAAAAAAATGCTTAGTTTAAACGATTCTTAGTGTGTTGTTTTGCTTGTAGCTCTGAGTGCAATGATGAAGAAGCTAACCTTGTGGCTTTTATCATCCGTTCTATTTCCAACCACCAGCTGTGCAAATCAAAAAAGATCAGTGTCATAAGCCCCTACAATCGTCATAAGGATGAACTCAAAAGGAGAATGAGCCCCAGGTAAGTTAATAATGTTGCTGATGTAAGAAACATTACAGAAACATACACACCAACATCTCTGAATAGTTTTGATAATCATAAAGTATGTATTACAGGGTTATTTCCTAATAGAGATCAAGCGGCATAACCTGTCTTGTTTAGTTAGACATATTTCCATATCATCTGCTTAACTGGGCTAAGTTGGATGGTAACTAAGTGTTCGGTTCCATTATTGTAGTACATAAACCAATCGTTACTTCCCTCTCCTACTTCTTTGGCATCACTTTACGTTCACAACTAAACTGTGTATCTTTGCAGGATTGACAGAATATAACAGGCTATAATTACAAATTATATGTTGTATAATGTATAGTATAAATTTGTTCAATTGAAAGGCACAGTGACGTTGAGGTACAGAAGAAACATTAAATGGTGGTGTCTAGGATTAGTGGCTGGTATCTTGGGCATAGTCCAACACCACCCCCTCGCCTACCATTGTACTTATTGTTAATTTTTATAGCTCACCAACATAAAAGTCAAAATTAAAATGATTTTTTCTCTAAAGTGTTTCTAATCACAAGTTACCGAGTGTTATGGGGCTATTTTATACCCCCCTGTTGGATGGTGTCCTGGTTGTGCCCTGCCAAATCTGTGGGTCACGTTACGCCTCGGTAAGGACCAATAGCAGAGTTAACCTATGTACTTCGAATCACCTATTTAATCCTGTGGTATATTTTGGTTCAAAGAGGTCTACACCAACTGTTTTGTTACGTTATTTTACCTATGACCGATTTTTAAACCTTTTCAATTCATTTTCGCCAAGGTTCGTACCTTAAACTTTCCACTTGTGTCATAAAGATTATCCTTTTGCAATTTGTTGCGTAAACTACTATTAATTAAATTAATGTCTTAAGAATCAAATCGTTACACAAAATCTATTTCTTAAAATAACAGTGGTTTTTTTTTAACTTTATTTCTATCACAGTATGGGAGATGCCTGTTGTCGTCCGCTCATTTATATTCCGTAAGCAAACTATCCGCACCTTTGGGATACACCCGAGTTAGTAGAAACCATTGACTAGCAAATTAAATTAAAGTGATTAATTTTTTTGAAGTGATTAACAGTGTTTGAAATGTTTGTAGGGAGTTTCCTAACCTAGAAATTGGCTCAGTGGACAGCTATCAAGGCAGAGAGAGCGACATTGTCATCTTCTCGTGTGTGAGGACTGAAGGCGTCGGCTTTCTCAGCGACCAGGAGAGAATCAACGTTGCTCTCACACGAGCCAAGCACTCGCTCATAATCGTGGGAAACTTCATGTCTCTACAGGTAGGCCTACTCATCTCCATCCAACGTTTTTCTAACATACAAAATAATAAGGCAACACTTCAATTGTGTTAATTAATACAATAGAAGCTTGAAAATCCAACCTTGTGCAGCAACAACCCACAATTCACATTCAACAAATTCAGATTTTTAGCCAATTTCCCGTATATGGAATAATCTATTACCATAGGTCTCGTGGTAAAACCTAGACCTAAAAAAAATAAAAATAAAAAAACGAATTCACAATAAATGAAATTTGTTGCTTTTAGATCCACATCATGAAGATTGATTTACCTACCTCAATCAAGTTAAAGTTATAAAAAAAGTAGCCTATTCCATTTTCATAAACTGATTTATCTCTGTTTACAATTTGACTGTGGTTAAGCATTTAACCGAAACATCTGTTCACATTTAAATTCACATCCAAACTGTTATTAGAAAAGATAGTCAGCATCCCTGAATCTTTGAAAGCAAAGGAAATTGAAATTACCTTTTTAGTTACCATTTGTCACTCCGCTAGATTAGGAGCTTTACAATGACACCTCAATCCTAAAAATTGGTTTGAGTAAGACGGCTGGAAAAGGGGTGTAACAAGGAAAACTCTTATTGTATTCAGATAAACAGTAACAAAACTGGCACTTAAAATTTAAAAAACTAGAGGTGGGCCGATACCGATACTAGATACCAAAATACTCTCGATACCAGCGGTATCGAAGTATCGTCGATACTCGATACTTGCCTGTTTTGGGTTCAATACCGATACTGACACTGAACCACTGAATGCTACGAATCGGTGAGGAGCGGATTAAGTCAGTTCAGTCAGAGCGCCGAGCGGGTAAATTGCCGTTGCCGTTACGAATCCTAGCTGTTTGCCTACTTAGTTAAATATACTCGCAACTCGAGTCGAGTAGTAGAGGTTAAGCCGATTTCGTTGATATATGGCAAGTAAATAATAAGAAAGGAAAATGTTTTAGTTTTAATTATAATTAGGGATGGACGAGATTGGATTTTTAGTTCGAGACGAGACAAGATTTTTTATTTCTCATAAAATTTTGAGACGAGATCGAGACGGGATTTCCCTTCTCATACACAACAAGAAATGCACGTTCAAAATTTTTACCTGATTTTGTAACATTGTTAGATGACTGTTTAAATACAAAAATAATGATAATAGGCAAGAATGTTTACAATCTTTTATTAAAAAACATCAGCATAACATTTTTTTTATTAATCACGCCTAACTTATTAAAAATGCATACGATTGGGAAACATAAAGATATCAGTTAGGATAGAGTTTAACTTATCCTAAAATAAAATAAATCATAAAATAAAAGCAATATTAATTTTTATAAAATAGTTAGATACTTGTTTTGACTTTTTATAGTAATAAAACATTCCTCACACTGCTTACACTTAACAAAACTTCTCAAATGTTATTAAAGTAATATTATTAAAATAATTAAAGTAATATTTACATTTAAAGAATTAATTCAATAAGAACGCCTTCGCAAAGGAAACGCAACTACAACACGCTCCTGTATTGCGGGTATTGCATTGACTTTCTGCAGGCGTTTTTAATTTTTTTTTAATTTTTTTTTTTTTATTCTCGTCTTGATAAAAATCTCGGCCAAAAAGAAATCTCATCTCGTGTAACGAGATTTTCCCGAAATTTCGAGACTTGACCATCCCTAGTTTTATTTAATCCCTTAACCCCTTTCAATATTGACATACTAGGCCTAATAATAATCGGCAACCTAGACATCGCTTGCGTCATCCATTTCACTGACAGCGACAGCTGACACTGGGTGATGGTGATAGTGATAGGTAGTGGTGTGCAGCGAGTGCGATGTATTGAAATTTCAATTCGATTCTAAAAAGGGATGTGTCGATTATCGTCATCGATACCACCATCCATTGGTTTCCACTTGGACATTGGTATCGGTTCGGTACCAAGACTCGATTGTCAAAAGTCGATTCCGATGACACCGACACCCGACAGGGATAAATATTTTATTTTAACATTTATTAACTTTATAGCTACAGTATTAGTTTTGTAATCATGATTAGTTTTGTAATCACGGTTAACAATTTTCATAGCCAACTTAGAAACTATCTAGTTCAAAACAGCTACGGTGCCGGTGACACTGTTTAGCTTCAGCTCATTGCACAACCCAATCTACATTTCAAGATGTCAGACTCAACTCATAAGACAACCGGCGCGCGAATGTCCTGCCAACACAAAATTAATTAAACAATGTCTGTATGAATAAGTCAGACATTTAGATGTATTATTTTATTTTTAGACATAGACATAGACAGACATAGACATGTTTTATTCATGAATTGGGTACAAATTATACATGTACATCTCAATCGTCAAATACATTATATGGTCTAGTAACATTTAAATCAAAACGAAAAATAATTAGTTAAATCTATTTTATTCTAAAGATTTAAACAAATAAGTCAAATAAAAGTGCCATGTTGAATGAGATCAGGCAGACAGGAATTCTTCGGTACCGTAAAACTCACCTTCCACCAAATAATTTTTCAGTAGTTTCCCAAAACCATTAGAACCCAACCTTGAACTGCACTGCTTTACTTCTTCAGGAAGCCTATTAAAGAAAAATTGGCCCGAAAAATTTGCATTCCTTTCAGAAAGGGTCAGACGATGACATGGAGTACGAAGATCTCCTCCATGCCTAGTGGGGTATCTATGACATTGACCAACCGATGGAATATCCTTCAGATGATTTACTGCAGACATTATTGCTCTATAGATGAATATAGAAGGCAAAGTTAAAATGTTGTTCTCCCGGAAGACTCCTCTGCATGAATGGAGTGGTGGTAAGCAATTGAGGATACGCACTGCCCTTTTTTGTACGGTAAAGACCTTATCACCATGGGAAGAACCACCCCAGACTTCAATACCATAAGTCATGACTGAGAAAAAACAACCATAGTAGACTTAGTACAAAATAAATAACCTAAACACGTCAAAATGTTCAGTTTCCTCCCTGCAATATTCAACCATTAAACTTTAACATCGTCATCGTCGTATGGTTAGGCTTGCTTTATATTGTGCCAAAAAGTAGGTCCATTATCTGTACTATCTACCTGATTAAAGAGTTTAGTGAAGTTTTAAGTGCTACTATGACACAATGCATTTATTGAAAAATATCATAAGCCTTAGTCCATGTAGATTTTGTAATGTTATAACGAATGGTTAATGTTGACAATAAAAGTATGTAACGACAGTTCTCATTGGTCAGGAGGCGACAATGCACTACCATGTCAGCCAATCGACTTTCGTGTTTCAATGGAGCAAATGACGATTGCTTAGACATCGTTTTATGTGCTTTGCTTATTGTGGGTGGGAAGGGTATCAATAATTTATCGTGATTCGAGATCCGATATGTAGTACGTGTTCGTTTATGCATAATGAGTATTAAAGTATAAAAAAACTAGGTTAGTTACAGATAGGTTCAAAACATTGATTGTTCCGATCCATTTTTGACACCCTTACGGAAGTTATAGTGACGTCGTGCATAAGGGCCAGGCAGGCCGGTTCACAGTGAATCCACTCTGCCGAACCTATACTTTGGTATCATCGGGAACATAGTCAAACACTTTTGTTACTAAATAAAACTATGACATGTTTTATGAAAGCACTTTTTTGGAGATTCTAGTACCTAAACATAATCTTTATTGTAGGCTAAAAGTAAAACCTATCTATTGCCATACTTTTCTCCACAGACGTCGACTTATTCTACAATCTCTTTAAAAAATACCAGGTTTCAGTCAAAATACTTTTGTAAAAATTGACAGTGTGCTGTTTTAACACAGTCATTATGTAATGGAAATCTGCAAGCGACTGACACCGAGGGTAAGGGAGGGCATGTGAACCAGGCTTTAGAGCAAACTTTCTCTTTTCCTACCCCATGTCCCGTTAGACGGTGGGCGGGGTTTCACACTAAATAAACACTCAGTTCACCCACATTTTCCCTCCTCCTCCCTCTCCAATAGTAAAAAAACAATTTCTTTTTTTTTAACTCCAGGTAACTATTAGAAAAATGTTAATTTTACTGTCAGGAGAGGTCCCGGGCTGGGGACCGGTGTAGCGGAGTTAAAAATGTGTTGGCCCTGAAAAGGGCCGTTTGGCCAAGAGCTCGTACGTCACTTGGCGGAAGGGGGTCCACAACCCATAGCCCAAATCTACTCAATAAAAGTGGTATGATAATACCGTTTAGCGTAAGACGCTGACAATTTAAATCGAACAAACTTTAGGGTATAGGTTGAGCCCGGTTCGGTCAACTCTCGAAGTCTTGGCTGTGGTGTTTCTTGAGCCTCCTCCGCGTCCTCCACCGAGGGGTCAAGAAAGTCACAACAGTCAAGCGCTTCCAGAGCAACCTCATCGGGTAAAGGCAACCCTTCCCTTACGTTTACAGCGAACGGGTTCCTCAACATACTGCCACAAAGTAAGTTACGTGTTTACAGTGCGAAAGTTATTGAGAAACAGAATTTTTGGTTTCCATGGTTAAATATTTATTTTTCTCTGTTGAAATAGTGTTGCTAAGACACATTAAATTTACAAATTAGGTTAAACTTAAATAAATCCACGGGCATCTCAGGACCTAGTCTCATCCAAGCAATTAAAATATGACAAGTGTTTTCTGTTTTAAATAATGAAATTTAATTGTAAAAATTTCTAGGACTCAAGATAGAATATTATTTTTAAATTAATTGTGTTTGAATGAATAAGCATTATTGTTCAGCCCTAACTTACTTGTCTTGGGTTGCGAGTTATTTTGGAATGTTTAAGCTGTTTGAAAATAGGTTTGTTCTTTAAATTGAATGGAGTATTCTGCAAAAATCTTTTTTACTAAAAAATAAATGAATCCAATATTTTTGTGTAGCATTCATTCACAGTAGAGAATAGTTTTTGTGGCAGTGACTTATGTCTCTGGTCTGCTCTTCATAGCTCACATGTAGATTTCTTTCGAGAAATTATAGGCTAAGTGATAATCTTGATTAAAAATAAGTGAAAACTGTTGACATTTTCAAGAAAGAAAAGTTAAGAAATAAAAGTGTTAAAAATAAAAAGGTTGTTTGATTAGTTATTCTGTATTTCAAAAATATCCTCATTTATGAATCTGTTTTCAGCTAGACTTGGTGACTTTTTCATATCCAAACAAATTTTGAAGATATATAACTGTTTCTATAAGCCTATTTATAAATTAGAGGAAACTTTATTAAATCTCATGCTTTAGTCAAATTCAAACATTTACAATAGGCCTATTTTAAAATAAACACTTAGTTCCATATTCTTGCAATTGTTTTTTGCAATTAATAATAAACCTTTAACACCAAAATATAAGTTTGATACACATAGGCCTACATATTGTGTTTTTTATGGTATAACAGGTTTTAGTGGAAGAAACTGTGCAAACAAGATAGGTATCGGAAGTATTGGTATCGATAGGTATCGAGAGTACTTTGGTGGTATCGGTATCGGTATCGACAATTTTTGGTATCGGCCCATCTCAAAAAAAAATCAAAAATACAGTATCTCGTGAATCATGTAATCTTTATCAGTAAACAAAGAGTGTCTACACTCTACAGATACAAAATGCAATCAATTGGTAAATCATTTAGAAACAGAAGGCATCAAATTGATAAGCATTTACATTAAAATGTACATTTGTTTTCACAGTCCAGATTTCCATAGTCTGGAGGTAGTTATTTACAGAAACTGTGAATATAAGCATCTATAGTTAAAATCTTGTGATTTTCATTTCTTGCACCATAACATTTTTATCTATTAGAATGAAAAATTAAACTGACGTTTTCTATTTCAAATGCTAGCAAAATGGAGCTATGCTTGAGAAGGTGGGTAAAATTTATATTTTAGCCCTTAATTTCTGGAGTATTTCTCTACTTGTTTTTTATTTCTTGTTTTTTTTTTCAAATTTCAAATCTTATGGGTAGAAGAAGATAATACCATGGCAAGTAGTTGGAACATAGAAATAAATCCTATCGGAATTTCATTTTGTGTTCTTTATAAATTATAGTACTAGCAGGCAATTATATTGTGTTTATCCCTGTTGCTGGAATTCGAGCAATTGCTAAGTATTACAGGCATTATTTTAAAACGAATAACAGTCATAATTTCTGATGACTTTAAAAGATTCGACTCAAAGATTATGGAAATACTCAAGATGTACAAAACAGATCAATATGATCAACATTTCTTGTAAATATCTTATCATTTTTCAAAAGCTGATCTTGTTTTTTAATATTTTCTACAAATAGCCTTACTTATAGCCGCATTAGGCTGTCCATAATAACGATTATAAATATAACAAAAAAATATTTCTATTTCTTCTTCTTGGTGGTGTTCTATGACTTTCCCATGTTTCCATAGTTTGCAAATCGGCTCTTTCAATGATAACTAAGAAATGCAGCAAAGTGTTAATTCAGCTTTCTTTTTAGTATATCAAATTATCCAGGCTCTCTCACTTTTTTCCATTGTAATATTTACGCCAACCCAAATTCAAATACCGGTAGTAAATATTTAATTTTCAACCAAGTCAGTAAATGTTAGTAGCAAAACTGTTAAATTAGCAAACTTATTGACTGTTTACAATTAACATATGTTCTTCTTCTCACTTTTGATTTCTGACAACAGCTGGAGTTTCAAAACAATGTTTGTTTCCCATGTTAATCTTATAGAGCAATACAAAACTTTAAAGAACCCCAGGGCCTCACTCTCTAATTATTTCCGTAAAAATAAAGTTTCCTGCAAAACTTAACGTTACGCTCTTTCCAATGACACCAAAAAACATGTCAATCGGTTCAGTAGTTTCGGAGGAGTAATTGTTACAAAGAACCTGCTTGCGTATTAAATAAGTATAGATAATAAGAAACTGGTAGCAGTTCAAAGAAATTTTTGTTTAAATTGTTAAATATTTTTCAAATTGTTTTCAGCGCCCTCTTTTTAGCATTTGATATTACCATTTAGTTCAGCATTAATAGGGGGTTGAGTATGCACTGAAAAAGTAACACCATTTGATTTATGATTGTTGATGGATCTTAGAGATTACCAAAACCGATCTTGTTGCTCCCCCAGCTGGTTTTTTGGCTCAACATGGGGAGAAAGTAGCACGGGCGACATTTTAAAACGTAATTCAACAATCAATAGTTTCCATAGTAATAAAGATGTATATTTGAGTTTTGTGAGTGTTAAAAATGTATTGTTCGTAATTTTTTGTTTAACCTGTAACAATTTACTTTTAGTAAGGGCATGAAGAAAACAGTTCTTGTTTGAAATTTATCGTATATTATTGTTGTGAATAAAATAACATATTTTGATCTGAAGCGCAGAATTTTTTTAGTATTTAATTTTTTACTAATTTTTAACTTTTATGTTCATAATCTAATATGCTATATATTTTTTAATGAATGAATCACCAAAAGTTTGAAATCATTTCTTGACTGCAAACCAACTTTTAAGTTAAGTAAGCAAAGTATAATGATATAATTGATTGTGATTTCCATAAATCCTTGAGGTATCAACTGGTTTTCAGCATAATATTGTTGTGTTATGATTAAAGCCAGCTTTTGTGGAAAACTACTTGATGAATAATGCAAGCTGGAATTAGTGTAGATAGAGAAGATGCCAATTACCATAATTATATCGTACATATTGAAAAATATTAACTGTCTTGGTACACAATTAGCTCTGTGAAGTGTACAGAACACTACATCTGTGGTCTGATTTTGAAACAAATGGGTTGTGGGTAATAATCCATACTATCTACAGGCGTACTTTTTTAAATTTGTATTTTAATAATGATTTTTCATGATAACCCATCAAATAATGAAAAATTTCAAAAAACCAGCCTGAACGGTTTTGATTGCAATTAATATGTTAATGTACAAACATGTTTATTTTCAGGTAATTTGTTTGTTTTTGCCCATATCGTTTCTATTTTATAATCCGTGGGATCGTCAAACAATCGCCCATTTTTTTTTTTAAAGTAAACTTAATTTACAAATTCTAAGATTAATCCAGACACCAAATGACACTATTATCAAGCAATAACATAGAAAAAATATTGTTTGTTTTACCGTACCACAGCTGATTTTGGGTGATATTTGGTTTCCATGGTTGTTATTCCCAATAATAAATTATTAAAAATACACAAAACAAGAAGCAAGATATTTATAAACTTTATAATAGTATACAAAATTTTAAAAATTAAAAAAAGCGAGCTTGGCTTGTAAGTTGGATTTTGGGCCTGCGGCGGCCAGACGAGTAACCTCGTAAGTCAGCGCCGATGGGTTAAACTAGGCAAAACAAAACGCTTAATATGAATGAAATTTGTATATGAAACAGTTATTCACTCTTGCAGATCCTGAAACATCGTGATAACAGTATTTTTTTCTGATCGTGTTGGAAAATCACCGAAAAAATTCTTTTATAATTTAGATACTTCTTTATATGTCAGTCTTTATATGTACTTCTTAGTATGTCAGTATTCCAGCCTACAATTCCAATTTGCTTCTCAACATTAATGGTGTTTTTGTTAGTCTCTTGCACTATTGGTTTGTGTTATCTAGACGTTCAGTAATCTGGCATGGGCAAAGTCCAGATCAAGATGGACTAGCGAGCGTCTTCTGTACCTTTAAATAGGTGTTATAGTATTTACTCTAAAATTTGTCTTGCTAATTATATTTTTCTTTCAGAGGGACCCAACCTGGAATTCCCTCCTCAACAATGCAAAAAGAAGGGAATTGTTTTGGCCAATCGTGAATAAAAACGAAATAAACTCTCTCATCTTCAAGAAGGAGGTGTTGAGAAGCAGTTTGTAAGACTGATGGAACCAGATCCTAAAACTACCTGTATTATACTTCTGTAGGTTAGTTTTGTATTTTTGTACTGTAATAATTAACATAACATGTATTTGTAGACTTCTCAGCATTGATTCATGAGCATTTAGGGTTAATATTTTCTTAAGTCAAAACTGTATTCAAACCAATACAAAAACATCTAGTCCACACTTGAACTTGAATTTATATGCTCAGATAGTCAAGTCTACTTAATTTTAGGCCTTAGATTGTGTGTAAAGTCTTTGACTATCATCCAAAGTTAGGATTTTTATTGTTTTGACAAATGCTAGGTTAAAACATCACAATTGTTAATCGATGTTTGTTGTAAATATTTAGCTTGTGATTAAGCATACCTAGTAAACAATTTTGTACAAAACTTGTTGATTTTTTAATTCATAAAATTTATTGTGTGATTTTTAATGGCAAGGATGTTCTAAAGTTAACTTAGTAGTAACATAACCATCTCCTTAGTAGTATTAAGAAGAATGAAATTACTTTCCTTAGTTGTGTCCTGGTGAAATAGCTTATTTTTGTACCACATTTATTTGTTCCTAAAACCTCAATTATAGTGACTTAAACCTCTTAAATTAACTTCCAACTGGAAGATAAACTACCGGTACCCGATTTTTTCTTTTAAGAAAAAAATCCCTTAGTGTAGGAAAAATCCTCCTATATAATTTTTTGTATGGAAGCTGTTTTGTGTAATTTGATATAGGCCTAATGTTGAAGGTATGACAGTACGGGTATTTATTCTATTATCTTTAAATTAACTGATTCGCAATGTTTTCCAACTTTTGTCATGTTGATTAAATTGTAAACGTGTTAATTGATCCAACGGTGAAAGTTACTATGAATTATTAAATATTAATTATTGATGATTAGCTTACTACAAAACAAGAAGCAGGCCAAGAGTGTATTAGCTTGTTAACATAGGTTGTTTTGTTTATACAGGGTGAGTTTTAATTGTCCCCCCCCCAACTTTTTTCTACATTTTTTCAAATATCAATCCCAGACCACTTCCAAACATTGTTGGGTAGTAAGTACTTCATTTTGACAAGGTGGCCATTTCCGGCCGCCATCTTGGATCCGCCATATTGGATGCAAATTTTTTTTTTCAAATGTAAAGGTGAGGTTGTGACCCATTATTTCGAACTAAATTTTTACCCTGATTACAATGCCGCAAACCGTAAAAAAAAATCTTGATTCATTCTAAAGTTATGAGGGCTTTTTAAAACTTTATTTTTAGCCCATTTTAACATTGTGCATTTACAAACTAAGACCATAATCTTAAAATAGTGCTAGATAAAGACAAGTATACACTACCAGTAATTGTCGACCTATTTTCACTTGTTTATGACTGATGTATTTTTTTCGGCCGCCATCTTGGATCCGCCATTTTGAAATGTGATAAATTATTTTAAATATGAAGGGGGTGTTGTGACCCATCATTTCGAACTACTTTTTTAAGCTGAAGACAATGCCGCAATCCATTTTTTGTTATCAAGTTTTATTTATGAAATATTGAAATTTTTTTGTTAAAAATGTCAATATTTCAAAATCAAAAAATGAAAATGAAAAACGGATCATGGAATTAGGTTCAGCTTAAAAAGGTAGTTCGAAATGATGGGTCACAACGCCCCCTTCATATTTAAAATAATTTATCACATTTCAAAATGGCGGATCCAAGATGGCGGCCGAAAAAAATAAATCAGTCATAACCAAGTGAAAATAGGTCGACAATTACTGGTAGTGTATACTTATCTTTATCTAGCACTATTTTGAGATTATGGTCTTAGTTTGTAAATGCACAATGTTAAAATGGGCTAAAAATAAAGTTTTAAAAAGCCCTCATAACTTAAGAATGAATCAAGATTTTTTTTTACGGTTTGCGGCATTGTAATCAGGGTAAAAATTTAGTTCGAAATAATGGGACACAACCCCACCTTTACATTTGAAAAAAAAACTTTGCATCCAATATGGCGGATCCAAGATGGCGGCCGGAAATGGCTACCTTGTCAAAATGAAGAACTTACTACCCAACAATGTTTGGAAGTGGTCTGGGATTGATATTTGAAAAAATGTAGAAAAAAGTTGGGGGGGGGGGCAATTAAAACTCACCCTGTATGTAGCTCGGATATTAGCACAAATACTCATTGTTATAAATCTCTTAACTGAATTAACACGTTATGTCAAACTCTACTAAAACTGTCAACTGCCGGAACTGTAATAGTTTTTTTTTTTTTTTAAGGTATGACTTAAATGTGTTGTCAAAGTAATGCAAGTAGAGGCATTTGTTATTCATGGTAGTTTTTTTGTTAACCTGCAATAATTTCCCACGACATGATATTCCTACACAATATTTTCAAGCAAAAGTTTGTATAAAGATTTGTCCTTTCAATTACTCTTGATATCTATGTACAGTGTTGGTAGTTATTTTCCTGTTAAATGTTACAATTAATTATCAATTGTTATCATTTACATTTTACCAATCATATCAAATAAAGCCATTTATTTGTTTTTTGTGTTGATTTTCATTCATGTCTGTTCTCCCTCACTTTTTCATTGACTTTACACACCAATTCATCAGTAATGACAGATTGGGCGGCCATCTGTTATTACTGATGAATTGGTCATAGTGCGTTGCTCATCATGAACATTGGTGCAGCCGTCTTTAAATACCCTTACCCACTTGCGTAACATTATGTAACTCATAATGTTCTCACCATACACTTCACTAATCTGTCGATGATTTCAATGGGATTCACACCTTTAGCACTTTAAATCTAATTACAGCACACACTTCACAGTCGGCGGCAGTATCAATTGGCGGCACCATTTTTAATGCTCGAAACCCGATGTAAACCCCGCCAATTGTGGCCCATTTTCCGACGCAGGCTTACCAATAGATGCAATACACAACAAGAATGTCCAAAATGGAACGGAGAAATTTAAAAACGTTTCTTATTTAAAAAACATATATCGTATTAATAATTGACAAGTCAACTTAGATAAAACTACAGAGAGAGAGGATGTAATCTTTTATAGAGTGTGTGTGTTGGTGTGTACAGAGCTACAGACCACACCTGTGGACTGATTTTTATGATATTTGCATTCTGCTCTAATCCATAGTATCTCTTTTCTCTAGGCCTTTTTAAAAATTTTTTCCAAATCTTGATTTTTAATGGTGAGTTTTTATAAAAAAAGATACCTAACATATTGAATTCTAAAACAGCTTGAACAATGTTTGATTAGCTTGAAAATGTTGAATGTTTAGCCCTCAAGAAAATGGTAAACCCCATTGAAGGACAAATTACTGTTAAAAAGTTTTTGCAACTTTTGTGATTTTTTAATAAAAACACGTTAAATAATGGGAAAATTGTATTTTAAAAACGGCTCAACCGGTTTTAAATAAAAATTTAGGATTTTTAAAGGTACCTTTACTTACGCTCCTAAACCTTCAAACTGTAACAACCCTAATTCATTAAAATTACAGTAAAAAAGTTTGATACTTAAAACTGCAACTTTATCGATGTTTTTCCATTAAAGTCATAGTTACTCCCATCGCTTACACATGATGAGAATTGTTGGCAAGCTATTGGGAGAAAGTATGTGCCAGTTCGCTTATTCCGTTTATTTATTTGGTTGTTAGGCTGAGAATAAACAATACAAATGTCTTAACTATTTACAAACTTTATTACGAATTAACTAATTACTACACCCAAGTCAAATTGATTATGAGCTGCTATGAAACATTGCATTTAAACATCAAAATGGCAATAATCATAGCTGATGGCTTAAACTGTCAAAATATCAATTACATTTTTACGACAAGCATGTAAGTACTTGTTTTTACGACAAAACAAGTATATGATGGTATGAACATTGTGTTTAAAATAAATATTAAGAAAATTATTAACAATGTTTGAGTTGTCCACCTTAATGCAAATTTGAGTAACTAGCTAGCTTTATTGTTTTAAAGAATTATGCTACAAGTATTTGGTTTCTTTAATACTGTTTGATGTTGTTCAGACAAAATTATTTGTATGTAATCCTTGATGCGGAAGTTGGTAATCAAATTTACAGTCTAACTCTCCCCCTTTCTATTTGGATGTAGAAAAAGATTACTACTTATCTCGAGATCTTTTCTTCCCACTGCTATTTTGATCTCTTCTCCACAAACACACACTGCTAGTCGTCTAGTGAGGAATGTAGTGGCACAAGTCGGCTTCCTTTACCACAGCAGCTAGCTCTGGGAACAACTTCTCTTCTACATAAGATCTGTAAAACTTTGTTACTTCGTTTATCACCCAAGAGGTAATTTCGTCAGTCAGATTCTCAAAGATCCCAAGATTTGTGATGTCAACCTCGATGTCTTCAAGTTTTTCAATTCTTAATTCCTCCAGCAAGACGGCACACTCAGGCTCTACTTGCACCTTCATCTTTAAAAACAAAGAGTTTGTTCCAACAGTAGCGTGGATTCGTCCCTTTTGATGAGCCCCGAGAAGCGAAATGTCATAATTGTCGAAGTCAATTTGCAAATCATTCAGTCCTAGATGAGCAGATAAGTACAAGATTGAATTGACCCGGTTCATTTCAGCATCGCCAGTTCTATGAAGAGTTGAAAGGTTGCCGGCAATGCCGTCCTCGACTTTTATAACACCCTCTATCCGTAATGATAGTATTTTCGTTGAAAACCCCCTCTCAAAACCTTGTATTTCAATTTGTGTCTTGTTTTGTTCTATTAGTTTGCTAGTGTAGTGTCTCAGGAACAAATCAAACACCCAGTCGATGGTTGTAGATAGGAAGTGATCTGTGACGTCATTTGTTTCTAAAGCCATATTTTTTGCTGATACATTGCTGCCGATTAGGAGGATCAACGTAGCAGCTAGGACGTTTGAAGGTACCATTTTGGAATCTGAAACATTGCAAACACAAGATTGTTAGATGGTCACACAATATCAGGTTTCAAAGACGGGTGTTTTGTTGGTTCAGATGCAACATTTAAATTGAATAAATCAAACAAGGGGACCTTTGCACAAATCGCACATGTGCAAATTTTTAGGGTTATAAACTTAATTTCAAGGTAAAAATAATAATGCAATACCCTTATACTTTTCATATAATCTAAATCTACACCATAAAGACTGAAGAATGATTTATCTACCTCAATCAGGTTGCAGTTATAAGAAAGTAGCCTATTTAAAATCTATTCTCATAAACTACTTTATCTGTCTTTTGTTTACAATCTGACTGTGTTTAAACATTCAACTAAAGGATCAGCTGTTAGATTACAATTCATATTTTAAACTGTTATATAAAGAAAGTTGGTCAGCAACACTGGAACTTTGAAAGTGAGTTCCATATAATTAAAACGCAAGGGGGGCCCTTAAGGAATTATTAATTTTAAATCAAACCCTAAACTTATATTCTTCAGGCACTCTGAAATAATAGGTAAATCATAAGTCTTTGTTGATTGTAAAATAACCGAAACAAACGCCTGGTAATTCAAGCATCCTAAATAATGTGGTTGTAGGATGTCCTATCAATTTAACTGTTAATGGATAAAATTAATATTGTTGGCTGTAGATTCTCCAATTTATTGTAATCACATCAGTAATACTTAATGTTAACTAGTTTCCGGCCTTTACTTTAAACTTTCTTAGTCAAAATATTTTGATAATCCTGCAGGATAAGATGAAAGTCATGACTAAATACTGTAGCTCAGTTTAGCAGCTGGATTTGAAGTTTTAGGTGAAAAACTGGCACTGCTAGCAAATTCTGAATTAGGAAAATATCTGTACTCCGTCACAAAATTTAGGTGGTTTTAGGGGAATAAATCTATCCCCCTCACTTAATCCTACCTTAAAACAATAGCTAAACAGCTGAGGTTTGCCTAAACTTCAATCAGCTGCGCCCTATAAATAAGGGGAAAAAGTAGTGGGGGAACTTCACCTCAAACCACCTAAATGTGTTAGACAGACCATAGGCGACTGTAGTATTCTCTATTCGTGGTAGGTCTGGAACATAGTACATTTATTGAACATTCCCTACAGGACGAAGCTCTTGCCATAGAAGGCATAGATGTTTCATCCATAAGAATAATGAATTATTTGCTGCAGAATCTCTTATAATATAAAAATTAATATTTTTGCTAAATTCTTTTATTGTTGCTTTTAGTACTTAAAACATACATCAGTTTTCTATCTTATCTAGCAGCAAACCAACACCGTATAAGAGAGTAGTTTGTTGTTGACAATGTTGTTGAGCTTAGTCACAGTGGTATCTTGCTTTCTCACGCTCTTGTCACCAAAACCAATTTCATTGTCACTGGATGCTCCATTTGAACTTTTCCAAAACCTATTTGTTGCTGTATTACAGATTTAAGTCATTCATTATTTTGAACTATTGATTTATTGATTATTATTAGTACCTACTACTAATCTTTCTAGTATTCATATTTGTGATCTACTAGCAAAACTTGGGTTGAGGAAGTGTGGAGGTAGAGAGTGGGAGGCGTAGACGTCTGTGCTTGGTCCAGGGTTTCTTTTTTTAGCTCAACCCAGGATCAGATGCTAATTGAAGACTCATCATCGATTCGAAAATTACTCAAGAGTATAGAAGTAAGTTTACCCACAACATTTTTTTTAAGTAGCCGTTTAGTTCTTAGAAATGAGAAGTTTCTCATAACAGCATTGTTAACTCTCATAACAACACGGGTAACGGGCCAATGAGGTTCAAGGATTGAGAGAGAATAAGTAAAATTGAAATGAGTCAAACTTCAACTAATCAACTGTTCAGACCAATTTAATTGTTGAGTGTTGCAATTAGTGTTTGGTACAGTGTTTCGTTGCATCACTGTCAGTGGCAATGAGAGGTAAAACGAAAACATAACCTATCTTAGAAATTATGAGTACTGATTTTTAGTAATTAAAACACTGTTGTAGGTAAAGTAGTGTACGCAACTCGCGTAAAAAGAGCTAACGACACTCGTAGTAGTTTTTAAGGCACTTGCAAGGCTCGTACCTTAAATTTGATACTTGTGTCGTTAACTCTATCTTTACGCAACCGTTGCGTAAACTACTATAACATAACTAAAATGAACAACAGTCAACCAGATACACAAGGACGTGTTCACTTAAATAGTCCTAAATGGAATCATAAAGCTTATTCCAGTAACATTCTCTTTATCCTCTCCTTAAACAATTAACACAAGTATTACAAATATTTTTAATTTGGCAATAGTAATAGTTGTTGGCTACTATACTTACTTACGCAAGAGACTTTTTGGATTGTATGTGGCTTATGAATAAGACAATAGAGGACTTTTTCATTGTGTCGTAGACTTTTTAAGTAGGTATTGATCAAAGTTAAAATTATTTTTATTTTTGTGGAATATATTTTTTATGAAGCTGTTTATGCCTCGTAAATAAACAGACTGGGAATAAATATGCTTTTAGTGAATTTCCCATATAGCGGATAAGCAATTACCGTAGTACTCATGGTAAGACCTGGACCCGATTTACCGATTTACTTTTTTGTTTTGAGGTCCCTAGAGGCCAAAAGCACCATATCCATTCAAATTCATATATAGGTACAGTATGTCCGTTAGCACAATAACTCGAGCAAAAGTGATCTGATTTTGATGAAATTTGGTATAAACCTACATTTATTTGAACGAGTTCGCGAACCAGCATGATCGGACTATGGGAACGGGGGTTTATGGGGGATTTTGTGGAGTAAAAATTGATTTTTCCCATCTTTGACCAAAAAAACATAAAATTTAGGAATTTCTTTCCAAACAATTTTGTAGAGCTAAAAAAAAACAAATAATTTAGTAAATTAAAACATTATTATGCATCTAATGGTTGCGAAGAAAATTCCAAAAAATTGTAAACTTGAAATTCCCATGTTATTCTTATGGAGAATAAGTAAAGTGTTGTAGTTTGCCTGTTTATGATCAAATTGTGTATTGTGATCAAATTTGGAAAATGCATTTATTTCTTACTAAACTATTAAAAAAAAAAAAAAACCACTTTTACCCTCCCTTTTGCAGAAAACCTAAGTACTCGTTAAACTAATTATATTTAAATAGGGAATAAATGTGATATTTTGAAGGAAACATTTGATTGTAAATCCAATCAGGCAATGCGGCGGGGGTATTTGATGGCGGGCCACTTGAAAAAATATACTATTTTGCATACATGAAAGATTGATATCAATGATGGGATGTAAGATTTGTGTAGGTAGTAATCAGAAGCTTAATTGTGTTTTAAAGTTTTACCACGCAATTGCATTCAAAACATATTTTTCACAAGGTAATGATGGTCCGAACCCAGGTCTTGTTACTCTCTAACGTCGACCTACTGTTAGATAGTGTCATTAATTGATAAATTACATCTGGGTCCAGTATATCACTTGGATATCACTTGGAATCAAAACAGCCACCTTTAGATTTGAAGTTGATCACTATAACCAGTTTAAATGAAACCAGTTTTAAATCCCTTGAAATTCTAACGTTACCTTCGATATATATCATTGAAATTCTATTATATTATAGGTTTAAATCAACAACAAAAGTAACCGGTGCAGATATTCATAATTATAATACCAGGCAAAGACACCATCATAGACAAACCTCTCATAGATTGGAATTAGCTGCATCATTACCTCAAAATCTCGGTCCAAAACTGCTTAACAAACTTCCAGCCAATCTACAATCCTTTACGTCAGAAGCAAAATTCAAAATTAAGTTAAAAGAATACCTTTTAGAACGTGCATGTTACTCTGTAGCTAAATTTTTTGAACAGTCCAATTTATAAAAAAAAAGTCTGAAGCTAAGTTTACCTGCTCTGTAATTATTACTTTCATATGTGTTATCAGTGTTATAGTACCAGTTTTGTTATTTTATTTGCATTATATTATTGTTTATATTTAGAAGTAATTTAAGTTGACGTTTGTAATACAATGTATATTGTCTGACTACAATAAATGATTTGATTTGAGTTTGATTCCAAGAAGAGTAAAAAATGTTAATGAATCAAACTGGACCCAACTCTATAATTGGGCTTGTGATATATTATCATTGACTCGATTTTACAAGTTTGTGAGTTTGGCCAAACCTAATTATGATTATTATTAAAAGGTGGTTTAATGTTAATTGAAAATTGTATAGCTGTCAAAGATATTAAATATAACACTTGATTTTTTCCGGATAAAATTTCTTCTAAAATTGTTGGACTTGTTTAGGAATTGTTCCTCTTGAAATTAGTAATTCATAAACTTCAAATTTGTATACTTTATATGAACTAAAGCTTTTTCATTCATTCCCCATTTACATCTTTTAACTTGTCGTCTTCGCTTTGAAATACACACCTTCTTGTGTTGGTGTTATACAAATCTCTTAAGATATAACAAACACTAAATAGAAAAACAAAAATGATAATCCCTGTATAAGGACAATTATAAATTAATGGAATATATAAGCCGTAAAGATAAGGCGGTTGGCAAGTTAAAACTTTTGTTTTCAGTGCTGTACCTACCTACCTTGGGAATAAATAATTTTCTTTAGGTTATGTCACAAATATTAATGGGTTATGTAGACATTTGATTTGTTTTTCAATGTAGCTCATAAATGGTTATGTCAAAGCATATCTAAAAAACAAAGCAGTTCTGATCCTTTAAAATGCTTCAACAATATAAAAAAAACTTTGTTTCTTACATAACCTAATTCATTCAGTGTTACTGTATTTTAACTGCACTATTAATATCAATTTCAATATGTATAATGTTCTTTCTAAAATGTATGTACTCGTTCGATTTGTTTGGTACAGTAAACGTTTCTTTTTAATCAAACGGTTTTGGCTATATTTTGTATTTTCTGCTATAATATAGGAGAATGTAATGAAAAATATTGTTTGTAACTCGCCCTAAAATGCTTTTTTGTGACTTCTTCGTAAATTGTTTAACACGATATCTTCCCAAAAGTATTTAGGGACTAGTAACGAAAACTACTATTTCATTCATTAATGAGTTTTTTGTATGCATGTTTATCCATGTACACAATTTTACAGCACTACTAAACTAATCTAGTATCAGAATCATTTATTGTCCTTCAGCATTTACATACATGCAATAGACAGTGCCATGTTTAATGCAAAATAAATAAAATACATAACAAAACAATTAGCAATACTACCTTAGTCAAAAAGAAGTATACACCTTTTTAATTTTTTTCAAATTTGGCCAACATAATATATATATTTTTTACAATAAACTCTTATATGCCGGCATGAACCTAAAACTACCAGTCATGAAAGTTTATGAATATTTAAAAATTTTAAAAATGACTAAATTGCATAAACTATATAAATGTTTACCTTGTTCATGAACAGATTGGAGTTTCTAGGAAAACATCGTCTACAACACAGCTAGTCACAGTCATGTCTGAGGATGGGAAGCTATTATCCAATGAAGAATGTTACTGGCCATGAAGAAGTTACAGAGTTGAGTCATTGCATAACTGTTTTGTTGTTAGGAAGTAAACAGTTCAATAGTAAAGTGTAGCTGTAGTTGGTGCTAACATACAGTGTGACTTCAGTATGTGGTTTGTAACAAAACCTCAGTACTTACAAGTTTTGAATTAATTATTGTGTTTATAAAAGTGAATATTTTATATTGATATTGATTTTTAAAGCTTTACAAGTTATTATACATTTTGTTACTGGGTAATAGTGTTTTATTTTGTTGTATTGTAAAAGATAATCCAAAAGTAATTATGTACTTTCATAGTTGTTGAACTTTTGTTATTGATATTTAGTTTTAATTGAAATTCTATTAATTTCACAAAAATCTATCAAATAAAATTTTCTACGTACGAAGAATTATTTTGCCACTTTATTCAGACTTTTATTTAGGCCTACAGTTTAAATTTAAATACAGGTTAAATTAAATTTTTAAATGTTTAAATTTTTTAAACATACAGGGTGTTTTTTTTTAAACTTTCATCTTTATTTATGTAAAAACCGCAATAGATAGAAATATGCAGTTGGCGGGAATCATCTATGGTAGGGGGCACAATTTGTTTTAATTCAACATTACATTCACGTTCCCCCCCTTTCCCCCTGCCCCCAACTTCATTTTTTTAAATAGCAAGGTACCCCTTGTGACATATCAAATAAAAGAGCATAAAAAAAGAAAATGTTTGATGAAAAAGAATTGAAAATCGGTTCATAAATTTGTGAGATATTCCCCCCCTCCCCCCCCAGAACTAAATTTTTTTGTAATAGCAAGGTACCCCTTGTGACATATCAAATAAAAGAGCATGAAAAAAGAAAATTTTTGGTAAAAAAAATTAAAATCGGCTTATGAATTTGTGAGATAATCCCCCCCCCCCTTTTCCCCTACCCATAACTTGTTTATTAATATCAAGGTACCCGCCCTTGTGACATATCAAATGAAAAATAAATTTCACCAAACATTTTCTTTTTTCATGCTCTTTCATTTGATATGTCACAAGGGGTACCTTGCTATTAAAAAAAATTAAGTTCCGGGGAGGGGGGGGGGAATATCTCACAAACATATGAACCGATTTTCAATTTTTTTTCATCAAACATTTTCTTTTTTCATGCTCTTTTATTTGATATGTCACAAGGGGTACCTTACTATTAAAAAAAATTAAGTTGGGGGCAGGGGGGGAAAGGGGGGGAATGTGAATGTAACGTTGAATTCAAAACAATGGGGCCCCCTACGTCAATAGATGATTCCCGCAAACTGCATATTTCTATCTATTGCGGTTTTTACATAAATAAAGATGCAAGTTTGAAAAAAAACACCCTGTATATATTATTTATACATATAATACTAACTACTATACATACAAGTAGTGTCCGGTAGCACAAAAACTTGAGTCAAAATCATCCGATTCTTATGAAATTTGGTACAAACATGTAAACATACGTTAATTCTAACAAGTTCTTAAACCAGTGTGATCAGATTATGGAAAAGGTGTTTTAATTTGCAAAAAATGGGTTAGCCTATGTTTTTGTACGTTTTTTTCAACCCTCAAAACATAAAGTTTTGTAGTTCCTTCCTAAACCATTATCTAGAGCTTGAAAAACAAATACTGTACCTATAATTGAATTGTTGTTGTTGTGTGTTGAATGGTAACAAAGAAAATATAAAAAAACTGTAAATTTAAAATTCCTATGTTATATTCTATGGACAATAAGTAAACTGTTGTAGTTTGCTTGTTTATCAATATATGTTGATCAAATTTGGTAGTAATTTTATTTATTTCATACAAAGCTAATAACATTTCACAAAAACACACACATTCCTTGTAGCAACAAACTTAACTTAATTAACCTAATGTTATTTAAATAGGGAATTAATCTGACAAGTATAAGGAAATATTCAGTGAATATCCAATCCGATCAGGCAAAAGGAAATGCGCTTAGCAGGTCTGCTGGTTGAGGGTATATGGATAATATATCAAAATGATCTAAGGAAAACTCAAACTTATCATCAACTACTTTATACTTTAATTATTGTTTCTCAAGTGGTATTTTTGTTCTTGTACAGTAGTATAATTGTAAATAACTAAATCAAAATATGTCAACTAATCTTAAGAACATAAATCATATCTAGTAAATTTATAAAACTCACCTTAATATCGGTATAGGCCTACAAACTAGTGTGTGTTGCTTGCATGGAAGTCTGGGACACTACTAACTTATCAAAAGCAAAGTTCAAAGTTCACTGGTGACCTCAGATGTGATAATTCACTTACAAACAAACCGATTACTTTCCAGAGCTGTCAATGTTTTTGAGAAAAGTCATGCGTCCAAATGCTAACAAACTTATCCAAACCTGCGTGGTTTAAAGTTGAAACAAGTCTTAAAAACTACTCTAACCCAGGCCTGCTTGCACACATAATAAGGGTACTTTGGTTTAGAATTTAGTTTTAGTTTTAATGCCAGAGCCATCTTGATTGTTTTTTTCCTTTGACAATTGTCATGAACATTGTAGTTTTTTATGACGACAATAAATCAATAATTTCGCTCATTTTGTTCATTAACTTCTGTCAGCTCAATGTTTGGGTTTAGTTTGCATCAGTTTGAAAATATTAATGTTTGAATTAATGAAGCAACTGACCTAGTACTGGATGTTCATAATGAATGCTTTGAAAAATGTTTGGTAAAAAATAAATCAGTCCCAGGTCTAGGTGTTATCATTATACCTACTGGCTAAAATTTAACGTTTTTATGTAAAACATTGTTGTTGGATGTAAAAAACTGTCAGCCTATTCCTGAACTAAGATAGTGGTCAATTTTAAGCAGCATCACTTTATAACATACTAGCTGTTTTTTGCCCGCTCTTCGCTGGGGTTAGATTTTTAATAGTAAAATAAATTCATCACCTGTGAAAATTAGTAATAATAATAATCAAACAATTAAAATAAACTACGAATTAATGGCATTAGCCGTACTCATCCCAGTACCTACTATCAAAGTAAGCATGATTCAGCTTTCAAAAAATTGTCCTCCAAAAACATCTGTAAAGCACTGTTGTATTTCTTTCTTTGATATGAAAAATTGCTCTCTCAGGAGGATTAGTGATGAATCACTTTGTTGGTAAGTGAGGTCTTTGACTTTTATATGTTTAGATTATTTATATTTTGAAAAAACATTCAATAACCAGAATAAAATCTTTATTCAACATTAGCCATATGTTAGCACCAAAAGTTGAGGTATTAACAGATGAGCTGTCATAACAAAAAAAAGCATATTGAATGATTATTGTATTGTGTTTATAAACTGAAATAATAATAATTTTTATTTACTCACTAAAAGGTTGTTTTACAAAGCATGAACTGGGGATATTGTTCGTTAATTGTTTCATTTTTTATCTTCAGTGCTGCAAGTTCAAATCCGCTTGTAAATACTACAAATGGATTGATAGAGGGGACATATTTTACAACATGGAGTGGGAGAGTCATTTGTGCCTTTTTGGGAATCCCATACGCAGATCCCTTAAAACCCCATGAAAGACTTCAAAATGCCAAGATGTCTATGGGCTGGGCAGGGATTTATCCAGCAAAAAGATTTAGTCAAAAATGTATCCAGATTGTCGATGACTCATTTTATGATCCAGTTGTTGGAGGTGGTGATGATTGTTTGTTCTTGAACATTTTTACTCCATCTGTGACAAATACAACAAAACTGGACGTGGTTTTCTTCATCCATGGAGGAAGTTTCATGCACGGCAGCGGTGATCTATACACTCCTGACTTCCTTATGGATCGGCATAACATAGTTTTTGTAACTGTAAACTACAGATTAGGCCCTCTCGGGTTCTTATCGACTGAAGATGAAGTGATACCTGGCAACTTGGGTTTGAAAGATCAAGCATTAGCTTTGAAATGGGTTAGAGATAATATAGAATATTTTGGAGGTAATAAAAAGAAGATAACTCTCCTTGGGGAAGACGCGGGAGCAGCAAGCGTTCATATGCATTATATGAGCCCAACGACCAAACATTTGTTCAAGCAGGGGATTTCCCTCGGTGGATCAGCCTTTTGCCCTTGGGCTCTATCTGAAAAACCACGTTTAAAAGCTGAACGATTAGCAAGATCCATGCGCTGTGTCAACACCACATCTCAAACGATACTCAATTGTTTTCAAAATTACCCTCACAATATCATGATGGAAAAGGTAAAACGTTTGTTCATGCCATGGAACTCTTTGCCTTTTACTCCTTTTGGTCCAGTCATTGAGAAATCTAGGGATCCTTTCTTAAATGACCACCCTCATAAAATAATCCAAGAGAATAAGTTTAAAGATGCCCCTTGGCTGGTGGGCTTGACAAGCCATGAAGGGCTGTATCCTGGTGCTAAGTTTGCTAAAAATCATGAAATACTTGAGGAACTTGATGAGAATTGGCATAAAATCGCCCCTTTTCTCCTGGACTACAACCATACAGTACCTCGACAGATGATGGCCTCGGTTAGTGAGAAAATAAGGCAATATTATTTTGGAAATGGTGAAATTTCTGCTAAACTTAGACGAGAGTTTATAGAGATGTTAGGTGATCGGTTCTTTGTTGCAGATACAGAGAAAGCTGTTCGTTTGCAAGCGTCTGCTTCCAAATCATATGTATTCTTGTACAGGTTCGGATACAGAGGGAGACACAGTAAAGCCTTCTCTCTATGTGGCTGCAAAGACAATATGGGCGCAAGTCACGGAGACGATTTGTTGTATTTGTTCAAAACACCAGGATATAATGTAACTGAAACTAAGTACGGAGAGGCCTTGATGCGGCAGATGGTCGATATTATAATTTCGTTTGTTGTAAACGGCTTTCCAAAAGTGGACGACAACACGATATGGAAACCTGTACAGCGGGAAGCTGTCAAGGGCCATAATATCCACTACATGGAAATCCTAACAAGCAAAAATCTAAATTTTAAAAACTCACCGGATCTAGGAAATCGCAGATTCTGGAGTAGCCTACATTTGGCCGAGTTGCACAATATTCTAGGCGAACATAAAAAGTTGTACGATGAACTATAAAAAAAAAACAAAAAAAAACAAGATACCCAAGACTATTTGATAGGCCTAATGATAGAAATTTAGTTTAATTATTTATCTAATAATGTATATAATTCAACAAGCCACACATTATAGAACTTGTATTATATCGTAAGATTGTATTTTTTGTTAGTATATAACTCAAAGATTAAATTGTTATTGCTTCTACTTCTTTTTATATTATGCAACCCTATTTCATACTTACTAGGAATTTAATAATACAAACTAAACATCATAAAAACATGTAAGTTTACAAATTTCAACCGTCTTTACCACGAAAATATATAAATGTTTCAAAATGTAAAGTTCAAAGGGCCCAATGATTTTGAAACAACCATAATCCCTGTCACTGATTCATTTGGTTTGTGGTGGTGCAGGTTATGCTACCGCAAGTAAAAAAAAAAGAAAACTAAATGGCATTAATAAAATCTTAAAAACAAACTAGGCCTAATAATGGTGTATGTTAAAAAAAATCAACAAAAACAACAATGAAATTTACATACTGTACTTAACATTTTTTTCAACAAACGACTGCTGGGCTAACTAAATATTTTCGATCAGGTAGGCCCTAATTGAAAAAATGAATAACCGAAACATAGGTGCTCTAATTATCTTAAAATAATTAAAGGTTCACAATTCAAGACAAGAAACCAACATTTTAGAAGGTACTTTAATCTCAACAAAATTTCCTACGCTATTACATACTGATTTAAATATATAACATTCAACTTGATTTTTCCACAATAAACAATCCAAAAAAAAAAACAAAATCGAGTATATACACCTATTAAAATTAAATATTGCTATATAAAATTCGGTACAAATAAATAAAAATAAAGAGGTACAACAGGGTTTATCATTTGTAAAAAATGTATAGTCCTTTAAATGCTACACAGTGGTCCTTTGGCATGGAGGAAGGGGTTCAATGTCAGTCAAAATGTAGCCCTGAGTATATGATGATCCATGTTACCTGAAAACAAAAACATACGGGTAAAACCGGAGATTCAGTAAAAAACTTGTTATTGTACAGGGTCTCCGAAAAAGAATGCCAGGATTTTGAACGGCTGTTATTTGGACACTATTTTTAGATAATAAAACGATTTTAACTTCAAATTAAAGGGGAAAACATCTATTCCATACTTTTTTAATGAAATTCTGAAAAGTTTGATGAATCTCTGACTGTATCAGTCCACATAGACTAAGCGCCTGTGCGTGGATCCTTAACAGCAAAGCAAGGAGTGAGCCGGTACAGTACAATAAATCCATCATATACAAATACATGAAGTATGAAGTATTAAGTAACACATGAGTATGAAGTCAATTTTTGATCTTCTATTCTAATAGTTCCCAAGCAATGGCCACTTAAAATCCAGGCATTCTTTTTTGAGACCCTGTCAAAAAAACGGTCAACACTTACTTTGGGCCTACCATAAAAACAAAACTAGTACAGTAGATTCCCGATTATCCACCATAAAGAGTGGCTGAGTTATTGTGGATAATCGAAATGAGGATGTAAGACTAACCTAAATCTTCCAGGAAATATCTATTATTTACTTGCAGGTATGTGTAGTAATAGAATATTTTATTTTATTCATGTTGAAGCCTTCTGGAATCAGTAGTCAACTATAACAGGTTACGCACCTTGACGTCCACAATTCATCATTCAAACTTCCGTTGACTAGTTTCGACTATGTATTTAAGACAATTTTATGACATTCAATCAAATATTTTAACGTTCGTTTTGAAAATGACTACTCAGTAGTCGAAACTAGTCAACGGAAGTTGATAGGCTAGGTACTTCTAGCAATAGAAGTCATGAATGTGCTTTAACATTTTTCTAACTTAACTTACCAAAAAGCCTGCAAAAGATGTCATGAAACCTTCCTTCGTCAGCTCCCACGCCCCGCCAAAGTCCTCTTCATCAACACTTTGGAAGTTAGCAAAGTATATGTATATGACACCAGCATTGACTAGCATAAAGCTGAAAAGGAATACACTGCATGAAACAAAAATTTACAAACAAAAATCATATAACATTATATTGTATAGGCTTCGATGTAAAAATGAATATTAAAAACATAACTAACAATAACTTTAAAAAACTGACCTAGTGTTCAAACATATATTTCATTCCATTTTTTATTATTAGACAGACTAATAAAACTGTAAAACTCTATAACCTAACTTAATGCATAATCAGGAATTTCTCTTATGAAGCTAGTATAATGGAATTGACAGTCTTTGTAAACTTCAGAAAGTACAGCTTTATAACTAGAAAATTGTGTCTAAATCATATTTTTCTTTATTATGTTTGGTCCATAAGTCGATTTAACATCTCACAAGCTACCTATCTCAATTGGCAAATGTGCAATAACATCAATTTTGGAGTAACTTATGATACATAGACTGGTAAAACAACGAAGCCATAGGAACTTACAGGAGTAGAGCGATGAAACCCTTCAATGGTATCAAACCCCAGAAAATCCCAACCACAATACCAAGGGCTTGTCTGATCCAGTAGATGACATCAAGAAACTCCTCCTGAAAATTAACAGTGTTTATTTAGAAGTCATATACCACTAGAAGTAAATAGCCTTAGCAAGACATTGAATGTATCATTTAATTGGTAGAAGTTAACTAAGTTTTTGCTTAGTATCACCTCATTCAAGGCAGACCTTGCTCAAGAACACAATTTGCAAAATATGCTATTGAAAGTTCTCTTCATTCACAGTATGAATAGTGTAGGCCTAAAATGAATTTTAAATAAGGCCTAATGAGCTCTACTCTACTTCTTTCATTTCTTAAAATATTGACTCTGAACTGCCATTGACTAATTTTTATAGACTTTTAGGTATAGTCTATCTAACTACCGTTAACCTTTTTGCAGTGATCTTAGATCCTCCAAAATGGAACTGACGTAAATTTTAATTGGGGAAGGGTTATTGCAAATAAATTGATCGTAGTTTTAACATAGCCTAAACGAGGTGCTCTATTCTATTTCCAAATATTTTCATGTTTTGGTAATATCAGCTTCATTTAAGAATTATGGGCCAAAACTTGATAGTCTTTGAACATGAGTGGTTTTGTTCCAAGTCAACAGGCAAAAAATTGAACTGGGTTGAAATAAACTAGGATAGCCAAGAACCAGTGGCAGAGCAGGGTTTTTTGACACCCTCGGGGACAACTCTACACTAGAGGGTGGAGATTATAGAGGGTATGAAGCAATTACATCCAGTTATAAGGTTGAGGGTCCTCCACAGAAATTTTTTTTAAATTTATAAGACTAAAATCAATGAGAGGCCTACCTCAGATACACTATCTGATAATCACTAGCGATTGAAGTGCTCAAAATCATGAAGATTTCTTGCAAAAATCTTCATCAGCTACTGTGAAATAGGTACCGGTAGTTGATGCCTACGGCGATCCTAGAGGCATTATCACATCCACCGCAGTCGTTTAAAATCAAAGACTATTTTTAATCATCGGAGATTCCGAAGATAACTTAGCGATAATATTGTGAGAAAAGGTGGATAAGCTTGATTTTATCTTATCTGACTTGGTTCTTGCTCCATCAATCTATTTTGACGACCCCTTCTCTAGGCAATTATTCAGAGCGGTTCGCTCCCCCCTTACTAAGCTACCGGTAACTTATAGCTAACAACGTTCTCGAGTAGACAACAACTCGAGTAATACCGTCAACCGGGGTTAGATTGACCCCTTTTTTTATGTTTTTGTTGATTAATTTTTGTTTATATTGATTAATATTCACAATATATTTTTTAAATTATATACAGGTACTGTGTGAATGCCAACCAGTATTATTTTGTTTTTTATTGTCATATGTTAGTCATAAAAAAAATTATAAAAGGGGTCAATGTTACCCCGTGTCTTGGGGTGACATTGACCCCCTACATTTATTATACTAAAATGATACATAATAAAGCACTGGGGTCAATGTTACTAGTGTACAATGAAACTTTGACCCCTGTAAAAGGGGTCAATGTTACTTAAGAACAATAGAGTGGTAACAACATCAAGGAGTGAACATAAAATTTTTTTTATGAACTCACCTAAGCTATAATGATGGAATAAATCAAATTAGCAATTTTTTTTATCACATGAAGATTAGGATGTAACACCAAGGTAAAACATCAAAACTACAAGTTATTAGTGACTAAAATCATTAAATTTCCTTTACTCAAACCCTTCCAAAAAAGTTATAGAAAATTTTGCGCCCATTAGATTCCAGAGTTCCCGGCTACTTACCAATCAGATCTACAGATGGGGCAGAATAGAAAACACATAATTTTCTTTTGGATGTAAATTTGTCGCCATAGTTAGTGTCAACAGAATTAAGTCACATTACTTCAACAAACTGTTGATTTTTTTAATTTAACAGGCAAAGACCTGGTTAAAGTGTTGTTTTCCTCGCTTTCCACAGATTGCTTTTACCTCAACTTCATAGATAAAAATAAAACAATTATAAATCAACATTTTTAGTAGGTCTATTACATTATATACATAAATCAATTAAATTAAATATACCAGAATTAATAAAAATGATGTGTAGGCTAATTACTAATTAGTAACTTGGAATTATAACGAGGGGTCAAAGTTATCCGAAGGCAAAAAAAATAAGGGGTCAATGTTACAAGGCCTTAAAAAATAATTATTAATTTATTTAATTTTCTTTATTTGCTTGTAATAAGTGCTCAAATATTCCTAAAAACATATATATTTTACCATATAAAATCCTGACAGTGCCAGAACCAACAGTTTTTGCTGGGCTGAAAAAGTTTTTTGTTATGAAATTATACAGCTGTATTGTAGATGATTGTATTATAATTTTTTTGTATTGTTATAAAACTAATTTCTGCTAAATATTATTTGTTTTCAAATTGCTACCAAACTACTGAAATTTATCATATTTTTTATTTTCAATTTATTTATAACCTACTATTTAAAAAAGAATATAATAAAAATAATTGACCCCGGGGTCAATGTTACCCCTGGGGGGTCAGAATTACCCCGCTTGACGGTAACAATCTTGGTCGATAGGCCTAAGTTAAGTTAGGGTACGGTATGACAGGAAATTTTGTTTCTGTTAGGTCTATAGTATAAAGTGGGATGGGAAACATTGAAAATTCGCCATAGATAGCCTATTGCCTATATGATACCTTTTAGCACAAATGTAGGCCTATTATTTCATGATTGCAGCCAAACATGCCTAGCTTTCTCGTTTTGAAAACTTACGGAACCGGTAATGTTAACTCTACTCAAAGCAAGTTGAGTTGACTGTTTATTTCGTCATGGTTTAAGTCATAAAATTATCAAAAGCTTCCTATTAAGCGTAAAGGCGTTGTAGGAAGGGCCTGAGAGAGTAACACAGGCCTAGGTTGGCCTTTATAAAATTTATTGGTGCTGAAATAAGTTGTTAGAATATCGTGTATCGTAGTAACTTAATATTTTGTTTTATTTAGTTTAAAATGTGATACTATCGAGACTCGGGATACATCTGAACCTAAAAAGGCGAATATAAAACTGACTTACCTTATCAGGCCATTCTGAATGAGAGGAGAAAGCTCTAACCCACACAGACTCTAAATGTCCAATTTTGGCAACACCGTTCTTTTCAGAACCTTTTGACTGTTTTGTAGCCATTATGAAGTATCAAAAATAACTGTTGTTGACTTATCAAGTAAAAATAATTCACATATTCGATTAACTAAATTTACTATAACCTACAAATCAAACGGAAATAATTTTAATTTTGGTTAAGTTGTTTATGACGTGACAGCATAGAGTAATAATATAAAAGATGCAATGATATGACAAAATTTACTTATTGAATATAGAAGGTATTACTAGGTATTAGTTTAGATGTATATTAACTTTTCAATTTAAGTGCAACGTTAAAGCATGGATAAAACATGGTTAAAGTTACACCATAAATAAATCATACTCCATTGTGTTGCTTAGTCTATGATAAAACATAGTTCCAAGTTTTATCTATGGTTACACCTAGATTGCTATTGGTGATGGGGGGATGAGGATTTATTTATTTATTTATTTATTTATGTCCAACGGTTTACACCAGTTTACAAGAATGTATACAATATTAAAAGATGGCAAAATACATGCAACAGTGAGTGGTAACAGCAAGAACATAATTAATGAACAAAAATTAACAAGTAACAAGTAACAAGTAATAGATACTATATAATAACAATCTTGAATAACAATAACAATAGCAATAACAAAAATAACAAAATAGACAAGGAAAGACGATAAGTTAACAATATAAATTAGAAGCAGTGAAGATAGTTTTGGATAATAGTACAATGTGGCAAAAAATTTGATTTTACAAAAAAAAAAAAACATGACATGAGAGGTGATACTTGGCAGCAACAACAGGAACCATTAATTCGACTAGAGCTAAGGAAGGTGAGATTCTACAGTTAGTGACTAGAATTATTATCACATAAGCAGGGAGGCGACCTTTCTCCGGAACGAGGACAATGAGTCGTGGAAGAAGTCCAGGTGGATTGCGACATCACTCCCAGTACGTAGAAGTCTCGAAAGGCCGCTGTTAGCTGCATAGTAGGTGGGTTGGTAGCGTCTACGGAATATCGTTTTGGAACGGGTTCCTGTTGGTATATGCAAGTGGATGCCGCAGAGTAGATCCGGACAGTCCAGGAGCCCATTAACCAACTTGAAAAGTGTCAGTAGGTCCGAGTGTTGCCGCCTCACGTGAAGAGGGGTGAGGCCAAAAAGAGATTCGACCTCACTCACAGGAGTACGTAGGTAGTCAAACCCAAGCCTACATCCAAGAAGTCTGACGAAGCGGCGCTGGATGCTTTCCAACTGGTTAATGTGGTTCAGTTGATGAGGGGACCAAATTGTGGAACCATACTCAAGTATTGGACGAACAAGGGCTTTATATTAGGATTGAGGAGGGCGCAACAACACTGTTTTTATAGCTATTTACACCGGTGGCATTTTGATTTTACAGGAGAAAGTATTCAACAATTAATTAATTTTAAGGGCGAGTGGTCCAAACCCCTATGTATTGTGAATGTGCCAGGAATGGTAATCAAAGTCAAAGTTCCTGTGCGATTTATTTTGTGTTGAATGAAATGGATTGTTGCCATCTATATACTGAGTACTAGGGTGGGGGTCATATGGTGGTGGATGCTTCTGCCTTCGCTTTAACATGGGCATACCTAACTGGCAAGAGCTATTAATATGTGACGCTAGGGGCATTGTCCATCTGTCCACGTTACGTCAGTCACCACATCGCCCCCCCCCCCTTTAGTCAGGAGTAAGCCATCAGTTAAGCACGAGTCACACCAGGCCCACCAGGCTGCTCGCCAGCCGCTGACAAATACTCGCCAGCTGCGAATTTTGTGGTCACATCACATTAAGCTGACAGTAGTGGCTTCTTTCAATTCGCCGATGATGCCAGCCTAGTGTAACCCGTGTTTTAAGTCGCAGTCCCCTCCGTATCTACCACGGCTACCACCTACCACTAGTTTAGATCAACCTTCACAGAGCGGGTGCCCTGGTCCAGTTTTGGGTGGACTTCGTCCCTGCACCGAATGAATAATTAACATTAAAATTACTGTACATAATAATTATATTATTGTATTTCTTTGAATAATCTTTCTCTAATTGGATATATAGCCCAAGGAAAATAGGAAAAATAGAGGAACAAACCTATGTATAAATTGTTTCCTATTGAATTCTAATTCATAGATTATCTTATGGTATTGAGTATCTTCTAAAGATTACTTTAGGGATAATCTAATTATATCTAGACGTTTGCTTTACTTAAAAAAATTTCTATAAATAGGATTGTGTGTCCTCTGTTAGCGATATGTTTCAATGGGAGTGTTGCTGAAGGTCTAATTAGACCTCGGCACATATTTTGCGTTTGGTAGCCTACTTGTTGCTGAAGGTCTAAACGGGCAGTATGCCGACTCATTCCTTGAACCTTATCTTCATTGGTCCGTTACTTGTGTTGTTGTTGATTAAAATAAAGATGCTAGATATTAAGACTAAGTAAAAAAACTGTCAAGTGAATCTATTCAAATCCAATAACTGGACTGCAACTGCTAGTTTAAAAAACGGTCATAGTTCAGCATTACGATGCAATGCCGTATGTTTAGACCTTCCGGGACTTAAGACCTTCAGCAATACTCTCATTTTTAGACCTTCCGGGACTTAGACCTTCGGCAACTCTCATTTTATAAACATTTATTAACAAAATATAGGTTGCTAGCCCAAGGTCTAAAACAGTATCAGTGGGCGAGTTTTCTGGCCGTACTTTTACACCTTCCGGGATTTAGACCTTCGGCATACTGCTTGTTTAGACCCTCAGCAACAAGTATTAAATGCAAAATGTGTGCCAAAGGTCTAATTAGACCTTCCGGGATTTAGACCTTCAGCAACTGATCCAAAAAAACAAATAACTTAATATATTGAAGTGTTAATATGAACCTAATGGTTACGGAGAAAATTCTAGAAAATTGTAAATTTAAAATTCCCATATTATTCTTATGGAGGATAAGTAAACTGTTGTAGTGTGATCAACTAAGAACATATTTTGATCAAATTTGGAAAATACATTTATTTATTACTAAACTATTAACATTTTACACAAGAAAATACACTTTTACCCTTCCAGTTGCAGCAAATTTAAGTACTCGTTAAACTAATTCTATTTAAATCCAATAAATGTGATATTTTTAAGGAGACATTTTAGTGTAAATCTAATCAGGCAAATGGAAATCCGCTTAGTCTGCAGGTTTGCTGCGGCAGGAGTATGTATACAGTATATGGAACTGTTTAGAATAAATTAAAATTAATTGTTTTATGTGATTTCAAATCTTAACAGGTTGGAATAGGATTATAATATAAGAGCAGAAATTTAAACAGAAAATTATATTTAATTCAAGCGATGTTAGACTTAAAAACGAAGGAGGACTTTGAGGAGTTCATTGATCGAGCGAAAGTTCATCCAACTCATCTTCAAGGTCGTCCAGGTCATCGTCCAGAAACAGATTTTCATTGATGGGGACGGCAGAAGCTGAGGCGGAGGCGGTTTCTTCCGAAGGACTCTCTGTAAATAACAAATTTATTAAATTTTGAGAACCAATCAATCATGGTCGATCACAGATTTTCTCCCAAACTCAACACAGAATCTTGGAATGGCAAAAAGTAGTACCATAATTAAAACAGGTCGAAGACAATGAGAAAATCAGTAGAGACCTGCGGGTCCTCCAATTTTCAGGTTGAGCTGGGACAGCAGTTGACTCTAGAGCTCATTTGGAAATAATTTGTTGGCCAAGCCCGGGTAGGATAATTTATATAAGAGGTGTGCTAGCTCTGTTTCCAATAGGAACTTGTGAACTTTCTACCAGTACAGTACCCACCTTCAGATGACACTGTGCCGTTGGTGATTGGAGTATTCTTCAGTCTGTCGTCTGGAGCCACTGTGATGCCTGCACCGTCAGCTTCACTGGCTTCCATAGCGAGGATCTCCAGCTCAATGTCTCGGTACTGGACAACACACAACATTAACAAGAACAAAAACATTGTTAGTGTGAAAGTACGAATTAACTATCCTGTCCATAATTATTTACTTAGATATAGTTTTAAAAATATTTACAGGACATAAGGTTATCCAACATTAAAAACTTGGAGCATTTAATAGCCTATATGAAAATTACATAAATTATTACTATTTTAAAGAAATTCATTAATTAAATAGCTCAAACACATCATTCAACTCTTCACAACTCATGCATCATAGTATTTTGCTTTTTTTGTTGCAGCGTACACACAAACTACCGAGCTATACAAGTGAATGGCTCTCACTAAAAAATGTCACTTGTAGTAACGATTAAGTAAACCACTTTGGATATGACTAATAAAAAGTTAACTTGTCCATGCAATATCACTTAAATTGAACAAAATATACACAACAGACTGCATGATTACCTTAACCTCACTGTCATCTTCGTCTTCTTCTCTCTGATAAGAGTCGAAAGCTTCATCTCCGTCATCCATCAGATCATTTGCCGCCAAGTCTGGGTTGAAGAAGAACATTTCTCTACCAGACAGCTGCAAAAATAATTTAACTTTTTTTTCTTCAGAGTTAAATTTTTAGTAAAAAAAAGTTTGATTGTTTTATAAAATCTTAAACAGAATGCTCCAATTTAATAAATCTTACAAAATGTTAACTCGTTGTTATTGAGGAATGCAAACCAACCCATAATGAACACGACAAAAAATATTACAACTAGTGTACGGATACTTTTGGATAGGTAGGTTGGTAGGTACGGATAGGTTTTGGACGTTTGCATTATTAAGGGTTGTCTACAAACAAATATCTCCAAAAGTGCTACTCACAACAAAGTGAGGTATTTAAATCTGACACTAGTGCCATGTTTGATACTTCCCCCACTACTATTGTAGCAGTTCTCACCCTTATAGGGAAGTTTTGACATATTGATGTGAGGGAAAAAAGTAACTGAAAGGTTGACCATTCAACCGTGAAAACAAAAATATTTCCCAACAGCATATGGCAGAGCATCCATTAATTTAATGGCATTCCCTAGGTTCTTATTTAAGTAGTCGTCGTAAAATGAGAAGACTACAGTTGCAGAAGATGATCGCAGTAGATAACATAAATATTTCGTCAATCAGGAAATACGATCACTGTATCACCATGATTGCAGTTATAATGTCAATTATTACATACAGCACATGTGTAGCCTACATTTATTGAGTAATGCTAGTTATCGTATTGGATTTTATCAATATATATAGTAAATAACATCACTAGGCCTATTTATTATAATGCTTATCTACAGGGTTAGTAAAAAGTGTGGACACCCACTGTTATTTTTTATTGGCCCATACTAGAAAAACTAAACTCGGCACACCTTTATGACATGTCATGAGTACTTTTTAGGAATAATTGTCACTTGGTGTACATCCCCAAAATGGGGAATTTTGGGGGAAACTCAAAAATTTCAAATACAAAGACCCATCGAGTGACCCCTCATTTTGAAGGTCCTGGTAAAAGAAAACTAACAACGCAAACTAGAGGTTTCTATCTCAATCCAGTAAAAAATGGAAGCTGATTGAAATCTTTAGAAATCGGAAATAACTTGCAATTTTATATTCAATTGGCTGCCATATTTCACTGTGTTAAGATAGAGACCACCTAGAGATGCACCTTCAAAATGAGGGGTCACTCGATCGGGCTTATCATTTAAAATTTTTGAGTTTCCCCCAAAATCCCCCAATTTGGGTTTGGGAACTTATGAGGAATTCAATTGGCTGCCATTTTGTACTGAACTGAGATAGAGACTCATAGTTTGCGTTGTTGGTTTTCTTTTACCAGAACCTTCAAAATGAGGGGTCACTCGATGGATCTTTGTATTTGAAGTTTTTGAGTTTCCCCCAAAATCCCCCATTTTGGGGATGAACACCAAGTGGCGGTTATGCCCAAAAAGTACTTCATAACATGCCATATTGGTGTGCCGAGTTTAGTTTTTCTAGTATGGGCCGTTAAAAAAAATAACAGAGGGTCTCCACACTTTTTACTAACCCTGTATAAAAATTAAACAAAAAAATCTCACCCCATGTTGTCGACCAGCCTTGTAGTCATTCCTCTTCTTGTCTTCTTCTTTCTGAAGAGCTTCTTTCTTCTCCTTAACCTTCCGTTTCTTCCATGCCAAAAAGCTGTCTAACGTAACTTTGGTAAATTTCCCAGATGCACTCAGTGCTGATCGCTCCTTTTCTATTAAGTCTTCTAACGAAATTTCATCCTTCTTCTCTTCTTTTTTGCGATCCTGAAATTTAAAGATTAAGCATGGCTAAAAATCCAGATATACACATATACGCCTGTGAATGTGATAACTTGAGTAATTTTGTCTGATTTTAATGAAATTTGGCTTGAAGATGTAGATAAATTTGAATGAGTTTACGAACCAGCATGATCAGACCATGGGAACGGGGCTTTATGGGGTAAAAATTGGGTTTTCTCATTTTTTGCCCTAAAACTCAAGATTTCCCAATTCCTCTTCAAACCATTTCAAAGAGCTTAAAAAAAACAAATAATATAGAATTGTTTTTGTGCGGTTATCGGTTACGTAGAAAATCACAAAAATTGTAAATTAAAAATACCCTATGTTATTCTTATGGAGAATAAGTAAAATGTTGTAGGCTAGTTTGCTTATTTCTAAATATATATGTTGATCAAACCTGGTCAATTTCTATATTTTATACTAAGCTATTAATGTTTTACCAAAAAAACACACTTTATTACCCCCCCCCCCTGTAGCAGCAAAACTATGTACTCGTAAAACCTAATGCTATCTACAGTTTAAGTAAGAGTCAAATCAGGCAAATGAAAATTTGCTTAGTCTGCAGGTTTGCTGCGACGTGGGTATTTTTGTACAAATACTACTTGATCGCTTGAGACTGATTACCTTTTTGAGTACAAAGCCTGGAGGTAGGGCGTGCTTGTAGATGCAGCTTTCTCCATTGGGACACTGCCAAAACCAACCATATTTGCTCTTCTCTACTGCGTCCAGGAAGTATTTACAGATCTGTATAGAGATAGAACAATAAACAATATTAAACTATCTAAAAACTATGCACAAACTATTACCTACTGGTAATTAACTGGAGTAAACTCATTAAGAAGGAATGAGCCTTAAACGATCCTCATGAGCCCAGTACCGCTACATCGCTCTACAGTAGTTTTTCACATTTTTTAGTAAGTAAGTAGGCTAATAAGTTATCATTTCCTAACCTTTTTACTCCAATAACTAATTGAGCGTTTTCCGTAAAATTGACATTACAACATGTATAAGTTTACCATGCTTCGGCCAATCAGGATTCATAAAGAAAATTGAGCAAAACGACTGCTTGAAATTTATTGTTTTGCTTAAGTATGTTTTAAAATCTCAGCTGCAAAAAGGTAAAACTGTTTTTAGAATTTATTCAACTGTGTAAATTTGATAACAAGTTTAAATATTACAAACATAAAATTAACAGTTAACAGTGAATGCACTTCTGCAATCACTTCTGCATGCAGATACATAATCGTTGCTATTCGTCTAAAATTTTTCTCAAATTGTAAGACCTTTTTTTTAAAGGCCTACTTTTATTTTTGTTAGTTTTAACTCAAGGATTTCAGGTAATGTTTTCCACCAATTTAGATTTAGCTTGCTATAAATTTTAAAACGTTCTAAATTTGTTTACAGACTAACAAAAATGAAAAATTTATAAAATCCTATAAGTATTGAAGTAAGTTGCCTTAAATTGTGTAAACTCACAATATCAGTAGTGGGCATCTTCTTCTCCTTTTCTCCATGTTTCTTCTCCACAACCTCCTTCAGCTTGGCCTCGTCCCAGTTCTCCATCGTGTCTCCATCTTCATCCTCTCGCATGTCTACGTACATACTTCTCTTCTCCGCCTTCCTCTCCACCGTCAAATCATGAGAAAACTTACACTTAGATCCCTTTGTGCACTGGCCTTGCTTGTAGAAAGCACAAATAACACTCTTCGGGTCCGCTCCTAGAAAAGAATGTAAAGTCAAGAACATATACTCAAATTAACTGAGGCCTATTTAAAAAGCTTTCAATTTTTTTACCATGCGTTTGGCAGTCTAGAAAGGTCTTGGAATTTATAGTCCTGTAGCGTATTTCAACATTCAAATCATGCAGATGATATATTGTTTGGAAATTATCAAAAAGATTAAGCAAAGGAAGGCCTAGTAGCCAACAGTTTAAGGGAGCAACTGCTCAAAATCTATTGAAAGCAACAACAACAACAGCATGATACAAATTCCCAAAATCACTGCAATATTTACAAAATCAGTTGTACAACCAACTTGCTACCATAAAAGTGTGTTAAATAGGAAGAGGATTCATAAGCCTAACTTTGCCTAAAAACATTAACATTTTCCAAATACAAACTACATAAGCTTTAAAAGATTAAAATATAGTTTTGAATTAGACAACTTTAGCATACCTTTTTCAACTTTCTGTACAGGCCGAAACAACAGAGACATCTCTTTTTGCTCTTTGAGCTTCGCATCTTTATCTTTTTTAGGTTCATCCAGTTTCCGAGCAGGCACACCTCCAGATTTAACCTGCTTCTCAACCTGCTGAATGAATCGCTGTTGCTTGGCACCTTTCTTGTTTTTCAGGCCAAAAGTCTTATCCTAAAAATTTAAAAAATTTAAGTCGTGTGGTATTTTTAAAATACAATAGAGACAACAGTTAGGAATTATATAGAAATTGATACTTATTTAAAAATTGTTCCGCTTTTACACATTTGTGGGTTAAATTAAAAGTCATGATTTACCTATTTTTGTGACAGGTTAAAAATCTATAATATAATTAATACGCTACATGAAACTTTGTCGGTTGAACTCCTCTGCCATTTCTTAACCGATTTTATCCATTGATGTCTCATTGGAAAGAGCGTGTCGCGTAGATTTTCAAACTGGCCTTACATTTTTGAAAAAGTCCCTTGGACTCTGCCCCAATGGCTTTGAAGGTTCCCATGAAGAACATAATTGTTTACATTTTGATCAGCTGTATAATTTAATTGCTGTTATTTATTTTTCAATTCAATGAAACGCATTGAGTACATTTATTTACTATTTGAGTTAACAACCAAGACGGATCGTGTTAGTATGGTTGTAACTTAAATTTGTGCATTTATCGTTGTTTTGTGTAGCTATAATTTGTTTATTTGTTGTTTTTTTCTTTTAAATGCCTCTGACGCGACGACAACGAAACATAGACAGGAGGCGTAATCGTGATAACGACCGCAGCTACAGAACAGTGACGCGTAAAAGGCCTAACTCATCACAGTCAGCACCTGACCCTGGACAATCTCAACTATTAGCATAGATCTATGCTTAATCTATGTTATTAGGTTATAAATGTGCCCTAACACTACCCCAAAACGACTTTTCCTTCTCAATTGGCCCTCTATCAATGACCTGTGTTGCCTGTACAGCGAGGCATTTTGAGAAGGAGAAAACCGGCCGGAATGCTTTAGTTTTATCAATAACGAAGATAAACATGGTCTGAGTTACACACCGGTAATCTTTGAGTTGACTCTTTTAAACTTATAGTAAATATGACTGTTATTCGTTTTGAAATAAATCCTGTAATACTTTGCAATTGCTCAAATTCGAGCAACATGTACACTAGTACTTTTAACAATACAGCAACCAACAGTTCATTTTTATTTCAATTCGATAGTTTCAATCGATATTAGCATAGCCTAGTTAAGAAACTGTACCCTTATATTATCTACCACAATGATATGCAACCTATTGTCCTTATTCGGAAAAAACTAACTTATAGGCCCTAGGTCTACAATACAATGGCTGATTGTCATGTATATAACGATTTGATTAAAAAGGTTCTATTTATCAAAGAAAATAGACTAAATATGATGGAACATCTAGGCCTAGGCCTATTTATAATTTAAATTACAGACATTTTACCTTCTTAAATGATAATACTTTTATTTATTGTAAATTGGGGTAACCCAGAATCAGTCTGCAACTGATCAACTTGAGCTTTCGTTAAACACCAATAGGCCTAGGCCTTAAATGTATTTTATTTGTTAGTATAAGTTGTCCCACATTCTTTATAGTCCGATGATTTATTATCCATTTATATACCTTTTTCAGTAATCTTATAATACCAAATTTTGCTAATGTCAATATGGGCAACGTGATAGTCTGTGTTTACAAGATAATATTACCTCAATGACTTTTTCTTTCTTCTTTTCAGCCGTCTTTTTGCTTGGAGCTGCTGGCTTTGCCTTGGGAGGCATTTTAAGAGATGGAGACTTAATCTAACAATAAATAGTGAGATAAAACGAACGATTAAGTTAAATTAATGTGAAAACGCCACTACACATCGATCTTTAACCTCAAACAGTCATCAAGTTTCTTAGTTTTTTTGTGACAGAGAGGAGAGGAAGAAGAAGAGAGTAAGTATTTTCACGATTTTCACTTGCATAACAGGTGATTACCTTTCGATGTTTTTAGATGATGATAGATTTTGTCAGATTTGGCGGGATGTCTAAAATCATGGTCTTTGCCTTTGGTTTGGATTTACAATCGATATAATAAGATAAATATTATGACACACACCGACACACCTATGTTAATTTTAATACTTCTACCTACGACCGCTTTCTAAAGTAGCAGTTCAGTTCTTAGAATTGAAAAGTAAGTGTAGGTATATTATATATTTATACATGCCAACGGCTAAGCCAATACATAGATGTATACAAAAACTGAACAATTTTCAATACTCAATAGAATGCTAAATACATAGATGAAAAAAAAAACAAAAAAACAAAACAAAAAAACAAAAACAAGCTGAACAATACAGTACTCAATAGAATACAATAATAAATAATCTGACAATGAATAAGTTAACAAAGACTAAAGATATAACAATAATAAATATAACAATACAATACTCAATAGAATACAATAATAAATAATCTGACAATGAATAAGTTAACAAAGACTAAAGATATAACAATAATAAATATAACAAAGAGCAAAATACAACAATAGAATTTTTAACAAGAATATATATAACAATAGAGGCGTTGAGGCTAGTCCAACATCTCCACCAGGGTTGCTTCGGTTGTTCTCCTTATGGAGGTGTAGCTGTCAGCGAAGAAGTCGACATCACGAGCAACTCTGTTGCCCAGCCTGAGGATTCTTGCCAGAGGACTGTGAAAGTCATAAGTGGTGCCTCTGAAGCGACGGCCGAATAGGTCTCTGGATCTTGTTATGGTAGGGATTCTGATGTCTATTTCTAAAAGCAGCTCTGGACAGCATATATGGCCCCTTAGCAGCTTGTACAAGAGACCAACATCAGCAACGCTGCGCCTCATGTGTAATGGCCGGATTTTCAGCTCCTCAGCCAGAACATCCGTTGGCACCTCCCGATAGGGGTATCCCTGACGCACTCCCACCAGCCTCAAAAATCTTTCCTGGATTGCTTCAAGACGAGTGCGTCCACCAACTGTATACGGAGTCCAGATCGGGGAAGCATACTCCAGACACTGTCTCACCATTGCACAATACAGAGTTTTTAATGCAGATGGGTTATTCATACCTTTGGTAGAACGGGAGATGAAACCAACCAGCCTGTTAGCCTTGCTGACTATAGAGTTTATATGCTCGTCGAAACTCAGATCACTGCTGAATATCACCCCCAAATCTTTTGTGGACGTGACTCTAGGAATACTGTCCTCTCCGAGCATGTAAATGAAGATGTCTGGATTCTTGGAACGATGGAAGGTTAATATTGAGCATTTTCCAGGATTGATCTCCATCTTGTTGACTTTGCACCAAGCAAAGACATTGTCAAGACATATTTGAAGGCGTATTGAGTCCTCTTCCGTCTTAACCTCCACAAACACCTTGAGATCATCAGCAAACGCGAGACATCCAACCTCGATAGAAGCCACCAGATCGTTGATGAACAAATTAAATAGGTAGGGTCCCAAATGTGAGCCTTGTGGTACACCCGAGGTCTGGTGAAATGGTTGCGATTGCGAAGGTCCAAGCCTGACAGTCAACGTGCGCCCAGTTAAGTAGTCCTCCAGCCAGCCAAGTAGTGGTTGTAGAATGCCATAGTCCCTAAGCTTTGTCACGAGGATCTTGTGGTCTACTTTGTCGAACGCTTTGGCGAAATCGATATAGGCGACGTCAAGCTGGCGACCTGCTCTAAAGGCGGACAGAGCTCTCTCTTGAAGCAATAATAAATTCGAGATTGTAGATTTCTTTGCGACAAAACCATGTTGATTTGAGGAGATAATACCTTCGATGAAAATCTTCAGTCTGTCCAGAACCAAGCTCTCGAATACTTTACCAAGTGCAGAAAGGATAGTGATAGGGCGGTAATTCTTTATATCACTGTGATCACCAGATTTAGGAAGGGGTACGACATACCCATGCTTAAAGGCTGCAGGAAATATGCCTTCGGCCAAGGACTGGTTGAATAAAAATTGCAAGGGTTCAGCAAGCAGATCGCAGCCGAAGCGCAACAATGAAGGTGGTATGTTGTCGGGGCCCGCACCCTTTGAACCATCCAGTTGAGATAACTTGAGCCTGACTTCAGCGAGTGAGAGACTAACACTGCAGACGGTATTCACTGAGTAAAAGTCAAAAGAGGGGGTTGTGTCTGATGCAGTAGAGTAAACCGATCCCAGATGCTTCGCAAATAGTTCACATTTTTCCTGATCATCCTCGGTACTCAAAAACAAGCACGTGTACAGGCAAACTTTTTTTCTTTCGAAGATATTGATTTTTAAAATTTAAAATGAGGTATTTTTGGTCACCTAAGATTTATTACAGTTGGTCACAAGGCTGGGAAAAATCCAAAAATCCAGTTTCCGTCCTACAGCCATTGAAAGTGCCCATGTCATCGTCAATACCTTTTAGTTAACATCACTTCGTCTACATTCAACCAGCTCATACATCTCACCAAATGTCTCAGAACCTCGGACAAGTCTCGCATTGAAGAATGAAAGTATAGAAATAATTTCAGATCTTATGGCCGATCAATATGATGAACAACAGGCCGCCCGATCATCTTGAGCAGGAGCGTCGACGAATCGCTGTTTCAACATTGACCAAAGATTGCTCTCAGAGTATACTTATGATTTTCTCCGAGCAAAGCTCGGTCCCAAAGTACTTACAATGTAAACTAAGAGCAAATTAATCAGCATAGAAGTTACCAAGCTTGTTACGTTTTGCTTGTCACACTACTTGTTTGGGATTTTTCCTACCAATGTCTGTCCTAATTTTGTTTCTACTGCAACCAATGTACATTCTAAAGTCTGTTTGTGTCCACCTGTCCATATACCTGTCCATAGTGTGTTGTGTACCTGTCCATAGTGAACTCCTGTACTGTTGCCCCTAAAAAAAGATTTTTTAAAGAGCTTGGTGGCCTATTTTAGCCTCGCATTTGCCCGTGCGTGGAACGTATCCAGCAAAGCAAGGGGTGAGCCGGTACAGTACAAAGGTGAACTGTACTGATAAAAATGTTTTCGGCAGTGACCAGAATCCGAACCCACGACATCGCTGCCTTGGGCTCGATGTCCGCGACGCTACCAAAAATTTTAACTGTGGGTACATAGCCTACTTTGGCTGCCAAGCTGGATAAATTATGATCTTCGGGACGCAAAGTAAATAAGAGCTCTTGTACAGATTACACCTCTAGGTCCCGAAAATTCACACGTGATTTTGCATAAAAAATGTTAGGTATTTAAGTTAGTAAGAGTGCTTATCGTATCTTAAGGCTGAACAAAGTAATTTTGATTATCCGCTAAATCTCATTTTGGATGTGGTCTATTAGGCTGTTTTTTAATTTGACCAATCTAATCGAACACAATAGGCTTATTAAATAACTTCTTGATCAGCATCGTCCGTGTTATTAAATTACCTGAAAGTACAAAATTTCCATTAGTTATAAACTTTGAGTTGAGTCTTTTAAGCTCATCGAAAATAAAAATGTATGTTATTAGTTTTGAAGTTGAACCTATTTGATAATTGATCGATTTAGAGCAACAGGTACACTAGATTGGTAAAATGTCAAGAGCTAATTGCCAAACACCTGTGTAATTATATAATTATGTTTGGTTAAGCTTGTGGATAACATCATATCGAGTCAACATTAGTGATTACTGTCGTCTTGTGTTGTGTACCTCATTCTCCAATCTTCAGGGGTCTCGCTTGACGACGAGACGAGATGTTAATTGTGCAAGTGATCACGTTCATTTCAATTCAAGTGGTAAGTGGTGATCCAAGTTATGGCAAAATCGTGGAATCCATTGTTGGTCTTTTGCCCGAATTGCCGCTTAAGAATGAATGCCCCTTTGATAATCCATCTACCTCCTACAAATCTACCAACTCCGATGGAATTGTAGAGTGTGGGTGCATTGGATGTTGGGATTTGACAATTACAGGCGTTACCGTCTTAGAAAGGAGCTAACCCTTTTACTAGAGATGGGCCTGCGTTCGAATTGGACGTTACGATCCACATGCACAAATATCACAAGTCAGAAAGAGATATTTATGGCAGAAATTGTATAATTGCTGCAAACGTAAACCCTTGTACAGTTATGATCATTTCGACGTGAAGACTCAAATGACTTTTACAATGAGGTTGGAACGTCCTGATGACGAAACTGCCCACTGTAGCTTGAATTGGAGTACTACAGAATTTAGGTTGGTACGCGATGAGAAGACAATGCCAAAATTAGACAAAACGGTCGATTTGGATTTATTTCAATTGACAGCGAAGAAAATGATGTTCTCAGAAAGATTGGTCAAACTCATTAACAATACGTTTGAAGGATTTGAAGATAGGTGCGAATAAACTAAACGAGGTATGTAAAAAGACAGACTTTGCAGTATAAAATATAATAAACTGCTTGTCAGATGGATATGTGTTTCATTTATTTATCCTGACAATATTTGCTTAGAGAAAATAAAGGTAGGGTGTTAATATGTAATAATGTTGATTGTTTATTTTTCTAAATTCAAACTTTTACAATGAATACTTAAATCTCACAGATATTCACTTTAATTCATTCATAACATTTAAGGCTAATCCTGATTATGAAGAGCTGAAAACGAATCGTAGGAAGATTTGTACGGTTGACAAGGGAGATTTTTACTCTCTTGTTAAAATAGCTGAGCTATCAAAACAAACAATTTCCACTCTAAAAAAGTCCTAATTTCCAACGCAAAGTTGTCAATGACACATAAATCTATAAACTCAATATCAACCAATGTTGTTCAAGAGCCATTTTTTGCAAAAAACATTTACGACTGTTCAACAAAGAAAGGTTAAAAAGTATTCTATTGTCTGTGGTTATGATGTGTAAAATGTGTTACATCATTGACTATATATACCTACAGTA